GGAATACTTTCTCAAAAGTATTATACCCACCAATGCAACTTTATTTCAAAAGTAAATGATGTACTCAGTCATCATTTCGACTTTGGTACGTTCGCGCGGATTTGGCCTTCCATACAAAACATGCAGAGAAAATTTCTCCGTGTCAGATAATTTCTCCGTGTCAGATAATGATCGTAGCGCCGCCACTGAAACGTTCTCGGACAAAAGATCAATCTCAAAGTTCTTTGATTCCGTGCCTGAAAATTTTGTCCGTGCATGATAATTTTACACTCTCCACCTGAAGCTAGACTTTGCCCGACCGGGGCTGCTGAAATCAGGTGGAGAGTGTATATCGAGACGATTAAGTCGCTGAAAGAAACTTCTTGAATATATTCAAGTTAAATTCTCTTACTCGAAAATTTGTTTAAAAAAAATTAATTATATCAAGCTTAAATCATTTCAAAGCAGTGGAATAGTTTATATTTCAAAATGTCGACTTCTGAAAATTTTGGAAATCCATTAAGGAAGTTCAAATTGGTCTTTCTAGGCGAACAAAGTGGTAAAAGAATATTAAGAAAAAAAATTACTCCGGCAGAAATAAATCTTTATGTGAAATAAATTTCATTCCCTAATGTTGAAACGAATGCAATACGATTGTATTCTCTGTTTAAAATCCTATTTATGGTTGAGATAACAGCTTATTATCGCTAAAACTCAAAAGTTGATGACGAAAACACCAAAACGAGTGAGTGAGAAAGAAATAAAATTGAGGTGAAAAAAATAAAGAGAGAGAAAATGAGAAAAAAAGCATGCAGAGCCACGCAAAGCTTTAAGTAGCGAAATGTAGATGATTTAAAATATTATTAAAAAGGATGAAATCACACCTTGAAATACTTAAGAATGACTCATTCCACTCACTAGTAGTTTCAGTGTTGAAATAACCTTTTTGATACTTATCATGATCATGTTCGGGTTTTGTTCAGGAACTAAATCATTATTCTGTATTCAATAATTTGTGATCAAATAAAAAACAAGAGTACAACCATGATACTGCCACCTTCGCAATTGTTTCAACATCCACCTAATTATTTTATTAAAACATCAAAAATGTGTATTAAACTTATGTTATTACAGTTGGTAAAACATCCCTCATAACCCGGTTCATGTATGATAGCTTTGATAACACTTATCAGGTGAGATTTAAAATTTTAATCCTTGGAGAATGTTCTAAAGTTGCCTCACATCCTTAAAGTGGGTAAGAGGATACGAACGTTCCCATATTTATGTACAAACATGATTTAATAACTTTATTAATATTAACCAATTTTAGGCAACAATAGGAATAGATTTCTTATCAAAAACCATGTATTTAGAAGATCGTACTGTTAGACTTCAATTGTGGGTGAGTTACATTTTGCTTCCGATATCAAATTCTTTAAATTATTCTTGAAAACTTTTTATTGAACTTTCCTAAGGTCATTAACATCTTTTCTTCGCTAATCTAAACATTAAAATCGATTCTCATTTTTGTTTCAGGATACCGCAGGTCAAGAGCGTTTCAGGTCACTAATTCCATCATACATACGAGACTCAACTGTTGCTGTTGTGGTCTATGATATCACAAGTAATTATAATTTAAAGTAATCAAGAAAAATAGATGAAAATCCTAATTTTTGTTTTCTAAGATGCTAATTCATTCCATCAAACATCGAAATGGATTGATGACGTTAGAACAGAAAGAGGAAGTGATGTTATAATAATGTTAGTTGGCAATAAGACAGATTTATCTGATAAACGACAAGTTTCAACAGAGGAGGGTGAGAGGAAAGCAAAAGAGCTTAACGTGATGTTTATTGAGACAAGTGCTAAAGCCGGATATAATGTTAAGCAAGTGAGACAAAATTGTTTTATTGTATTCAATATATTAGTTTCTTACGAATCTTCTTTATCATTTTAAGCTTTTCCGGCGTGTTGCTGCCGCTCTTCCAGGAATGGATTCTACAGAGAATAAACCACCAGAGGACAGTAAGTTTCATTCTATTCATTTTCTTATTTAGCATTTTTCTTTCTTCTTGAATTGTTTTTTAAATTTTTAGTTGCATTTCATTGTTTTCCTATTTATTCTTTATGCAATTTATTATTTATGTGATTTCATTAATATTTACAATTTTCATTTAATTCAAAAAAGTGCAAGAGGTTGTACTCAAAGATTCTCCAAACGAGGCGAAGGATCCTGAAGGAGGCTGTGCATGCTGATAATTTCAATTATTGTCGATAATTTCATTTTATTGCTTTATTGATTTAAGAAGAACATTAAATAATGGGGATTGAGAGCTTATAAAAATACAATTTTTAAGTTGTCCTTGTTTAAAAATGAAGTAGACAATATTTTAGAAATTCTCGGAAAATTGAAATTGATTTTTCATAAGCACCTCTGACTCCATTGAAACATTCTATATTTTTTTGATTACGATCCGAATGTTAATTTAACAATTTTTATGAATTACTAAAAAATATAAATGTTTATATAAGAGACTTGATGGCAAGAATAATTTTATTGTGTGGATCAAAAAGAAAACGAAAGAAAGAATTTATTTATGATCTTTGCCGACATCATGTCCTCTCGATTGAAACTTTTCTCCAATGTATTCCTTTTATTCAAGTAAATAATATTTAATTTATTTTTATTTAAAGCAATAAATATATTAAAAATCTTCATTTTTTGGAAATAAAAAAAAAAAAAACGCTGCTTGACATAGCATGAAAATAATCGATAATAAATATCTAGATGAAATCCTCTTGATTTTCATGTGAAAAATAAAACATCAAATAGAAATTGTTCGAAAAGTTTTAAAAGTACATTATTTAAACCTTTTTTTGTTACATGTTAGTTTTAATCGTTCTGGAATGCTTTTGAATTCATTTTGCTTTTCTTATGTTTAAATTTATGAGATTTAATAATATTATGTAAATACATTTGTATGTATTATTTATGCATGCGAGTAAAGTTTTTTTTGTCTGAAGAAACCCTAATTAGCAAAAACGAAAAAAAACTTAATTTTCTACTCTGCTATCTTTTTCTCCGTTAATTAATTTCTAGCTGTTGATCTACAAACTCAACCGTCGAACGAGCAACAAGATTCTGAAGGTGGCTGCATATGTTAACTAACATTTAAATTTAAAGAATCGGGTGCTCCGAATTTACCTAAATTGAACACCCAAATTATGTTCATTAACAACCTTATCATCATAAAAAATTTGAGAGTGTCACATCTAAAGTCAAGCAGCATAGAAATATTGAATTTTTTTTTTACTAAGAAACGTTTTCTATCGCATTAATATTTATAAAGATATCAACATAATTGCTCTGAAGACATGAATTTTTTACACATAAAAGCTAAAAAATAAAGAAACGTAAGAAATTCCTATTGACGCCAAATTCTGGATGTTTAAAACTTTGATCACTCTTAGATATTCCCTCTGGCATGTATGTATGCAATCATGTTTGACATTAGCACAACAATCTATACAGGAATATTTCAATTTCTATTTTCTTAGTTCGTGATGTTTCAAAATGTCACATCTTGTGACTCACATTACAATTTTAATATGCTACTGGCGAATTATAGATAAACTTACCGTTTGCTAAATTTGTTTGATGAGAGAAATAAAAAAATTCAGACAGGGACATTATTGAGTAAATTTTTCCTTTTCAAAAAATTATTTATGTTCGTTCGTTTATTCAGCAACAAGTGGCAACAAAAAGCATTCCAGAAGAAGAACTATTTCGCAAGCCTAAGAAAATATGCTAGAAAAAAGTTAAGTTAACACATGACCCAGATGGTTTTAAGTTTTTAAATAAAATAATAGTTTTTGCATCTTTATTTTTATGATATTTAATGTTGATTTCAAAAATTAAGAGAAAAATAAGATTAAAGCAACACATTACCAATTTTAAAACTTTATTAAAACATTTCTTTTCAACTCTGTGCATTTCTTTATACAATTTGAAACATTGTTCATGACACGATTTATTGTTTCAATAATCAACTACATAAAAGCCAGAATGAAATAAAAACAGCTTTTAACTAAATTAAAAAAAAACTACTGCTCTCATTTTATGAATACATTTTATTTTCAGCGTTTCAAATGTTGAGATTCAGATTATTTATGTGAAATATAATTTGTTTGTCGTAAGTAAACTTTTTTATCATTACACTGCGGACGTTCTTAATGTTCTCAACAATTATAAATTATTTATTACGCAAGACTTTCAGACTTTTTATTATTCAGTAATTTCATTTTTTAACAATCTTGGATTTCCCGTTTATTTCTCCCGTCTTTAATTTCTAAAATTTTATGATAATAAGTAAAGATGACCATCGCAGCTGAAAATAATACGAGAAAAATAAAACACCACAAATTGCTTTACATCAAAATAATTTTTTTATTGAAGATGTTTCTTCCATTTTCGTGGTACTGGAGATCTTACAGTTATCAGATTGTTTTGTTCAAATGCCCAATATTGATATCCATATAATGTATTAAAATAAGTAATTTTATGTTTGTGTTAATTTGCAATATATAAATAGATATTACGATTAAATAAAAGTTGAAATCAAAAGAATATAAAAGAATCCATGGATTCCATAAATAATTTGTTTCACATATAATTCTCAACAAATTAATGGAAATTTAGGAAGATATTTAATGTATGTATGAAGCAGTACAAACAGTTTTCTTTTGTTATTATTTTAGCTAAATTAGATTACAATACATAATCCAAATGTTTTCATTTCACGTTTAATTGATTTAATAATCCTTATTTTGGGATATTAAAATACATACAATTATTGTTAATTGAAACAGTTCCAAATAAACAAAGAAAGAAAATTTTCTTACTCATTAAAGTACAAGATTAGAGACCGAATTGAATTGTGTGGATGTATTGGAGACATCAAAAACATTTATTATTTTAATGTGCATGTACATGATTCAATCACTTTTAAAACAAAAAAGTATCTAAACACGTTAGTGCATAATAACTGATAAAAATCTATTAGATTTATTGGTGATAAAACAAACCTCAATGCACAATTGCATTGTCTAATATTCTTACTATGCATAGAATTATCATTTGCTTACTAAAAGACTCAATTTCGTAGAAAATTTACAAAATTCGTTTTGAAAGGCTAAAGCTTTTTTTTATTTTCAGTTCATTTAAGGAGAAGGTTTTCTTTTTAATTTATTTTCGCTTTTATGCTCATCAATTTGAATATTAAATATTTATATGAACGGAAACAAGAATTCATTTAGATAATTAAGTTATAGAACTTTCAATGATTCAACATTTTACATACATTTTTTATTTGGGAAGATTATTGCATTTATTTATGCTAATGGAAATAAAGAAATATTTGTGGGTTTTCTTTTTCTGAAAGTGTCTCAATTCGTTTAAAAATATGTTGCTTAAGATATCAACTCATTTCTTTTCTCATTGACATTTATAAGATTACATAAATGTCAATACGGATATTCAACCATCTTTCTTTACTCCTTTCCTGCTCAGGATAATACAACAATGAATTCTTATCTCATGTGCAATGTAAATATTCAAGGAATTACAGAAACAAAATTGACACCGACAAGAGCTAACCATAATTAAGCAACAAACTCAATTTCTCTTTAAACACTTTTCTCATTTGGTCAAATGACTTATGTAATATTTTCGTAAATGAGGAATAGATAATCAAAGTTTCAAATTTTATTTAGTTAAATCTATATTCTGTCACTAATATTTCTTTTACAAAATTGGCCATATCAAAAGTGACGATGAGTAGAAAAATATCAAATTAATGAAGTAAGATATAAAAAATAGGTTTGTTTAAAATCTTTCGATAAGAATGAAATCTTCTTTTTCTTTCTCTTCAACAATAATTTTTAATGAAAGAAGGAAAAGAAAAATTTTATATTATCAAATCGAGTGTAATTATTTCAACTTTTCATTCACGAATGATGCTTAAATTCTCTCAATTTTTATCAAATGATTCTTGTTTTAACTTTTAATTTATATGAATATTTTTCTTCATTTTTTTTGGTTATTGATAGGAAGATAAGACGCTACACTTCGTTTATTATTATGTCTTAAATAATTAAATTAATTTCCATATGTAGTATAAAATGGCTACCTAAAGTAGTTGACAATATACCTTTTTCTTTCACTTAACGCGGGGAGACCGTAAGTGATTTCCATTCTAAAGTGGTTGGGTGTAGGCGTGGGTGTTAGTGTGTAGGATAATGAAGCTCAAGTGATTCGACTATGCTTCCGTTTCTCCGCCTTTTAATCTTAAGCGGGCAAAATCTTCGAAAATAATGTCATCGTCGTGTGTGTCATCGCTAAAACAGGAATAAACACAAAATAATGAAGATGTGAAGTGAGGTGAAGAAATTATCTAGAGGATTGCGATGCTAAAGTGCCTTAACATTGACAAATATTTTTTTTCCATTTCTTGGTTTTTTTTAGTTACAAAAACAGTCAAAGCATTATAAAACACAAATTGAAAGAAAGTCAGAGAGGAATTGATATTAAGGAATTCGAGTCATATAGGGCTTTGACTGTATCTTTTGTAAACTCTCTGTCTGAGTTTACAAAATCTCTAGTTACCCGTCTAATTGAATCAAATTAGGAGCGTCTTCCTTGGCAGCCGATGAATTGTTGTTGAGTGTGTGTTGTTTTTCACCCAAACAATTTCTGTTTTTACCAGAATTATTATTTGGGGATGCTTTCTCACCATCATTTGCCAACACACTTTCATCTAAATCATCTGGCTTTGGATGCATAAGAATAAACGGGAGTTCTGCAACTAAGTCGCTGTATAATTAAAAAAAGGATGAGATTCTGTTTAAAAGTTGTAACATGCAATACATCTTACCCTCCTAATGGTGTGATACATAATTTTACTTTCACTTTATATTGCACAATTATTCCCAAATTTTCACGTTGTGATGGATCAGCAATCCTAATGATATCAGAAGAAGAGAGTAATGACATTGAAAAAATTTAGAAAATGGAATGTGCAGCAACTTAAAATAATTAAATGTCATAAAATTTTTTCCGCTGATTAAATGTCATGCAACAAATAGTTTTGTAAAAAAAATTGAGAAATATGAAGATCAAGTGAATGTTCAACTGTTAAAATATCTACATTCAAAGACATTTTGTTGTCATTAATTAATTAAATTAAATAATAAGTAACCAAGATACTTTTGAGTAATTATCAGTGAAGAAGAAAATGTTAATTCAATCTAAATAAGCAAAGGTATACAATTTACAAAATGACTTTTCTACTACCCATACCCACACTTGTTATCTAAAAAGGAAAATTGTGAAATTTCATAAGTCGACTCTCTAAGGAAAAAGAAAGTGAACATTTATTTACTTTTTGACTCAAACGCATGAAATGAAACTTCTAAAAATAGGAAATCGAAGTATAATTGAAATATCTCAATAGAAAAGAAAGAAAGATCATTCAATGAGATATTCAACTGCCAGCGGTGTTAAGTGAGTTGGAAGAAAAATAAAAAATCAACTTTAAAGTCAAATTCAGATTCATGTTATTTGCTAATTAGGAGAATTTACATAGAGAGTGATAATTAAACATTTAAATAGGAAAAGGATTTCAACGATAGAATTTTACTTAATTGAGAAAGGGATCTAAATATTTAATTAATAATTTCAAAACTCTGAGGTTGATAAGCAACATTGGGTGATATTTTACCTATATTTTCCGTCAACGGGACTTCGAGCCCTTCGCGCCAATTATTTTGTGAACAAATTTTGTATTAAAGAGAGAAATAATTAATGAGATTCAAAATAAAATTTTCATGACAAGAAAACTACATATCTATTTGAGATCCAAAGCGAAATCATTTTGGGTTTTGTTTTCGAAGCATTGAAACTTGTTATTGATATTTATAATTTTATGAAGAAAATGATGAAACTTTATACGTATTTATTCTAAGAAAATCTCACATACAAAACGAAACAAAACATGTGCCGTTTCGAACTGGACAGAAAATATTACTTACAATGTACTTGACGCTAAGTTTGTGTCCTCATGTTTCAACTGCCCATCGAGAGCCAAACCCCATTTGTCTTTGTTATTCGCTAGCAATGGAGTCAAAGAAAATACTTTTGACAAAGTAAAGCCCGGCTGCACTTGACATCCGTCTCTTTATAAACAAAGTTATAGTGAAGAATATTTGTTCAGAAATTTAAATTTGTTTTTAGTTTGAAACAGATAAAATTTTATGTTAAATTGATCGAAGGTCATGTGAATAAAAACAGTTTAGAAAATATTACCTAACTGAAGGACGAAAAACAATTTTTTTCTTATTTTCCCTGATTTAAGATTTGGGTAATTCTTTTTAATTGAATAATTTTACGTCGTTTCCGACATCAAAAATATGTTTAATATTTGTACTTGCTCGAAAACAAATCAAAGACGAAGAGCTTTAAATCTTTTCTTTTGTCATTGATGTGACCTTGGATATGCTATTTGTGTCGATGAAATAAATGCCTTTAGATAATATTGAGGATATAAGAAAAATGTGTACATGTAACGAGATACGTCACCAAAGTTAAATCAGAAAATAAATGAAAAGTTATTAATAAGATTCTACTAAACAGATGCCTTAATACCATCTACGAATTTATGTATAAAAATAAATAAATAATTAAGAAACTTGAGGCTATAGAGAAATATTTATTATTTAAATGTGTTGTTATTTCAATTAATCTCTTACTGTTCATTCTACCAGAGAGTTTAAAATTTAAAGATAAATAAATAAACAAAAAAAGGGAAACCTCACAATGTACTAGATGCTAAATTAGTGTCTTCATGTTTCAATTGCCCATCAAGCGCTAAACCACGTTGAAATTTGTTGTTCTTCAATAAGGGCGTCACATTAAATACTTTACTTAATGTAAAACTGGGAGCCACAGGATTATCTCTGTTTTATTCACATTAAAACAAAATCTTTCAATTTAATCTCACATTATAAAATAATATTTAAAAAATTTAGAATGATGTGAGATGTCATTTTAAATCAATAGTTAAATAAATAATTTCACTCACTCTGATTCAACTTCAGCAACAGTACACTTATATTGGGCAGTTGAAAACAAGCAAATGTCAGCGAACTGTCTGACTGATACCTTGATTTTCTTCACAGTTTTACTCGAGTTATTTGCAATATGTACGTTAACAGCTATACTCTCACCATGATGATAAAGCTAAGTAAAAGAAATTGTAAAATCATTGCAATTCATTTGTTCAATCATATGAATTTACCTCCTTATCTAAACTCGCTTCCAAATGAATCTTATTTGGCTTTAACATAAACTCTTTACTGACTTCGATAGATGGTTGTTCTCCAAGTTTAGAAGGAGCGTACATAATCTTTCTGATGGCCAATCTAACAGAATTACGTTTGTGCGGTTTATCCTCGGAACAATCACCAACAAAGGCTTTAAGTTCGTAGTCAACTCCACATGGTTTTCCTGTATCACCTGGTGCTGGTTGAAGTGAAACCGATGCGGGACAATGTGGTGGAACTTCGAAGAAAAATGGATATGCATTGGGCCCTAATTTCTTTATTAAACGTTCTTGAAGACGAGTTAATTGCCTTCTCTCATTCACTTCATTCTGTGATGGATAAATCTGAAAAACAACAATTAATTAACTTTCTTTTCGTCAACAAATTCTGATATCAATCACCTGTTCTGATGCCAAGTATAAATCTTTACGGAATGTTAATCCAAGAACGTCTAAATCTTCACGACCATAACGAAATGCTGCTAAAACATGCCCGAATACTTTTCTCTCTTTAACATAATCGGGATCAATTAAAACTACACCATCTGTTAAAATTCCAAAGATTTCTTTTATCAATAAGAATACAAAGTAGATAATCAACAAGATAATTTTGTTTGATTATTTAACAAGAATCTTTAGTGAAAGTTTGTAATTTATGAAAATCCTAAGCATTAATTTGAACTGAAGATAAAATAAGTTACCGATTGGATCAACGTGTGTTATGTGATCCACAAAATCCCTTTTTCCAAGGTAAACCGTAATTTTACCATTTGCTGATGATTTCTTAAAAACTCTGTAAAATAAAGGAAAGTTTATTGAAGAAAATTTAATTATTAAGACTTTAATTTACCTTGTCGCTTGTCTTTTTGAACTTGCGTCGTCGATGTCGGGATCGGGTGAAGGGTTTGGGGATTTAGATGATGATTGCATATGTGATGATAATTGTGTTGGATTTGTATCAAATTTATTCATAATTTTGCTCTTTATTTAAATATTTCGAATAATTTGTGCTGAATCAATAAATCATCTATAGATTTTTTGTTGTTTATCAGGATTAATTTGTTTTTTATGAGTGATCAAAACGCTAATGTCAATGCAGAACTATACGAGGGCACAACAAAATTATAGTTTTATTTCATTATTCAATTATCTCGTTGTTCCAAAAATTTGTCACAAGTTATCTGTAATTAAAATAACGAACAAATAAAACGAATTAGGTAAATAGATGATTAAGGTAAGATGTCAAAAGTTATTACAAACAAGACAATTATATTCCATTGTGGAACCGCAGGTTTCGCCAGCTAAGCTTAGAATGAACCAGCAATTCACTTTAGATAGAGAAATTTAATTTTATATATTTGATTGTATAATCGGAATAGCAAAGAAATCTCGCGGGAGAACTAAACGCAAACTTAAATAAAATTAATATTTATTTCCCGTGTCAAACCAAACAGAGTTTATCAAGGCATTATTTATATGAATCCGCGTTAGCTTAGAGTTTATTTGATTGTAACTATGCGTAGAATGCATATAAGCTTGGAATGCATACATAAATTATTACGAGAATAGATCATTTAAAACACTTTGATTCATGATTGATGTTTATTTATGAGAGTCAGTTGAACATTTCTCGTCATAACTTTAGCTCATAAACATCTACTTGGCCTTTCTTTTATACGAAGAGATTGATAACAGCAGCATTGAAGTATTAATCGTTTACACAATCACTGACACTATCCCTGCCTTATATCATTAATAACGGTTTTGGAAATGATCCATTTGTTTTCTCTTCATCAAACAACATCAGAAATTAGCAACAAGTTCGAACACAAATACTAAAAAGCATACAAATTTAATCAATTTTGGAAGGATGTACACTTGAATTTAATTTAATTTTTGTCCTTCTGCTTCAAATTAACATTACGTTAGAAATTCGTGACCTTCTAGGTCAAGAAAATTTCAAGAAATGAAAATTACTTTTTAAAAGTTCATTTAGGATGTAGGTATACCCAGAAAATTGATTTTTCACTGGTGATTTTTCTTGTTCGTTTGAAAGTTTTTGGAATAAATAAAAATAGATACAATCTAGATGCATACATAGTAGAAAAAAGAAACTTTGTGCGGAAATAAAGTTTACAAAACTTTATGACTCTCCATTTCCATCAATTTCAATTTATCTAATTTGGCTTGACTTTGTGCGACATGAAAATAGCCCTAGACAAATTAAAAAAGTTTTGAACTATTGAAACCTGTTGACGTCTCCAAATATTTTGGTATGCAAACAATAAAGTTCCAGATTATTTTTATGGCAATGCATATATGTAAAGCTCCTCTTCTTTATTTCGTTCATTATATAGTGTTTATTCGAATAATCTTGAAGAAACTCCACAAAATAAATGTTTTTTTCGCTCGTGTTTTCATAATTGAAATTTAAGTGTGGAATTTTCAACACGAAATAAAAACACTGAGAATATATTAACCAATAACACTACCGCCGAATAATTAAAAATTTCAGGAATCTTTTAACAACATAAGCACTTCCATGGAACTAAAATATGCTGGGAATTGATGAGCTCATTTACTTCCACTTTAAAATGAGTTAGTCATAATTTTTGTGCGACCCTTGGACAAAAAAAAATCTTCAATTTGATTGACGTTTATGAAAACTATTAACTAGAATATGCAAATCTAATTTACCCTTTAAACTATGTTGAAGTCTAAATCTTTTTATCCCAAACAGTTTAAATATTTCTTTCTAATATGAAACGTAGTTCAATTGAAATGAACGAGAATTTACTAAGAAAACACAAGTTAAGATTCAAGCCACTGTCTTTACTCTCACTTTAAATATTCATTGTAAGCCGATGTGGATAAATCATTAAAGTTATTTGGAAAACATTCTTCGATGAATCATGAATTTGACTTACATGTAGATCTGAGTAGATTTGAATTTAATTTTAACAAATGAAGTAAACACTAAGAACTATTATAATATTGTGCAATATGTATGTTTTACAAGCATATAACATGGAATAGAACAATTCTTGATTGGAAAAAATCAATTTTTCCTATCAACAATTAACTTATTTACTTTTGTTACACAGCTCTATTATCTTTGTTTATCTAACTGGCTCGAGACAGCAATGTATTACACTACATTAACAAAGTCAACTGTTTAGTAACTTAAATTGTTTTCTGCAGATTTCGATTAAAATTAACTTTTGGTTGGTATTTCTCACTCGTTAGCACAATCTTCACTCGTTTTTAGCACTTTAGCATATTTCTAGAAAACATTTCAAACACTCTGACCGTTAAAAATGCAAATATTATTTATTATTCAAAATAAATTTTAAAAAATATGATTCGATAACAAAGTACATTTAGATACTTAAGTTCAGATTAATAATTGTATATGTAAGAAGCATTGCATGGTGAACTGACTAGGCATGTAGTTGATCCTTTTTTTGAAGAACTTAAAAGTGCGCTGTTATAAAGTATTGTCAAGAGATGTTCCGGCTTCAATTGTTCTCATTGGTGTTCTCATCGAAAATTCTCTATTACAGACAACATTTATTGATGTAAGAACAATAAAATTTAAAGATAAATTGATATTACAATTGTGGTGAGGAGATTTTCTGAGTCTCGTCATTGGACGACTGTCGAGTGAAAGTGTTTGTTGGTGAACTTATGCTGCTAGCAGTTATAGAACTTAGTACAACTAACAGACAAAGTAATAAAGGTCCTATAATTGCACCTTCAATTCCAAGCAAGTATAAACCACCAATAATTGATAATGCAGTGAGGTATGGATGATGAGCTCCTGAAAAAATGTTCCAGACAAATCAAATGTGAATTTAAAAATTCGAATAAACGTACCTTTGATCTCAGAATGAATGATTGGATTAAAATTTGAAGGAATAATAAAGTGAATAATGACAAGTATTAGTCCGAGATAAAAGCGATCTTGTGAAAGCCATAAGTCAAGAAAAGCAGGAATACAACACCAGTAGCTCTCTAAAAAGGGTGCGGCTGCTAATGCTGATGCTAAAATTGATGGTAAATATACAACATGAGCTCCAAAAACTGTATGTGTAAGCCAAGTGAATAATCCATGAAAAACTGATAGTTTTAAAGTCGCTACGAGAACGGATGAAACGCTATCTTCAAGTGCATCTGCTATTCGTCTTCCCCATGTTGTATTTATATTCATTGCAATTGGAGCATACCGTTCTTGACTTGATTGAAGTAGATAATAAAGTGTTGTGAAGAAAATTATCTACAAAATAATAAATTAAAATTTCTTATTATTGAAAATGAAAAATGATGAATTTACCGTGTCAAATATGAATTTAATCATTGTTTGTCCACTTCCCAAAAGTACAGAGAGTAAAGAAGTTATTGTTGAGAATAAAAGACTGAGATTTGCTTTCAACACAATCCAAAGAGATTCACTAACTTCCAACAAAACGTCAATGTTGGTTTTAGCCCATGCCACTAATCCTGTTACAGTTACTCCCGAAGTTGTAACAATTTCATCAATTGATGAAAAGACTGATTCAGTTGGAACCCTTGGCCCAACAGAATCATTATTTCGATCCATATAACTTTGAATTAATCGATCCCACACACTAAGAATCTGATGTTTCAATTTGACAGCTTGTTCTGGATTTGTGCCATTAAAAAAGTTATCAAGATAATCTTCAATTGTCCCACGACTGTATTTGTATGCATTATCGATGACATCATTCATTGACTGCATATCAATAGGAAGCATTTCAAGAAGTTCCGGTCTCGTTGATAACGTGCGGTTCACAAGATTACTTCCTAAAGTGGCGACTGTTATTGTTTCAGAGTATATTTGAAGACAGAAGAAAACGGTCAACATAATGACAGAAACAATAAGAACAACAATGACAACTATGGCACCAATATCATCAGCATAAGATTTGAGTTTAGAGCAGAAAAATTTGTGAAGTTTTGCGTTGAGTTGAAGAACGCCGGGAAGACATACTGGTAGTAATGCAAATCTTCTAGGCGAATACCAATTGTTGATTCTCTCCAAATAATTATTTTTCCATTGTTCTTCTAAGTATTTCTTCAAACCGAGTATATTGATTAACTCTTTAAAAAGTTTCCAACTAACCAGAATGAAAGCGATGAATATGATCCAAAGCTGATGCCATAAAAGAGTTACAATGACAGCATAAAAGAGAAGTTTGAAGTATGAGTCTGATTCCAATTCATCTTTCTGATCATTTTCTTTATTTGTTTCCTCATCATCATGTTGGAGACTGAGCTGCATTTTATGTTTGATTTCTGACAAATGACTTTTAGTTGTCAAAAATCTTCCAATCGGTGTATTAGGAAACTTTTGATCGTCAGACATTTTCTCCAAATTTGTCTCTTGTTCATGATCTGAAGAACTCTTTTGAAAAGTTTTCTTAATTTTTTTAATTAATGTGCTATCGTCAACACTTTCTTCATCTGTTAGAAGACCAGCTAGCCCATAAATCACAACAGCAGCAAATGCTGGGATTTGAACTGCACCAAGGAACGAACAAACATACGCAACGATCAACACCCAAATTCCTGTAAAATTGAGTTTTCAGTTATTAAAAATGTTAAAGGTATGAGTAATCTCTCTTACCTTGACCAATTATCGTAAAAAGTTTGGATCGTGACTCATTCCATAATAAAACAACTGATATTCCATAGCAGAATAACAGCGATAAAACGAGAGTTAGACTTAATGATCCAATCATGTTGCCAAGGAACGTGTGAAGCCATATGATTGAGGAAGCAGCGGCACTGAAAACTATCGAAGGTACATAATAATATATGATCTGAAGCATAGTAAGTGAGCCAATGAGAATGAGAAGAATTTTCATATGAGTCATAAGCCAACAAGCAATGATTTCTCCCAGTTTATCGAAGCCATTAAAAGGAAGCATAAAAAGTCCAAATGCTATAGGCATTTCTGTTTCTTCAATTAGAGAAAGCCAGTTATAGATTGCATTCGATATTTTCTTTTTAGCTGGAAAGAGAGCAGCACCAACTAGAGAAGCCCATAATAAAGGCTTCAGAAAAGGAAGAAGCACAAGAATTACTAAGATAAATGCTCCACATATAATGATCACTGCAACATTGTAAAAGGCAGATTGAAATTTTTCCACTTCTACAGACTTTTGATTCTTCAAATTTGAAAAAACTGTGAAGATTCCATCGATTGACCTGCAACAAAAATAGCTTTATAGTATGACATCACCATTATCAATCTACACTTTCCACACCTTTTAAAGCTTCTATCGTTCACTTGTTTTGATGTCATGGTTTGCTCTTTAGAGATATGAATTTTTTTTTAAATTAGGATTATTCTTCTTTTTTGAAATATCTATATTTTACTTGATCTTAAGGTTTCGTTATACAAAAAAATTGTCTTCAGCAAATTTCGTTATAATTTTATTTTCAATGTTGATTTTTTTTTTTCGCTTCAGTTTTATAATAATTCATCTGAATTCTACATTTCTCTATGATTGTTTGATTTCCCAATGAACTCTTAAAACTTTTATTTTGTAGTATGTTTTGAATTGTTTTGTAGTACAAAGGCTTTTTGTCAACCTTGATTTAAAAATGAAAACATTTTTGATTAAAATCGAATAGAATTTTTTTGTTGCGACGTTCAGAATAATCCGAGAGAGGAATCAGCATAATCCGAGAGAGGAGAGAGAACATTTTGGCTAAAAGTTTTAAAATTCATTTCTTTAACGTTCGAAATGGGTTTGTGTTTATATTTTTTTTTGCTCTTAAAAATCTTGAATTTAAATTCAATGTTCAAACTATTATTTAAACAAATTGAGGTTTAATAGGTTTATCTAGATTGTAATGCATATTCTTCCTTGCAGAAAATTTACCAAAGGAACTACAAGAAATGCTAGACATCGCGGAAAAGTCAGCAAATGAACAACAGGAGTCACTTACTGCTATTCAAAGAGATGTTATCAACTTTAGAAGAGAAAGCGGTAGGATTTTCCAAAATTTTATGGATTTGGAAATTGAACAACTTAAGCAGGATTTGGTAAAATAAATACACAAACATGAATATTCTCTACGATTTATCAATTAATGAAGTTCTTTTTTTATGTTACAGAAAGCTTTGAAGTTCGTGAATGAAAGAAAAACAGAAATAGTTTTCCCTAATACTTCACATATTATTAAAAATATCTTAACGACTAAACCTGATAAAAGCTTGATTGATAAAGTTAGTTAAACGAATGATAAAGTTATTAATATAATTTAATTGTTTACTTTTTGAATTTTAGAAAATTGCTTTAACCACGAGGGTCAATGCTCTCTTAAAGTGCCTGCAACTTACTAATGAATCAGTCGTCGAATGACTTAGGATTTATCATTACTTTGATGTCATTGTAAACGATTTCCAAGCATTGAAGTTGGGGAAAATCCTCCTGTTAATAAAGATTTTTGAATAAAAAAGGAACCTCCATCAAAAAATTTAAAACAAATGCTCACTTCAAAAAGAACTACGATTGGGTTCACCAGAAAAAGATCCTCTTTTAGAAGTAACTGGAGAACAAAAACTATTTGATTCTTGAAAAGCAATATTTTTATAAAAATTACTACAATAAAAATGAATAGTAAATTTGTGTTTTATCGACTTACAAAATAAATGACTTCGTTTATCACGATTCTGTGAATATTTTTCATTGGAAAGAAAACAGATTTCTTTCTTCCAAAGACATAATAAGTTATTTTCTCGATTCCAAAATGTTTGACAACTCTAACAGTTTCCTTTTCAATTCTTAGGAATATTCGGAAAATACCATAAATCGAAGACAAACCAAATAATACTTTTAAAATGAAAATTTTTCCATTCAAAATATTGATGTATGCTAGGAGAGCAATTATTGATACCAGAGTAATAAATAAGTTTATGTTTACATATTTCGATTTCTTCTTATTTTCAATTGTTATTTCAGCGTAATTGAGTGATTCATCTTTTATGACAGAAAGCTTGAAATTATGCTTAAAAGAAATCATTTTCAATCATTTAAAAATTCGCTATGGATGATGGTTAAAGATTCTTTACTGACTAATATGTAATCTAAATATTTGATTATGCTTTTATTTTATTTTTTTTATTTATTCTCCAAATAATTTAATAATTTAAACATTATTCTATTAATAGAGGATTTTGCGAACTCGTCCAAGAATACGATAGTTTATACTCGAATTGTCTACACATCTTACACTTTCCACTTCAAACTGTCGAACATCTCTCGAACTAATTTTCGACAAATTAAAATTTCGACAACCGAAGCGTCAAATTTTTAGTTCAATAATAAAATCACTTTAAAAAGAAGTAAAATAAAATAAAATAAGTGTGTAATCAGCATTAAAACAAAATATAAAGTGTAATTATAAAAAGGATTATACATTTAAAAGCAAAAATAGTTTTCAAAGGTGAAATTGGTGGAAGAAAAGTTACTTCATGGCTAATATTTTTATTATTTTTGTTATTCCTGCCGATAATTTTCCTATTTGCACCATACAAATCAAAATATAATCGTATTATGAAATCGATATTGTTATTATAACATTTTACTTTTAAAAATATTCTCTCTGTCTGTGAAAACGTGCCCGAAACAATTAATGGAAATATTTTCTTCCAAACCTCAACTTTTTTTTTCCGTAGACGTTTTGGATTTCCATCTTTCTTTTTTGTCTCATCGCCGTCTTCAAAAATACTATTTTTAGTTCAATATGAGTTTGATTTGTTTGCAACTCAATTTATATAGTAAAAAGCCTTAAAAAAATTACAAATAAGTACATGTTTTCAAGAAATGAAACGATAATTTATGAAAATGTAAAAATTAAGCAAGTATACGAGTTGTGATTTGCTTCATGGAAAAGCAAGGCTTAAATTTTTCGTGTATTTCAGTGAATGTTTCTTAATTAATGAAAATCAAACAATTCGGTAATTCTTTAGTGCCGACAAACGAAAGGGTTTCAAGTTCTCTTGTGCTTAAAGTGTCTTTGATTGGTTAGATACTGAAGTTTATATTTTAATTTATGTATGTTATGAAGAAAAAAAAAGAAGTTTTGCATCGTTTTAAATGGACGTCTTTTGCGTCTTTTTTTTATCCATGCAATATTTCTTGTTCCTGTAATTATTTTTTACACGCTGTTCACAATTGCTCAACCTTTATAAGTCTGAAAAGCCGAGTTAAATTTGAGTGGAAAATATATTGAGGTCATCTATGCTATTAAATTAAAAAATAATTTCTTTTTTCGAAAGTTCCTGTTGCCTATATCATATATGCAAATGTTTTTGTTTTGAAATTTCGAGATTTATGTCTAATCTTATTTCTTTATTATCCTTTTTATAGTATTCGCTGGTATGGGAAATCATCATTGATCAACGAAGCAGTGTGAATTATCTTAAAAAAATAGAATAATTTAAAGATTTTTTAAAATTCTGTTGTATCTAATAAGAGAAAACTATCATAAATTATAAGTATACATAAAAGTTGCTTTGAAATGACAACGCAAGATACAAGCACCCGTAGAAGGGTGAAACTATATGCATTGAATGCTGAAAGACAGTGGGATGATCGTGGAACAGGACACGTTACGTCGAACTATGTAGATCGATTGAAAGGTAAGTTTCTGTTGACTTTATCGCTTTTAATTTTTCATCATAAATTATCGTCCATTAAACATAGATTCCTTCTCAGGAATTTCGCTTCTGGTGCGAGCCGAAAATGATGGCTCATTACTGCTTGAGAGTAAAATTCAACCTGATACCGCTTATCAAAAACAACAAGATACTTTGATTGTGTGGAGTGAGGGCGACAATTTTGATCTTGCATTGAGTTTTCAAGAAAAAGCTGGATGTGATGAGATATGGGAGAAGATTTGTCAAGTACAAGGAAAAGATCCATCAGTTGATACAACACAAGATCTTGTTGAAGAGTCGGAAGATGAACGCTATGATGATATGCCAGATTCAGCGCCACCCGTTGAACTTCCTCCTTGTGAAATGTCGCGTCTTGAAGATATAAGCGAAATTATATCAAACAGCCTCAACACACAAATACGTAAGGAGAAGCTGGGAGTTGCTTTAGAACATGAAAACTACATCAAAAAGCTCCTCAATCTTTTCCATATGTGTGAAGATCTCGAGAATCAAGAAGGACTTCATTATCTTTTCGAAATATTTAAGAATATCTTTCTTCTCAACCGTACGCAGTTGTTCGAGATAATGTTTGCTGACGATACCATTTTTGATGTTGTCGGATGTTTAGAATACGATCCATCAGGTGGACCACCAAAACGTCATCGTCATTATCTTAAGCAATATTCGAAGTTTCGTGAACCCATTGAAATAAAGAATCCCGACCTCTTGGCAAAGATTCATCAGACTTATCGAGTTCAGTACATTCAAGATATTGTTCTACCTGCGCCGTCCGTTTTTGAAGACGCAATGCTGAATTCTTTGTCAAGCTTCATATTTTTTAATAAATGTGAAATTGTCACACTTATTCAAGAGGATGACAAGTATTTGGATGATCTCTTCGCTCTGTTAAGCGATATAAACACGCCGCTTGATAAGCGTCGTGACTCGGTGCTGTTCCTAAAAGAATTTTGCAGTTACGCTCAACTGTTACAACCACACGCAAAAGAAGCTTTTTATAAGAGCTTAATAAGTCTCGGCATTCTGCCAGCTTTGGAAATCATCTTGAACATCCCTGATTCGAAAATAAAGTCGGCATCAATTGATATCCTCACGACAATTGTTGAATATTCGCCTTCATTGATAAGAGATTACACATTGTCACAATATAATAATCAAGAGGATGATCAATGTCTCATTAACATTGCAATTGAACAAATGCTAAACGACTCAGAACCAGAACTAGGAGGCGCTGTGCAGCTGATGGGCGTCATTCGAATTCTTCTTGATCCCGAAACAATGCTAGCAAGCGCTAACAAATCCGAAAAGACAGATTTTCTCAACTTTTTCTATAAAAATTCCATCCAAATTTTAATCAGTGAGCAAAACAAAGCAAAAAATCATTTTAGGAACTTTAAATTAATTTCTTCTCTTTTCTTTCAATGTAGCTCCTTTATTGACCAACACAGCACATGAGAGACCAGCAAATGAAGATTATCACACTGTACAATTGTTGGGACTTATTCTTGAGTTGCTTTCATTCTGTGTTGAACATCATAGCTACCATATAAAGAATTGTATTATCAGCAAGGATTTATTGAGGAGAATTCTCGTTCTTATGCGTTCAATGCACACTTTTTTGGTTCTCTGCGCTTTGAGATTTTTACGTAAAATCATTTCAATGAAGGATGATTTTTATAATCGGTGAGTTTTCTTTTTTATTTTGGCTGATCATCTTCTTACTTTTAAAAATCTTACTCTAGATATATTACAAAAGGAAATCTTTTTGCACCAGTTGTCGAGGCCTTCATTCGCAACAACGGACGTTATAATCTTCTTGAATCTGCCATTTTGGAATTGTTTGAATTCATAAAATTAGAAGATATAAAAATGCTTTGCACTTACGTTGTCGAAAATTTCGGTAAAATCTTCGATGAAATTCAATACGTGCAGACATTTAAGACTTTAAGAAATAAATATGATCAGCATCAAGACAGACTAAAGGATAAGGAAAAGGGTTACGATACGTAATTATCTAATTTAATTAATAATTTATAAACACAAAGAGTATATTAATTCATTCATTTTCAGAATGCCGTCTATCTTAAGAAACTCAAGGTTTCGTCGTGATCAACGTCAACCACCAGAAGAAGAAGAAATGTGGTTTAACGAAGAAGATGATTTTGAAGATGTTCCTGCAGACACAAAAATTGTATCAGATCTGGATAGCAGCATAAGTAATGCAATCATTAACTACTTAAAGTTTTTATATTTTTATTTTCTTCTTCATTTTTGAAGGTAAAATTTTGGATAAGAAAGCTGACTTGGTTAATGGACCAAAGCCCCATCTTCTACAAAATTCTACAAACTCAGCGATACAACATCAACAGCAACAACAATCAATGCAAACAAATGTCAATTCAACTAATAATAATAATAATCTTGTAAGTAGCAACAGTCGTAAATCAGCGGAAACAGTGACATCGTCATTGGAAGAGCGAAATGATGAAAAAGAAAATTCACCAAAGCTCCAAAGTGAAACGACAATGAACTCTGTTAATCAAGATACAAAAAGTGATGCTGTAAAAGCACTTTCTGCAGCTCTTGGCGAAGAAGCTGAAGCTGAAGATGAAGAAGAGGAAGAAACAACAAAAGAAACGAAAGTGACGTCATTGGAAGAAAGTGCTGTAACAGATCAGAAACCATCACCACCGCAACAAAAGCAGCAAGAGCAGCAGCTAGCGTCAAGTAGTAGTGATACTGAAAATGTCGATAGTAGTAACAATAGTGGCGGTGAAGAAAGTAAAGTTGAAATTGAACCAACAATGTCTGTGAGTGCCGAAGAAGAAAGCAGTGTAGGCGTCAAAAAGGTAACATTTTCTATATTTTCGAATTAATCTTTCATCTTAAATAATTAATTTTCATTATCTGCCACTTAAGGCTCTTGTTGATTATGAAGGGGACGATTCAGATGAAGAAGGAGATGAAAATAATGGAGATACAGAGGATGCTGAAGAACCGCAACATAAAAAGGCTCGTTTGGAATAGTTCAATACATAAATGTGTCCATAAATCATCCATAAATATTTGTAAAAATTTAAGGATGAAGGGAAGAAAATATGAAACAAATACACAAAAAAACTCCTAAAAGAATGGTATAACGTAAATTAATTTAAAATAATAAATAAAATAAAAATAATTTAAGTTTTAAAAATGAAATTTGTTATTTGTTTTACTTCATTTCACATTTTTCTTTATTTCTCATGATTTTTTGAAATATGACGAGCATGATGCTTTAAAAGCACAACAACTGATTAAAGCTTATACATAGGCAACTATGAAACCAAAATTTGAGAACAAGGAAAAGATTATGTTGGGATGAAAAATAATTTCATAAAGAAATTTGATCGGATTACATTTATAGATTTATTGTATCAACACATAAGCGAACAAAGGAAGAGTCTTGTTTGTTGTATAATCTTGAAAGGCTACTTTTGTTATGAATCAAGACATGTTTCTCATATTTGTAATATCATAAACAAGATTGTTAAGAAAAATGTTTACCAATAAATTTTCAACAAAAGGATTATTGAAGGTGATGAAGATAAAAATAGATAGTTAATATCTTGGTTAATGTGTTAAATATCTATGAGAAAGAGAATTATTTTTATTTCAATTTATTTTCCTAACTTGTTTACAAATTGGAGAATAAAGATTTCAATTAAGCACCAGCCTTTCTAAAGCTTAGCTTTAATCTTAATTTGAGATTCGAATTTTAAATTTAATTTAGTATTTTTTTTTATTCGATAATTTAAATTTTAAATTGAATGAAAGTGTCATAATCAGGAAAATTTAAGAAAGACCTGATAGTTAAATATCTATGGATACCTACTTATTAAATTAAATTTAACATTGCAGCTTTAATTAAATCTAAATTATCGTGAATAAATAACATACTCTGTGCGTGTAATTCTGTTACACGGTTTTGGAATCTTAGGACTTCATGAGATGAAAAATTCTGTTTGCATCGATTCAAAATTGGACTTATAGATAAAACCGCCTTTGCAGTTTTGAAGAGTGTTGGATATTTTTTCTTATTTAGAAACCAAAACATACCCAAAGTTTGATCTTGTTTCGCTGATTGAGTTATTAGAGAATAACTTGTGAACTCACTCAGTAATGACGCTTCTAGAGTTGCAGGACTTCTGTCTATCAATGAGGATATCTCCAAGCGTGCACGTTTTGCTGGTATCTGAAATAATTTCTATGATATTAACTGACACTTGCGAGGATTTTTGAAACTCTCACCGAGTTGTTCTCATTTTCTTCATTTGTATCGTCTGATATTTCTATTATATACTTTTTCATGACTTTCTTGATGATTGTGTAAGGAGTTTCTTTCACACTTTCAAAATATCTCTTCAAATATGGTTCATAAACTTGCAAAGGATCTAAAAATGCTGCTGCCAAATATTCATCATGAATCTTTATTCGTCTAATGAATGCAGCACGGAACTCTTCATAAACTAATTTCATGTGGTCTGATGTGCTTTGACATTTAATTTTGGACTCAAGCCTAAGATGAAATAAATTTAGTAGGTAAGCAATTTTATGTAATAAAATAATTTAAAAAATATTTACGTTTTTAAGACATGATTGTGAAATACAATAACGTAATGTGAGCTCGGTTCCTTTTCATGTTGAAGAGGTGACAAAGATGCACGAATTATGTCAAAGAAGATTTTAACTTGTATCAATATTTGAATCTCAATTGGATTCATAACCAGATCAGTTCGTTTAAAAAGTACCAGTAAAGAAGGATGGACAAGTAATAAATTGATTATGACTGCAATAAAGGGTTTTACATTGCGTAATGAATTAATAACTAAGTCACTTACAAATATATGTTAAATATGCGTTGACCATATCAGCATATAAATACCAACGAGTGTTGCTTTTATTGAATGCCGAACATTCATTTTCTTCGGCTTCATTTCTTGAGCAGAATTCTTCAAACGTTTGATGTCTTTTAGCCTCGTCGGTTGTTGATTGGTCAATATTCTCGTGAAATAATAAATATTCATCTGCTTTTACAGCCTCAATCATGAGGAAAGTGTCATTAAAAAATCCAAATATTTCTTTGTTTTGACTTGAAGGGAAATGTGTTATGATTTCATCTCTGTTATAAGAAAGTATTCCGAAAGAAGCTTTAACTTTCTTTAAAATTCTTTGTACGATAATCCATGAAGGACATTTAAGTAAATCAGAAGTGAATATTAAATGAATGGAATGTCCAATGCAATCAATATAAGATGAACAGTTTGTAATGAGGCCAGGAAGATTCATCAAGGTGGAATCATGATTTCCACTGCTCATCAAAATGTGATTATCCAATCCATAATCCGAAAGAACTTCAGTGATTTTCTCCCCTATTTGAATAGAAGAATGTGGGCGTTCAATTACTTTTGTTCCAAGTGTGAGAGTTTCCAATTCAAACACATTGTTAACATACTTTATTGCTATTGTGAGATTGGAGACCATGTGATTATAATTGGTGTAGTAAAGAAGCTGCAAGGTTATAATTTTAGGAATGCTAGCAACTTTTTCTTTAATAAAATTTTGAGCTGATATGTAAATATCGTTCAGTGCTTTCTTCACATCGTTTGAATTTGGCAAATTTTTCCCTATTTCATTTTCATAAGACATTAGGAAATTTTTGAATTCTTCTTTTTCGATGACAGAAAATGAAAGTAAATCAGTACAAAGCCACATTGCAGTAGCTTTCGCAAACGACATTTTTTCATCTTCTTGATTGGAAATAGAAATTTCTTTTGGTTCCACATCCACGATCATTTCTTCTTTATATTCTTGCGTAAGTACCTCTTTATGCACTGTCTTCAAATGTGTACGCATTCCCGTAAAAGATCTGAAAAACTTTAACTTGCATTTACGTGTTAAAAACTCGAAATATTTTATTACTTGTAGGCTGAATGAATGTGTTTTTGAAAGCACAAATTGCAATAGTGAAGATATTCGTCGCATGATGCTTCTCCCAATTCTAGTTTACCGAAATATTTCCAAACAATGCTCGATTTTCTCTTTCCATCGTATAGAACTTTAACGAATGGTTTGTTCATTTTTTTCATGCGTTTTTATAAAGATTATATTGAAGTATTAAAATATTAAAAATAGCCAGAAATATTTGTTTGAACTATCTATATTATTGAAAAATTCTTATGACTTACACTAACAATGGCTGACGACACAGTTATGAATGAGTGAGGGGTGGAAAGTGAAGAATTTTTTGTAGATCGATGTAGGATTACCGATTTGTCTTCAAAACAGTAAAAAGTCGTTGAATATTCAATTCATCATCATCAACCAAACAATATGATTGTTTAAAATTAGGTATATTAAATATCAGACGGTTAAGGATAAATAATTCAATTATTAAAATTTTATTAACACAATTGAAAGTTTACAATTTATTTAATTAGAATTAAAATAAAAAGCCAATGAAACTTAAAAAGTAAATTCTGGCTTTGTAATGAAAAATATGTTCTCTGATAACGCGACAAAAATAACATTTTTTGTGTTGAGGCAATTCGTCAATGTTCATCTCTCTATCTTAGATCTTCTGTCAAGTGAAAAGATAATAATGACACAAAACCATCTCTTAAAAAATTAGAAAGTTAAAAATATCAGAAAACAATCAAGAAGCTTGCATCAATCCACTCTTTATTATTAATGAGATGATGTTTGGTCAACGACTTCATCTCTTAATTTCTTAGCCAAAATTTTTCTCAATTCAACAACGGATCCATCTGCTGCTTCTATTTGTTCACCTTGAATTACTTTTCTTGCAGATGACAGACTTGCTGAAGATGGTCGAGCTTTGGTAGCTTCATTCAGCTGACGAGCTCGAGCTTGTTTCTTAATACTTAGTATTTTATCACGTTGTTTAAGTAAATATTCTTGACGTTCCAACAGATCAGAATTCTTAATTCGATCCTGTTCAAAAAACAGATTGAGGCGCTTAAACTTATCTGAATCCAGTTCATTGCGATCATCAATCTTAGTTTCGATGTGAATGGACTTCTCAATCTCGACATTCTCCATTTCAATAGACGAAGACGCATTTTCATTTTGACGTCTTTCAATCAAATCCAAAGCTTGAAGTTGAAGTTCAACATTGCGTTGAATCATCATGCGAACAAAAATTCTGATGTCATTTGCGGCCCAAATTTGCTGAAACAATCCTTTATGAAATGAAAATGAATGACTGTCACTGGGTTCATCATTAGCTAACGCTTGAAGGTTTTTTCCCTCAAGACATGCAAGTTCAAATTGTTCAGTCGTAATGTTCATCTCTTCCATGAAACTTCCAAGCATAAAATCAACCTTAGAATAATTTGAATAATAAGAAAATAAAGCTTTCATGTGAATGCTAGAGACGAATGTTGATTTAATGTTTTCTCTAAAGATTTTTCTTGGAAACTTTGGAACATAATTAGAATGTCAATAGTATGAAAAGAATTCTTCAAAAATAAATTCTTGTTTCTCTCTAAAATATTGTAAAATATCTTTGATATTAAAATTTACCAAATTTTTGTATTCATTGTGAACGGCGATGTATTCAGGATTTGAAATGTCAATCTCAATGTTAGGATCAAAAACTTAAAATAAGAAAAAAGTTTTTAGTAATACAGAAAATTCCAAAAAGTAAAAAATTCAAATTACTGATCGATTTTTCCTCAATAAATGTGCTTAAAGATGCGTTCCATGCTGGTGAATGAAGAAAGCAAATCAAACTATCAAAAACCCAACTTTCATCAGCCATGTCCTTCCAAATTACGAATTCCTTTGTTGCCTTTTATTAAATCACTAACAGATTGCCTTTTTCTGCCTATAGAATGTGTATGGATGTTCAGTTGCCATGGCAAGGGCCGAAGTAATCAATTCAAGTGTTCGATTTTCTTTTTAAATATAGAATGTGATGATTCAAGTTGTTCTCTTTACATTTCTACAATCATTTATTCATAGATTAATAAAATTTTAACACAAAATTGATTATTTCTTGAGATACATGAATATTGTGCAAATAATTCTTTATTCAACTAAATATTTCCAATGAAAATTTTAATACATTTTACCGACAATGATGACAAAAAGTTTTTAATATGATAACATTAAACAATGTTTTTAAATAATTTTAATGTGATTACATTTCTATGAAATAAATGACAAAACTCAATAATTTTTTTATCTGTGATTTATAAGTATCCAAAGGCTTTCAATTAAACTTTTACGTAATTTAATGTTTCTCAGAAGACATCACCATTGTAATATGTATACACGTGCTTGGAAAATCTCTTACTTAGTATTAACACAACATAAATAAACAAACTTTTAATCTACGTAAGGTTCAATGATATCTTTTTCTCTAAATTTTCTGTAATATTGTAAGATGCCTTCAAATAAGAAAAAAAAAAATCCTGCAGAAAAACCAAAAAGCAAGACTAGAAAACATCCCTGCATGTCGTCCATATTGACAGTATGATTAATAACTTCAATAACCGTAGACTGCTTCGAGCAGCGGTCTTTTTGTGGCATGTATTGCTTCATCCAACGTTCTATCAAACCCATTTGGTGTAAACGTGTTATTTCTATGTTGAATAAATCAAGATATGGTGAATTCATTGGAAATACGATTCCTTGAAGAAGAAAATTACGATTTTGTTTACTAAAACTTATCAAGTTTAATTAGATTAACGTTTTACCAATTTGTTCTTCCATAAACTCTTCGAAACTCAATGAAAAGTCACATGATTCTGTTTTCAAATGTTCTCGTCGCATAATCTGCTTCAAATTTGATCGCCAATCGATATAAACATGCTTTCCTTTACGAACATTTTCTATAATCTCTTCGTTTTCGTCAGGATAGAAATTTGCACCACTATAGAGAAGTTGATATTTGTGTATATCTGTGTCTCGAATATAATCTTCTAGATACGTTCCACCTCTCATTCCCCATGTAACACTTTTATGATGTTTAACCAATTCATCCACCGTTTTAATTTGATTATCAATTTTTGGAAACTTTTAAGCAATAATAATAAAAAAATCAACTTCATAGATGACATATAATTTTATTTTAAAATAAATATTACCGTCAAAAAAGCAACAAGATTTCCACAGTAAGTTGTTACGAGAACTTCAATTTTATTTTAAAAAAAATTAAGTAATAAAAATAAATATTAAAAATTTACCAATAACAATGAGCCACCAAGAGCCTTGAAAACAATAAAAAAGATATTAAAAGAAAATCGATGAAAACTTTTGTTTTTGCTTCTTACCGATAATAATTCTTCCTGAATCGGCATGAGGTAAATAAAGGCCACCTTGTTGTAGTAATGCTCCATAAATATACCTATGATTTATTATGCTTAATTTCTTTGATTCTATGACTAGAATTTAATTAATTACCAAAAGCAATTATCAATTTTGAACAATCCTAATGTTCTTTGATGTCTGTGAAATTCATAAAATGGACTTAAACGATTAACAATGCATAGAACTGGAGGTAAGATGACAATCATTCCCGCCAAGCACAGCCACGTCTGAAATTATAATAACAATAGCAATAAGACTTAGAAGAAAGACGATGGTTAGAAATTAAATACCAAAGTAGTGAAAGGTGCTGCGAATAGATAAATTCTGCTTATCTCCTTTGGCTTAGCAACAAGAAAACTATAAGGTTGAATACTTATTGGGACTGAAAAGTTAATCAGTCGTTTATAACGTTCATTTATGGTGTTTGCAACTGCTCCAAGAATTATATGATTTTCACTGAGAAGAGATAAAACTTCTGTAGGAATATCGGTTGTTAACAAGTGAATATCTTTTGTCACCTTTCAGAAAAGAAAAAAAAAAAAGATTATATCAATGTTGTCGACAGAGAAACTTCTCAACATTCTAAATTATCACAGCAATTTGGTTTACGTACAGTTCCATTAGCATCCGTAATATTTGTGGCTGTAGAGACTTGAGCAAGATGAATTACATATGAGAAGTTTAGTTTTTTTGAAACTTCGTTTAGTATGTCAAAAACCACTCCTGATGGCATCCCTACAATTCCACTTTCGTTATTTATCACATACTGCCATGGAGGGTTCTATAATAGAAGTTATGATGTGAAACTATTTTCAAACATTGAATGAGAATCATCGTATTTCTTACATGATAAGTGATCACTTTAAATTGTTTATTCCTGAATCCATGAGATACATGTGGAAAGAGTGCATCGGTCATTTTCAACCCATCAAAAGGTTTCCAAAATCCCGCATCAATCATTTTAAGGCCATTTGAGGTTTCTTTTGAATCTCGACCATCACTGCTGACTTGTTTTAAAAAACCGTCCGAGAAAGCTGAATATTTATATTGATTGCCCCAAATTTCTGAACTTTTTACATTCCAAGTTGTACATGCAGCACATTTCGAAGTTTTTCTGAGATTATCAAGCATGAAATTGAGAATGTCATTTCTTCGTTCTTTTTTTGAAGCTCTTATGATTTCCCATTCTTCATCAGATATCTGACCATACACCGCAGCTTCCTCTCGAATAGCTTTGGATAATCCCAAAACAAAAGATTTTAAGAGTTCGTTAGAGTGACATTCTATCCCTGAAACACATTCATTTCCACCTCGAGTATGATTCAATATGAAAGCGATATTGTTCCCCTTTAAATTTCAATGTATAAATATTTAATGCCTATTTTAACAGCAAAGCTATTATCTTACCTCTTCAATTAATGTCGTAATAAAAGATATATTGTGATTTTCAAAGCTAGTATCTGACACAACATAAAACCATTGTGAAAATGTATCAACCATTTTTAAGTCCCTTGCAATTTCCATTAAACTCTGTGCACAAATATGTTCCGAAAATTCATTTATATTTAGTCTGATATTGTTTGAACATTTATCTAGATAATTATAATTGCTTATAGAATGTTACCTGCATTAATTTTGCTGTTACCAGAACCATGAAATTTTTCCCAATAAATTTAGTAGGAAGTTGTTTAAGCATAGTACGAATCATTTTTCTTCTATCCCATTCATGTGGAGAGTCTAACCAGTCGTATTCAAATATTAATTAATGAAATTAAACATAATTTTATGCCATAATTCTTCTGAAATGTGTTTACCTTTAATTCGATAAATCGATACTGAAAGTGGCTTCACCAAATCACCGGATTCGTCAGGAAAATCTCTTGAAAGTGCATTAACACATCGACTTATCATATCACGATCAAAGGTATTGTCATAAAGCAACACTTCAAAAATTTATTTAATTTATTGTCATTACGATACCAAATAGAATTTAGAAACTACCTGCTGACTTCCAAAACATGGCATGCCGTGCCTTTATATCCAAAATTACTTGTGGAAGTTCTTCACCAGGTGATGTTAAGGGAATCTTAATATTACAAAGAAACGTAAAATATCTCAAAAATCATAACAAAACATGTACTTGCCATTATTGCTTCATCGTAAGGCAATCGTGGACAATCTGGATCAGTAATTGCCATCAACAGAAGATATTCACTGCGAGAATCTTCGAAAATTTCCCAAGTATTTTCACAATTAGTTATGCTTAAAACTGCTGTGAAATCTTTTTTCAAATTAATCCGTGTCCACGAGTAGTATGAAACAATTAAGCCACCATTTTTCAAATCTTCACGAAGAACACGTTCAATAATAACTTTAATTTCATTCAAAATATTTTCATATTTATTGTCAAGATATTCTCTATCGATGATGATTGCAATTGATGCATTAGCTGTTAATAAGCTAGGAAAATCATCACACAAACTTTTCTCTATTGTCACACTAGAAATTATTAAAAGTATTAAGTTTTTAGTTAGGTTCATCCTGGTAGTTGAAAGTTTTTATGTTGCTTGTGCCTTTGAGACTGATTTTCAAAGTTTCACTTCCATACTCTTTATATACTTCGTTGTTAATTGTAAGATCAGAGAAGGCTTTTTTATTATTCAGTTTTTAATCAAAGAAAGTAAAAACATAGAACAGTTGTTTAATTTTTAATTTATTTCTACTAGGGTTCTCACTATGTCGTTAGACTATGTCGACGACATACCAGACATAGTGAACAAAGGTATGTCGTCATACCGTCAGACCTGACGTCATACCAGATTTTTTTTTGTATGGGAGAGTGGACAATTCAAATGTCTTTTTAACTGTCCATCGGATCCCATTGCAATATATTGAACAAATGTATATTACAAAAGTACCTATCGAATTGAGTCATTCTTAGTTCGGCTCGGCTCCGTCAGAGGGCGTATTGAGGGCTTATATTTGAATTTTCCATATAAAACGTAAATACTTATGACATTTTTCAAACTTCAGATTTCATTCACAAATCTACAAATTTCAGCGTTTTTCAGCATTAATGTCACTATATAATAGACGCTTCGTGTATCCAAACCGAAAAAAATCACATTTTTAGATATTTTTCATGCATGATTTTTTTTGCAGTTCTTTAGCTATAAAACTCAAACTATTAGATTTAGGTATAAAGTATGTATGGCAAAGTTGTTTGTTTAATACATTGTATTTCTGTAGAATGACAACAGAGGGCAATAAAGACGAATTAATTAAATAATCGTCTCTGGCGCCTCTAGTGCCAACGTATTGAAATATGAGCAATAAAAAAAAGTTGCAGAATGTCTTAAGGAACAACTTTTCCAAACATGCTTTATACCTAAATCTTATAGTTTAAGTTCTGTTTTAAGAAATCTCAGAACTCCAAAAAAATATTCATGTATGAAAAAAAATAAAATAGCCTTTCTATACAAAAATAGTAAAAATTTGGATGAAAAAAATAAGAATGATTACATTTTTGATGATGTATTTGCATTACAAGCTGAAGATTTTCGAAATTGCATTTATTATTTGATGATAGAAACGCACATTATTTGATGATAGAAACGCACTCTCACATCAACCAACAGACGCAAAATTAAAGCAAATAATCTGTGAAAAGTCTGACACATTAAATCATAATTAAAATGTTTGAGTTTTTTTCTACGTCACTGGAATGTTCTTTGGAGGAGGGAGTAACATGGAGCTTGCCCCCAGAAGCATTAACCAGTGACCTTTTTCTCAAACGCATTATTTTCACATGAAAAAATTGACTAAAATTTTTTGTTGTTAAATTTAAAAATCTTCTGACAAATTTTCGTAACTTTTTATTTAAAAAAGAATGTTAAAATAACTAAAATTTGCTTACATACAACACATTTAAAAAAATTTTATCTGCTGCAACTTAAGGGCTTTAGCCTGTTTATGTAGTCGAAATGCAAAAATAAAATTGGACAATTTAAAAATAAAACAGAAGTCAAAATTTCAAAATATCTTGCTTTTACTTTTTCCCATACAAAAAAATATCTGGTATGACGTCAGGTCTGACTTGACTACCCTAATTTCTACTGACTTCATTAGATCTTTCAGATAACCAAGCGTGTTAAAATATATTTGAAAAGCGACCCTTTGATTTCTTATTATGAAATCGTCCACAAGTTGATAGGAAAACGAAAGTTTCTATGTAATATTTTCAAATAAATAAATTGAAAACGAAAATAGTTAGCAAATACAAAGAGAATCGGAAGTAAATCAATAAATTGAGAATTTCTCGAGTTTGTTAAAGCTTAAAATAAAATTCATTTCTAATGTGCTCAATTTTTTTGGAACTCTTGGTGGTTTGTGTATTTAGGTCATTGTAAATATTACTGAATTTTTTATATCTGAGTCAGGTTTGAATGGTTCCAATTCGCAGTTTTACATCCCTTCTCAGTAATGGACGACAACAAACTTTTTTCTTTTTTAAGCTTAGAAATGACACAACAACGAAGCAATGAAAATATTTAAATAGCAAAACACGTGATTAAGAATTTTAAAGAGAAAATCAGAAATTTTTCATCTTTATTTATGTCGAAAATGTTTTCACAGTTTTCTTTTTTCTTTCTTACCACAAATACAAGCCATTAGATTTAGAAAAATATTTAAAGATACGATTAGATAGCATCAAATAAACGATGTTGTTGAACGAGAAAATCTTCAAGCAATTGTTTAATTGCTGTAAAGAACGAAATATTACAATAAAAGATTAGAAGTTGGTAATTCCGGCTGGTTTTAATACCGTTTTTTTTCAGTATCTTAAAACCGTCTTGGGATTTTTCATGTGAAAATATGAAAATGTTTTCAACTTTTAGCCAAATATCAAGATGTCAAATTGAATTTAAAGCCTAGATATTAAGCTAAAAGTTGAAAACATTTTCATATTTTCACATGAAAAATCCCAAGACGATTTTAAGATACTGAAAAAAAACGGTATTAAAACCAGCCGGAATTAGCAACTTCTACTCTAATAGATTAGTTAGTTTTCTGGATTGCTTTTGAAAATATAATGACATAGTTGTAATGAATTATTTATAAAGTAGGTAATTGCTGCACTCATCTAAGGACAGTCCGGAGGGAATAAACATAAAAAATATTAACATAAATGCTTCCAAAAACATTTTTTATAATTAGGTTTTGTTTCTTGAAAACTCTTCTGTTACCTTATTCTACTTCATTTAATAAGAAGTTAATTTAGGAATATCATTTTCAAATTCTTACACATTTTATCATGAAGATTATCAAATAAATTATAAAACTTACCAATTTAAAAATAAATAAAAAAATCGAAAAAGTAGATTAATGCACTAACTTTTTCGTTGAATTTCTAATGAATTTTCCTTGTTCTATTTAGTATAATTTTTCTCTTTTTTTTGCCATTTTCTTTTTAATGGCTTCAAATTTTCTACAATTGTATGTATTTTTTCATTTCTGCCAATAATTTAATGTAAAATTTCTTCTAACTTCATATAAACAGTTACTCGAACAGTTCAATAAATAAGGAATTAATTTTTATTTTCTTGAACATGGTTTCTACTAAATTACCAAGAATCGAGTCATTTGTGAATAAGATTTATCAACATTTAACAAATTCTTACGTTCATGTAAGACATAATTGTCACCTTCTGTTATGATAAATTAATTTATAAAAAATTAGAAACACCCATCGTAAGTATGTGTGTGTTTGTGTGCAAACATAAACATAAAAGGACGTCATTGTTGTTAGGTACTAATTTTTTTTTCAACTCCTTTCATAATTTTTCTTGTCGTTTTTATAAAAATTCTGTGTTGGTAGTGTTCTTAATAAAAAAAAGTCAATGGCTACAAATAGAAGTGTCGTTATGGAGGAGAAGAAAAAAATTGCCTCTTGTTTAAAAAACTAAGAGCCTCTCAGCACTTCCTTCCTCTGAGCTGTCATCTCCATTTGCTTCATCTTCATCATCTGTTGTGACATCAGTTGCAACGGCTCCATCTATGATTTCATCTATGAACACATTTTTTGTTGATTTAGGAATAAGGTTAATATAAATTACTATTACATTTTGAAATTTAAAGAAAGTGAAGCACGAAACTTACCACAATTTGGTTTTTCACGTGTCCGAGTGTTTGCAAATTCCACTCCATGCTTATCAACACACCAACAGATTCCAACTGTTAAATGGCATTGAGTGGCTTTATAGAAGCCTTGCGAGTCACATTCTGGTGCATAAGATCCAACCATGTCGCCATTTAAACGACGTCTTACAGCAGCACACGGTCTGTCTGTCTTCTCAAAGCAACGACACCATTCTCGTGTATTCAAGAAACCATTCTGGTCTACGTCACAAGTATCAATAAAAGGCTTGATGCATTTTTCATTCTGTGACCATAAATTGTGTTTATGTTAAAATAATGCTGTCTTCAAAATTAACATAAATATCTCACCTGATCATGTTCAAGATCATAAAGTTCTTGCAGAGATAACAATCCATCTGAATTTATATCTAAGTGTCCAAACATCCATCGTGCTTCATTCTTGCATGTCTCTGACGATTTCACTGTTAAATAAAAAAATATAAACATTTAAGAATTAACATGAAAGTTAATTATGTTGCCTTTCGATTTTTGTTCATGATTAAGTCGCTTTTTGCTATCAGCCATGATAACTGAAAACCAATCCAATAAACGATTTCCGATAGCAGTCAATTGTTGTTGCTTGCATTCACTTGAGATAAATTCTATAATTAAGAACTGTAATAAATTTATCCTGCATGATAATTTTAATATCCTCTACTCACTCTTTAAATTTGTATTCTTAAAAATTCTTACTGGAGGCTGTTTATCAACAACGTCATTGTATTCATTTTTTCTCTTCTGTTGCTCCTTCTGATCTTCACTCTGAGTTTTCCAACATTGAATAATGTCATAGATGGTAAAAAATAGTGAGAAAGTGAACAAAAAATTATTATTTTCCTTTCACTCACCATTTTCATTTTTTTTGCTGTAAACTTGATGTATTTGTAATGTTTGTTATCATATTTAATGTCCTCTGGGGTAAATGTATATTTTGGGTTGACGCGATTGTAGCGATTCTTGCTTTTTTCCTGAGGTAGAAAAGGGAAGTAAAAAGCATTATGATGGATGTTATACGTGAGATTTTGCGTGTCTATACACTTAGAAATGTTCATATTTTGTTACATATCTGACCTTTGTTACATCGTTGAAGTCTGTGACGGTTGATCTTTGTTGTGTGCCTGATGTACGTTGAACACTTTTCTTAAACTTATCACGAAGTTCATTAAAACGATTATTCTTTCGTTTCATTTTGTCGGTGACATCTAAATATCAGAATGGAAAAAATTAAAAGAGAAATAGAAATCAGTAGCGTTCACCACTCCTACGTTTCTTTGTCTGAATAAAAATAATAATAAAAAAAAAATTAAATGCGAAAAGATTGGGGTGGGAATCAACATTGAAAATTTCGTTTTGGTTGGTGTCCCAACTGTCACTAACACACTTCCAAAAGAACAACAAAAAACTACTTTAAGTCATATCAATCAATTTATTGATGTCGGCTGACTCGACGTACCTTCACATGGACAAAATTGCTTGCATGTCACCTTTATTTGCGTAGCATGGAGGCAGTTGTGGTAATCTAGACGGCATAATGATGAATATGTTTTGTTATCTGATCCACATAGGAACGTTGGTTTTACAACTGGGCACGGCTTGCAATTACTTTGTAATGAAAATGTTAGAATTAATAGAAATAAAATGAGAATAAAAATTCAAAGATTGAAAATTTTAAATTTCATTATTTAATTCTTACTCTTCTTCCTGTTGGCTAGAATCTGAATCATAGAAAAGGTCATCGTCTTGTTGAGAGTCCTCAGATTTTGATTCCACTTCACTTTGTTGCGTATCATCTTCGTTTTCAACGACATCTGCATTCCGTTTTGCTTCATCTTCTAAAAATTTATTTTTCGTCAAAACTTCGTCCCTGAAGAATAGAAAATAAATAATTTACATAAATTCATGATTTTCTTTTTGATAGAATTCAAGTAAACAGACAAATTTAAAGGACAGTCTAATTATAATGTGAGGGACTAAATATTTTTCCTTTTTGCTCAGAGCATAATGACTTGTGGAAAGTTTTAAAATTGCAAAGGTTGAAAATACAAACTTGTTTCTATGTAGCTCCTTCTTTGAGACGCATACTGCTGTATAAGCATCTTCTAATAAGCAAAGTTCCTTCTTCTTGCAATTTAATGGCTTGCAGAGATCATCTATGTAGTGAATGAAGGAAAAATAAATATTTTTGCATGTTTGATAATTCATAACTTCATTTACTTGATGGGTCGTGTATCCATTTTTTTCTCTCAGAAATGGATGATTTACGTTGACTTGTTTTGTAATCCTGGTAAACGAAATATAAAAACCCTTGTCTTAGTACCTTATAAATAAGAAACTTAAACTATTTAGGAACAATTTTCTCTTTTAAAAAAGCTTTGCTTACATGAAATAAACATAAATATTTTTGAGTTTCCAATAAAGTAACAAGAATGGAATGAATAATTTCGTGTTCATTCTACCTTTATAGTTTGCTGTTTAAAATTTTATGACTAATTTCCGTGCAAATGGTAAAGAGTTTACTTTTCATGAGTTCCCATATTAATGCTTATGTATGTTCGTAGATTAGTTGGATTATTAATACTTAATAAATATCTACAGATATATGTATGAAAATGTTATTAACTCACCTCATCTACAAACTCAAAATCTCCTTCATAATACTTCCCAGTGTTAGCGACTGGCTTTTTATTAGCTTCTATTAAAAGGGAAGTTGAGCACAAAACAAACAAAACACACAGGGAATATTTCATAATTTTAATTAAATTATTTCAAGGAAAATATTGCGAATGTTGAAATTGATTTTTTTCGCCTGAATTTTTTTCGAATTGAAAAGATCGAGAATCGAGAAATTGATGTTTTTTAATTTCTCTATAGTACTTTTTTGACTTTTAAAACGTTTTAGGATTTCTTATTATTTATTTCAATTCAATTTTAAGTATAATTTTAGTTAGATTTTGCAAGCAGAAAAATTCCTTTACACCTTTGAACCAATGAATATTGAAGACTGCCTAAATAAGTTTTCAACTAAACGGTTCAAAAATTTCCACATTCTGGAACCAAAGGATATCATGCGCATGGCTTGGAATTTGGAAGTTTCGTGAAAATATTGAACCAAAACTCGGCATCAATCATCCGATTGAATAAATCTTAGCAACTTATTTGAATTCTTAGAAAATACCTGGAAATTAATCTATTACAAATTATATGAAGAGGTTTTTCATAATAATTTTATTTACGTTGCAATATTTATTTAATTTTGTTTAAGAAATCATTTACATTTCGACTTTAGATCAACCTAATGCATTATAATGTATCACTTGAATCTTTGGATTGAATTTTAGTTTCCAATTTTTCAAAAACTTTATCTGACATTTTATCGCTTTCATCTTTCACTTGTTCAACTGCTTGCACTTCTGGTATATAAAATTGAAGCATGTTTTGAACTCCATTTTTCAGTGTTACAATCGACGAAGGACATGAAGAACATGAGCCCTGCATTTTCAGTTTCACAATTCCATCTTCAAAACCCATGAAGATTATGTCACCACCGTCTTCCTGCACAGTTGGTCGAATTCCTTGAGAAAATTTAATTTATTAAAATTCTTCATTTAATTTGAAAATTAAATTACTCGAATCAAGAAGCTCTTTTATCATCTGTACTGTTTCATCGTCATCATCGTTAATTTGAGTGTCGGCGTTTGGAGAATGCTCGAAAACTATTGGTAATCCACTCGGAAAGAAGTCCATGATAACTGCAAATATTTCTGGTTTCATTACTCTCCACTCAGCATCCTCTTGCTTTGAAACTGTTATAAAGTCTCCACCGAAAAAAACTGATTGAACTCCTTCTATTCTAAAAATTAATTTTGCAAGGGGCGACGAAAGAGCTGCTGTTGCATTGGGGAAATCGCGCGTATTGCCTTTACCTAGAACTTCAATTCCTGGAAGAAATTTTAAACTATCTGGATTTGGCGTATCTTGAGTTTGAATAAACATGGTTCTTGTGACACTTTTTAAGAAACTTTTATTGCTGATTTCCAAAAGATTCCGTTGTTTGAGTTGATTTGATATCATTGGGGAAATCATGAATGATCTGAGAAGAAGTAAATTTTAGAAGCTTTTCCTTTCTATAATTTTCGCTAATAGCTTTTACCTGTTTCTAGATATTTGCATACAAATCGTAGGACCCATTCCAGAAGCCAATATCGGAAAATTCTCTTTATTACTAAGAAGACTATAGAATGAAAAAAGGTAAACATGCATTGTTCAGATAAATTTTAAATGTAACATTTACAACTTCATACTTATGACATCTCCTAGCATGGATCCCAGAATTACAATGTTGAAATATAAACACATTTCTTGTAGTATTTAATGTTTTAAACATTGTGAGTTTGTCTAATTTTTTGAAAAGCCAAAACAAAAACAAACGCGTAGTAAATACAGCCTGCTTGAAAAACTTATTGAAAGCTGAGCGTGCGTTTGTTCGAATTTCAGCAACACAGATTCTCAAACTTTTAATATTTCGCAAACAATTGTTGTTCGCTCGCGATTTTCCTAAATAATAAAAGATTTTATTTCAATTGACGTTTTATGAAATAATAAGTTAGATTAAAATTTCATTAAATGAATGCAATCATCAACTTGAATCACTTTTGTGAAATTCATGGTCCACAGATAATATTCTCAACTCAAACAATTCGAGACAAATCTTTACTCAATAATTCATCCACAATAAGTTCCTCAAATGTGACAATTAATAGCATTTGTTCTGCATGTAGTTCCATTGGAAATAAAGTTCTTTTTGTATCCAAAGATAACAGTAGTTCAATAATGTTTTTGAGCAGCGAAAAGGCTGTTTTGGGGAAAAGTTTTGGAACCACCACATTGCGAAGCTTAAGTTGCGAGGTTTGTTGTACTCTTACCAAATTGAACGTTATCCAACTCATGAATCTACAATTTAATTACAGAATTCATCGAATGACCAAGAGGGACTTGTTTACTATGGCGACTCCCGTCTAAATTCTTTATATTTTACTTTTAAAATCAAAGATTCATTGGCTCGAGGATTTGAAAAATGTTATTCGATTGTTATTGGTAAACAATTTAAAGTTGATATGAAAATCTATTTACACCTAATAAATTTTCATAGTTATGAAGGATAAGATGTTTCTTCTGAACACACAACCATTCTTGTCAAACGCAATCAAGGAAATTGTGAATCAAATGCAAGTAATAAATTTCAATATATGTATGAAAATTACAAGAAAAATAATTCTTTTAATTTAAGAGTAACGCATCGAAAATATATGAAACTGAAGAAAAACAATTTCCTCAACGAGCAGAGCGATTAAACACGGGAAAACCTTCAAATGTTCCTCCAAGATCTTTGAAAGAGCTTACAGGAGAGTTAAACATTTTTGCTCATTTGCATTCACTCTTTTCTTGGATTCTGTTTGCAGGTAGTCGATATCATACGGAAACACTTGCATTGGGTTCTCCTTCTGTACCAGCACTTTACAAGGACATTGAAGAAGGATTTGCATTTATTCAAATCGACAGAGTAGAATTCTTAATGAATAATTTTCCATCAAGACCAAGCGATGTTTCTGTAAACAGTGAAAACGACATTGAAAGCAGTCAAGGCAGTTACAGCTTACGCACACTTAAGAAATGTTTTAGCTCATCGATTTTTAATCATATTTTATACTACTGTTTAGTGGGAGTACCAATAATTATCAGGTACGAGAAATTCTTCTTACTCAAATTTCATTATTTAAATATAAATTTTTATAGAGGAAAAAGAAGTAGAGATTTGGCTCATTATTTTCGGGATCTTTTGCCGTCACCGCTGCATCGTCATATAGTTGAGTCTAAAAAATATAACAGCTCTGTAAAAATCTTATGTCTTCCACTGGATGCTCTTATACCATCAACAAATGCATGTCGTATCGATTTGAAGGATGAACAAATAGAATCGAGCATTTGTAAATGCCCACTTGAATTGCCACCAAAACTTCCATCGTTGATGGTGAAAATTTTAAATGCTGTAGATGAAAAAGCGTTTTCAGATACAGTCTTGGATCGTTTTTTGAAAGCATTAATGGAAGAATGGAAAAACAAAGTCATTTGTTTGTCACATCATGAATTATCTAAACTACATGAAATGAAGAAAGTTCTTGGAATACAACCACATGATGAAAATTTAGTTCATTATTGGCTGAGTGCATTTTAGGAAATTCCTGTTCTAATTTAAGTTTTAATTCTTGTTCATCTAACATGTTTCATAAATCCAAATATTCTATTTATATTCATGAAAAACTGCAAAAATATTTTATTGAAATAAAACGCTAGATATAATTTTTTTCTTGTTAATATGATATTTTTTAATTAATACCTAATTAAGTTTCACACACTAACTGAGAACTTAGTTGAAAAAACTTTAAAAACATGTAACGGTTTTTATTTCAAATTTGCCGCTGTGCGTAAATTGTTGAAGCTACGCAACGTTAGAAAATTTACCCAATGAATTTTTGTGGTATTTCGAGAAGAAGAAATGTTCGTATTTACATCTTTGCTAATGACTAAAGCAAGTTTTTAAATTGCACGAACACTTCATCGTATCTTAAATTATTCAGTTTAGGCAAACAACTTTTGAAAACAAATCAAAAGGGTGAGAATAAATAAAAAATGTAGAAAAACATTTATTTTTTTCCTAATTTAAGAATTCGAAAATTCTTCAGGTTTTAAATGTATATGATTTAATTATCTCACAGATAAAGATGAACGGAAATGGAGAACGTGTTACACCGAATTCCGCAAAACCAAATAAAGATTATAAGCTTCTTAGAGACCCTCTGATTTCGGGAAAAAAGGAACCTAAGGTCTATCGATATGAGGGCATAGTCAGTACGGATCCATTAACATTTGTCGCAGTTCGAGATCCACGAAGTCGTATAACGGCGTTAACTAAACGTTTGGAACCACTTGATTTGCCTGTTCCAAGGTGATTTTCTCATAAAAAAATGTTTTCATCTCTTCTTCTAAGTCTAAAGAATAAAATAATAATTTTAGGCTAATCATCGACAAAGATTATATAGGAAAACCTCCATCAATCGAAATAACAATCCAGAACTTAAATGACAATGTTGATAAGAATTTTTTGTCCGATATGCTTCAAAAAGCTGGTCTCCAATGTGATGAAATTACAATTTACTATCATCCAGAAAACAATAAACATTTAGGAGTAGCGCGCTTAATTTTGCAATCACCCAAACAAACCAAAATATGTATTGACAAGTTCAACAATAAGTCCGTGATGGGAAAGGTAAGATAAGCATTTGATACAGATATTTATTTAATTTTTATTATTTTTATAGATTATTAAGGTTTTTCATGATGCTTATGGTGAACAATGTAAAAACTTAATTGAAGCACTTACAACAGAAAAGAAGCCGGTGCCCATTGTACCTGTAAATCCTCCTCCTAACATTCTAGCATCATTTCTTCCTGAAATACCGAAAATTATTCAACAACCCAGTGTAGAGTTTTCAACAGACATCACAGATGAAAGAATTTGGTCAGCTGTTGGCACAACTGGCGCCACTTCAAATAAATATAAAGGAAAGAATAATATGGATAATGCTTGGGATGCTTCAAGTTACAGCTCTCACAGTAGAGGATGTGCTTCGAAACATGAGGAAGAATACAACAGTCGATCATCGTCAAGTAACAAATATTACGATAAACATGAAAGTCGCAAAGATAGAGATCGCAATTATAGTGGTAAATATGGGCATCATTCATCTCACAGAAGTCAAGAGAGAGTTGATAATTTCGAACGTGATCGTCATCGAAGGGATAGAGACGGTGACAGCAGAAGAGATTATAGAAGTAAAAGTGACTGGAAGGAGCGAGATCGAAATTCTCGAAAAGATCGTGATAGAGATTATTACGATTACAAGAACAGTCACCGTTACAATTACAATAACAACAAAAGTTATTCGAGACAAGATTCATATCGAACAGATTCCTCTGATGTATCTGAAATGTCAAATTATGAATATTACAACTCATCGTCAGCATCTTATGGTGGTTATAATTATCCTCCTTACACGACACCATCTTCATCAACGTGGACTCCACCACCACCAAAAGTACTTCCAGAAGAATCACCTCCACGACCACCTCCTGAACCGATCATAAATGATGGCGATGACGATGATGAAAATGGTGCTAAAAGTATAATTAAAGATGGGGAAAATACTGTTGATTTAGATACAAGAATTGCAATGTTATTTAAAACAAAATCTTTTGAAAGCGATGTTCCAGCATTGTTTCCAGTTGATGACAATGAATCCGAAAAGGAAATGTCATCACAAAATAAAAAGAACCATGAAAATTCTTCTGGAGTTGATCATGACATTTTAGATCCTTCTAGAGACATGAAAGTGAGAGTTAAAGTGAAATGTGAAGAAGGAGAAATGGAAAATTCAAGTGCCAAACAAATCTCATCATTAAAAGAAGAGAAAGAGTTGGATGATGAAAAGAAAAAGGATATTTCAATCGATACATCAGATGGAAGCACGCAAAGTACAATTCCAAGTCCTTTTCAATCACGTAAAACTTTTAAAGCATCTCGTCGTTCTATCAAATTATCTCTGAAAGCTTCGAAACGGAAACAAGCGAATGAAAAAATTAAAGTTGAATCTGGGGCTAGCGATATATCGTCAAGTGAAGATGAATTATTAGCGAAAGGAAGTTATAGCCCTCCATTATTAAAATCTCATCATTCATTGTTAATCAAAACGGAAGATCAAATGTCACTTTCAAGTTTATCTTCGACGGAGCCAATTGAGGAAGTTAATGAAGTTAAGAATGAGATGACATCGGCTTTGAAAATGTCACCATCATCCTACGTCTATCCTGTTGGCTTCTCATCTTACAATGCTGCTTATTACTACAATAGCTCGTTTCATCAATTTCAACAACCGAATCATTGGATATCGTCAGTAAATAGTTATCATCATGATAATAACAAGAAAGATTCTCATTTTCCTGTCACTGATGATCCACATGAAGTTGCTGTCGATAAAGTGATAGAAAAATTAATTTACGAGCTCAAAAATATTCTGAAAAAAGATTTTAATAAACGTATGATTGAGAATACTGCATTTAAAAAGTATGAAGCATGGTGGGATGAACAAGAAAAGATGAAAAATACTCGCTACCATCAACAGGAACTTAAAGAAACTCCACCATCAGTTGCGACGATATCAGCAACATCATCGACACCATTGTCATCGATGAATATGACGAAAAGCTACCAAGTGAATAGTGGATTAGGAATTTTACGTAACTTAAGATTTCAAAGAATTAAACGTGAACCAGCGCCCATTTCTCAGGAAGAAGATTCAAGAAGAAGTGATCAAGATGACGATGATATGGTGCATGGATCTGATTCCGAAAAGGAAGACGACATTCAACAGACATCGAAGACAACTTACATGCGAAGAGCAGAAATTTCTTCGAGCTCTTCTGAATCCAGTGAGTCAAGTGAAAGTAGTAGCGACGATGAGGATGATGAAGAGCGTGATGGACACGCTTACAGTAGCGATACTGCCTCACTTATGTCTGATGATGAGATTACACTTCGAAAGATTCGACCGAAAAAAGAGAAAGAAAATAACAAAATTTATTCGGATTCTGAAAGCGAAAATGATGTAAAAATTGAAGACGAAAATACGCCAACAAAACATGTTGTTAAACAAAATTCAAAAATATATTCAGACTCTGAAGTTGAAGGTGAAGATCGAGAACCAGTCGAAGTGGAACAACAAAATAAAGAAGAAATGTTGAAGATAAAGAAAGAAAAAGAAGAAGAGAAAGAAGTTAAAACTTTGCCATGTCCACCAGCACAACAAGAAAAAGAACAACAATCACCTCCACCACCACCACCACCCCCACCAGCTGAATCTGACAGCGATTTCTTTAACGATGATGTAATGTCGAAGCCACCACGTACTCCTGGTAGAATATCAAGTGATGATCTTCAAGTTGAAAAAGAAAAGTCTGAAGATGAAGAAAAGAAAGTAAAAGTTACAGATGAAGCTGATGATCGGATGTACAGTGATTCTGAAGAAGAGCGTGAATATCAAGAAAAGATTCGACGTAACACTGAATGGATGGAGCAAGTCGAACGTGAAGAGAAAGAACGAGAACGTAGACGTCTTCTGGAAGCACAACAAAATAATGATGTAAAATTCGAATCAAAATCTAATGAAGAAATATCATCAGACACAACAATAAACACATCAACAAATTTAAATGATTTAATTCGTCCACCGTCAGCAATAATAAAAACGCCAATAAAAGTTGAACAATTTATCAATGATGAAGTGAAGCAACTTGAAAAGGAAAATGGCAAGAAGAAGCGAGGGAGACCGAAAGGAAGCATTGGGAGACCGAAAGAAATCAAGAAAGTTAAGAATGGTGCAGCAACAACAGCAACAGCTAAGGTTGATCATCAACTTCCATTATCAACAAGCTCAAAGACAGATCGTGATCAACTTTATTCTTTAAAATTATCACCGAATTCATCATCCGATGGAGGATCGAGTCAAGCAAGTCTTGTTGCAATTGAGCATAGTTATTCCCGTCCACCATCGTCATCGCCATCAACGACTTCATGTAGTCCTCATCAAGACATTCACATTGATCATGATTACTGTGGAAAGTCTGAGATAACGCCACTGCAGTCAATTCAACCAGGTCAGTTAGTAGAAGAGCAACATAAGAAGGAACAACAAGGAGGTACAAGGCCCGTTGGGCGTCCAAGAAAAGATCCGAATGCTCCAAAAGCTCAATATACCAAGAAGAATAAAAATGCGGTGTTGGATGAAAAATATAACAATAACAATAAATTAAAGAAGGAGAAAATAAAGAAAGTTGATCTGCGACAGCATCAATCAATGGTCGAGAATTTTGTACCTGTAGCGCGTTATAATAAGCGAACAAGTGAAGATGAAAGCGATATTTTGTGTCGTTTTGTGACGCAAGGAATTGATGATGAAGATATCGAATACATGAGACGAGCTTACAGTATATTGATTCAAAAAGATATTCCAGGAACGGAAATGTTGCATCAAGTTCATTGGGTTGATCACTGTGCAACTGATCGATCATTTGAACCTCCACCGATAAAAAAGAGACGACGAGACGAATATCCCGATGTCAAACAGCATCCAACTGGTTGTGCAAGAACTGAGGGATATTACAAGATTGATTCGAAAGACAAAGCTCATTACAAATATCATCATCTTCGAGGTGGATCATCGGTTGTTGGTCATCATGATAGTATAGCAAAGATGGCTGTAGCTAAAATGCAGAATGCTTCACGTGAAGCTCGATCAAATCAGAGAAGACTTTTGACTGCTTTCGGCGGTGCCACCGAATCGGATCTTCTTAAATTCAATCAATTGAAATTCCGTAAAAAGCAATTGAAGTTCGCCAAATCGGCAATTCATGACTGGGGACTGTTTGCAATGGAGCCAATAGCAGCGGATGAAATGGTCATTGAATATGTTGGTCAGATGGTTCGACCAAGCGTTGCTGATTTGAGAGAATCTAAATATGAAGCGATTGGAATTGGAAGTTCTTATCTTTTTAGAATTGACAGTGAGACGATTATTGATGCAACGAAATGCGGGAATTTGGCTCGATTCATAAATCATAGTTGCAATGTAATATAATTAAATCAAATAGCATGTATGAAGCATTAATCACAATACTTTATTTTTCCCTTTTCAGCCAAACTGTTATGCAAAAGTCATAACAATAGAGTCAGAGAAGAAAATTGTTATTTATTCGAAACAACCAATTGGTGTCAACGAAGAGATAACATACGATTACAAATTCCCTCTTGAAGATGAGAAAATCCCTTGTTTATGTGGTGCCCAAGGATGTCGCGGAACATTGAATTAAATAGATAATTAAGAAATGTGTAAAAAACCTTAAAAATAATTTCAACGTCACTCGTATAATTTTTCACGTTATATTTTTCTTTTCTTCTTTCCTTATCGCAATAAGTTTTTTTTTTCATTTTTCGTACAATAAAACTGAAGCTATCAAATAATTTAATTTTAAATCTTTAACTTAGGTTCATTCATTATTAGAAAGTTAGACAAAAGTTGAAATTCGTTTTTCTCTTCACAGTGTTGTCAAATTAAAGAATTAAGAAGAAAGGAAACTTTGCCAATGGTGTTCGATGTTCTGATGTTTGGTTTCGAAATAAAGATTATCGACCCTATTTCAAAGTTTATTTTCGATCACTGCCCGATTTTCTGACATAAATTACATCATCTTGATTTTATCACCATTCATGACTACAACAATTGATCAAATTTCTTTCATAAAAAGCTTCGTCATTTTTGTTCTCTCTTTCCAATAAGTTCTTCTCATTGTCTTTGAATTCATCACTTCAATCATAATTCTTCATGACTTAACTGAATTTGAACATGTTAGGTATTATGCAATTATTGCAATGTAATTCTTTTAAGAGGAATCGAATCTTAGCGAATATAAAGATTCTCGATATGTATTATTTACTATGAATGTCTAACCGAAAATAAAAGAAGAAATGGAAATTTTAGTGTAAACTTACTCAATGAATAAAAATGGAATCTTACATTTTCCATGAATTGTGGTTTTTCTTTTATTATTAGATTAGCATTTAATTTATTTCAACATAAAAAACCTAAAACAACCATTCAATGTTTAGATGAATTTTTTTTCAGAAATTATCTTAATTGTTTGTTTTCTAATCTTATTCATTGTTGGGTTTGTTTGTGAAAAGAAAATGGAAAATAACTCGCTCAAGGGTTATTTATTCTCTGATTACTTTCATGCAACTTAGATATGAAACATAAAAGTATATTTCAGCCCTTGGGCATTTTTTATGAAGCTTTCTGTTGAAGAAAAATGAGGGTCTTGGGTAGTCTATCTTATTTTTATTTATCAAGTATTCATGCGAGCCAAAACTGCTTCTTTAGTATCTTGTTATGAAAATACAATTAAATAAATTGGGTACGTGAATTCTATTTTTCTCAATTGATATCTACAGGGTTGAAGCATTTTATGGAATTATGCAGAAGACAACTCAAATAATTATTGATTGAAATCAATAGCATAAACAATTTGAGAAAAAAATAATCAATCAATTATGACTAATAATTTAAATTTAATGAACCAAATTTTGAAATTTCAAATTTGTATTGTTATTGTTATACTTATTTTTAATTTAGTTTCGATTTCTCAATCTTTCTTTTTTGTATGTTAGTTCCATGAATTTTCTAAGAACACTCGAAGGCTTTTTTAAAATTATGATACAATTGATGTTTGTAAACATGATTTTTATCATAGATAATTAGAATTCAATGTAATGAAAAATAAAATCTCAAATTTAATTAGATCCTATTTCTTTTTTTATATAAAGAATTGATCCCTTAAAGACATTTTAATTGCATAAAATTCTACACAAATCTTGTATAAATGTAAATATAAAATATATTTGCTTCTCAAATTTATTGAAGAGTCTCTTATTTAATAGAATTTTTTTTCTATTTTCTTGTGTACCATGCCATTCAATATCAATTGCTATTCAATTTTCCTTAAAAAATATGAAATCAGTTTAAATAGATTCTGTGTCAAAATATTTCACAATAGGATGAACAATATTTGAAGGAAAAATTTGTGAAAACCTTAAAGACTCTTTTTTATTGACAGATTCCTCAAAAATGTTCTGCATAAGAAAGTTTTTTTGATTTCTGGTGAATGAATACTGTCGCCTCAGGGAAAGTGAGAAGGAAGGATAAAGTTGTTTAAGAAGCTTAAAAGCGAACAATAGTTGAAACTTTCTCTGCGTACATCAGCACACTTGTTGAAGTTCATCATGATTCCCAATCTCAAAATAATCCTTGACGTATTAAAATTTTATGTGGTTGATATATAAGAATGCCATAAACTTTTCCATATTCTAGACTTCATTTATTTCGATCAACTTCTGCACTTTCGACGATGGAAAATCTGAGAAGTCTCAATTAAAAGTTCTCCGGCTTATACAAAGTTTGCCTAAATATCATAGGAAAGTTTGATTCTGTTTTGAATAACTACCATTAAAAAAATAACTTACAGGGATTTTGCAAAAAATAAGATTTTTTTTCATAGATAACTTGTCGATATTTTAAGCCATCAAAATTCATCCCTTAATGTTCTTCTGTTGCGAATTATTTTAGAGTTTCTGCTTCTATAGACCTTAAAAAAGTTTTATTTTCTATCTTTTAGATAGATTTTTGTATTTTTCTTTTCTCAGTTGTCTCATAAACTTCTCCAAACCAGTTGAACAATGAATAAAAGAAAAAAAAATAGGATGGAAATGTTCAAGCACAGTACCTACTTATCTTTTTTCATTTTCCTTTCTTTCCGAGGAAGTTATATAAAGAGTGATGGATGTATGTTGTGAAGCAGCTGTGAAGTACACTCTTTCATAATGAAAGATTGAGAGTTTTGACTCTTTTAATTAATTCCTGTTTCTTCCTAATAAAATAACATTTTTCACCACAGAAACGATTGGTTTGGCAGATATGTCATAGGTCTGTGATGTGAAATCTTATTTAAACATATTTGAGCGCAAAGCCACACATATTTCTGGATGTTCCATATAGCAGCGTTAATAGATTCGAAGGGAAATGGCAAATGGAGAAACTCATTTGATAGTAACTACCACGACCCAAACCCAAGATAATTAATTGTCAAACATTTTCACAAAGGCAATTAAAACTTGAGTTGACTAAATTGTCCCTCACTAATTTGTCAGTTCTTGTTTCTATCTCTTTATATTTTCCCTTAAATAATTTTGTGGTGGCTGCTTGTTGATGATAATACATTTTGATTCCTTCTTTTGGATTACTCAGAGGCAATATTTGGAAATGTCAAAGCTGAAACCACCAAATGTATCTTTACACAACCAACGTAACATGGGAGATGATCCTTAATTTAAATTTATTGGAAGCGTCTTAAAGGTAGTCTTAAGTTTGCGTTTAATTTATTCAAATGTCGATTAAGCGTTTCTGAGTCCCCACACTAAAGACTTATAGCTGGGAAATTTTCTATTCTCTTCTCCCTGTTTTGTCAGTTCAAATGTTTTTCCTAATAGAATAAATGCCCTTTTTGTTCAGTAGAAGGCAATTATGTAAACGCCACAGACTCATAGGTTGATGTTATATGAACTCGACAATAATGAAACAAAGCGTATGTATGAAAATTTGTCCAACATGCTTTTCAAGATAAATTTGCTGTTATCACTGCACTGCTATAAATATTTTCATTCATTCTAAAAAAACTATTTAACATCTATTTAATCTTTGTAATTATTTAAAATTTTCTCTTATATTTAGACTCGATGATTTTGACAGCCTATCAACAGACGATCGAGGGAACTTGGAAACAAACAAATTCTTCCTATTTTTCCAATAAAAAGAAATCAAAATCAGTGAACTTTTACTTTTAAAATGAGAACTTCAAACTTAATGTTTTAATGTCTTGCCGTGAGGGACTGAAAAACTAACGAACCTTTTTTATTCTAACATCCTAAATGTGAATGATAGATAAATGTATCCTCGTTTATTTAGATTAAATGAAACAATCAATAAGCATTTCTTTTCGTGATTAAAAATTGAATGTGATATTTTGATTTCGATTTTGCTAAAGTAAGCAATAAGAATGTTAAATGTCACCTGAAAAGATTGATGAAAACAAATTATCTATTCCGAGTTTGTCTTTGATTAGGATGGATGTTTGATTTAAAGAAAAAACTTTGAAGAAAATTCTTGTTTTTCTCTTGAAGCCAGGAAAAATGGGAATTTGGTTTAGGCTAATGTAGAGCAGCGAACGTGAGAAAATATAAGTTAATAATTAATTGAAAATAATAAATATTTCATTTGAAATTTTTAAAAAGGAAAAAACACAAAGTTATTTAATTTCAAGTTTTGCATCTGTAGCCATCTACGATGTTGAAATTATTTCAACGCAGATGTTCAAAACTTTTGAGAATATCTGAAAAGTTCATTCATTTATTCATTCATTAAAGTTTGAGGAAACAGCAGATTTTTTAAAAAATATTGAAATTAATTATAAATATATATTTCTGAATGTAAATAGCTTTACATGTTGCTTGTTGCCGGGAAAAATTAAAACGTGCTCAGAGAAAGAATAAATTAAAATGTATGATATATCAGTTTCGTTTTATTATAATTTATCTTTTATTAACAATAGCTGTAGGTTTTAAAAATATACGAAAAAAATATATTTTTCGAGCTTTAAATAAGTAACGGAAAGCTTTACTTCCTTAAATTTATCAATTTGCTTTTTACAAACGAGACGCTTTTCATTCCTCTGAGGAAAACTTTCTTTTTCAACCTGTTTTTGAAAATTGATTTCAAAAGTTTAAGTAATAAAAAAAGTGGAAAGAGTATCTTGAAGTCAAAAGAAAATTTGGGTACGCATTTTTCCATCTTTTAATCTCTCCAATCCTTCACGTTAATTTGTTAATCCTTGAAGGCTTTCCTTACTTTTGTTTTCTATATTTAAGCTTTAAAAACACGATAAGATCCAAAATGTATTTTTTCTTTTTAAAGTTGTATAACATTTTTTTTTGAATTGAATCATTTGTCAAGTTTTTCCTTTTTCTATTATTGGATTTTCATTTTAAAAAGAGGTCTTTAAAATGAAAATTTACTTTTGAATCTTTCTAAGAAAATAATCTGATTGTTTACAATTATCATGAAAACCTAAAAGAATATCTAATTCATTTATTATAAATTAACTCGAACTATTAACATTTTATTCAAAATTATAATTCTAAATACAATTTCTTGTAATATTTTGGCATTATGTTAACTTTGGTAATGTTTCACTTTAAACAATAGCGGAAACAATAGACTCGTTAGGGAAAAATGTAGAATGGAAATTATTTAATAAAAGACAATAACAACTCCACTAGAAATAAATTAAATCAGAGGGTAAAGTTAATCTGAGTTAGTTAAAGTTTAATTTGATTGTCAAGAGTAAATTTTAAATATTTTTTAATAGAAATCCCTCTGAGTTTGTATTTTAAATTCAAAGCATTAAAAACTTTGATAAAAGCTCCGAAGAATAAGTTTCATATTTGTGTACTTTTGGATTTAGTTTCATTAAAATGAGCATCTAAAATGGTTCTGCAAGTAGACAGACTTGTGCATGTCAGAACTATGATTTTTATTTTTATTTTTCATGATAATTACTTTAATCAAAATAAGTTTATGTATCTGAATCATATTATTATCAGCCTTCATGCTTATGCTTATATGTAAATATTAGATGCTTTTGAAATTCACTTCCTAATTAGATATTTCTTCTTTTTTTAATCATATTGTGCTTCTTGTCAAAGGTTAATTTGGATTTTTTTAATTTGGCCTTTTTTTATCTTGCCTAAAGATGATGTTTGTATAAATTGTTTTTGTCAGGACTTATCAGCTGTCTACTAAAGGATTTTTTTAATCAGACTTAATAGGTTTCGTTCATTTGAAAAAGTTTTAAGCCTAACACAAGAGCTACGTCATCATAATAAAAATAATGATGAGAACGAAACGAAGAGAAACGCTCAACTTTTTATTCTCATTTTCATTCAAATCCTTTAAAAGGTATGCAATTTCGAGAAATGTAAAAGCTCCTTGAGAACGTAAGAGGTATACAATTTAAGTACTGAATAAACAAGTAAAGCTTTTATAGCGCAAAGAAGTGGAAATGTTGTATAAAAACCGGATTTACTATGAAAAACATAAAGAAGGGATTCACAATAACAGAATTACGTTTATCTTTTAACTCAAGCAAGATAATTATTGAGAGTAAACTAAATGTAAATTATAATTTATCATCAAACGGAGTTTTGACGAAATAAGTCGTTAGAATGCCTTTACCCTTAACTGGAATTGGTCCACGGCAGACACATCCATATCCCGCTGCCATCAGAACTTTTGCAGTATTCTCTGTTGTCTGTTTAGAGAAGAAATAAACGAATTTGAATTATTAATATTTGACTTTAATTAATAAATCCATTCAGAATGTAGAGAAAACTGCATTCCATGATTTGCATTGTTTTGTGCAAACGCAAACTGAATTTAAATTGAGTTTTCAATCACAATGGATAGATTCTTTAGTTATTGTTAAATAAGATCTGTTTATTTACCTGCAGTCGATTTAAAACTCCACATGAGTCCATTCTCGAAGCAACATTTACTGATATTTTGTTGAAAATATGGAAAATAAGAAGAAAAAAGAAAAACTTGTCATCAACTTAACTGCTGTAACAGCTTGAAGTGAAAGATTTGTTTCTGGTGAAAATCAAAAGTTTTGATTGATGCAGAAAAGGATAAAAATGAAAATTTAATAAAAGCTAAAAAATTCTTTAACTTTTCTCTTATCTAAAAGCAAAGCTAATATCCTCTTGACATCTTTTAATAATTAAAAGACCGCATTTTTGAACTCGTTCAACGGTAACGCCAATGATTAACTTTGGAAACCTATTCTATTCTCTCGACGTCTTTTTCGCTGACAGTTTTTAATTCACTTACCGGTATTCGACCAAATATCATACTGTGGTTTTTGAGCTCCTACAGTGCAGAGGGTTGAAAAAAATAATAAAAATTCAAAACGAGACAAGGGATAAGCGAAGGAAATACCTATAACGCCTGCAATAACTGGACCGTGATTTAACCCCATCCGTAAACGGAAGCGCTGAAATGACTCCCGATTTATGGTGTCAAGAGTTTGCATTAATGCTATAGCGAAATCTACTAGCACGACGACGTTATGTTCTTCAGTTCTCTTTGCATCCTAAATATTAAAGGAAAAATATTTATTACTGCCACATGAAGTTTTTAAAAGAAAACGTCAGGGAGGTTTCTCGAATTATTTCTCATGACAAAACGAACGATGAAATTAAACGTCGGTATCGAAGTCATAATAGCACTTTAGCATTTGACGGTTTTATGATTATGTTTGTAAACGACACCTGTTACCTTCATGAATTATTTAACTTTGTTCAGATACTAGACGCTTTTATCGAACTCATCTAAATTTTTTCAATTTTCCCAATGGATTTAAAAATCGATACCTAGATAGCTTTGTTATTAAAGGAAAGAAAAGTTCGGTAAGCTTAAATACGTCTTTGTGAGTTGTAAGAAAACTCAGTGTGAAAGTTCGTAATGCTTAAGTAGAATGCTAGGTAAGCTAAAAAATTGCCGTTTTCATAATTCTTTTGAGTAAATAATCGATAAAAAACAGGCAAAGAAAAGATGCAAAAGAAAGTTTGTGAATGTGAAACTTGGGAGAGAAACATGGGAATTGAAGAAGGTATCATTTGCGATGAATATAACTTGAAATATTCCACCTCCGCTTGAACATAAAGATCTCATCACATAAACATGACATCATGTATTTTAAAGAAAAGATATTAAATGTCATTGAATGTTGAAGTAATTAAATTCATCTTATAACGTAAAATATCTAATACACATACATTCAAAAAGAGATATCATCCATACTTTTCAACTTACAAAAGCTCCTTCTTCTTTTCCGGGCCTCAAGCCTGAAGCTAACATATATGTTGATCCTATCGTCTTTATTTTCTCGATTCCACTAAACTTCGGCTTCAGAAGCAATTTGTCAAAATCACAAATGATTTCATTTAATAATCGTAGACATTCCAACCCTTGCTTGTTAACATCCGTTTCGTCATAAAACTCTTTGTAGTTGGGAATTGAGGCAAACAACACGCCGACACTTGAGTAGCTTTCATGATACAAGTCTTGTGAGACACGCTCTTTCTTCAGAAAATGTTGTGCGACATGAGCCGGTAATATATTTTCAAGAAGAATCTTTCATTGTCAAATGAGTAAAAATGTTAAGAAGATGAAATATGAATTATTCAGGACATGGCATGAATGTGATGATTTACTCACCTTGTTAATTCCCCTCATAGTTTCGACCTCTTCCTGCTCGACTTTCAACTTTGCTTTCCACAGAAAATCTGTTCGTGAAACAAACTCTCCTTGTCTATCAAGTGTGTGAAGAACAGCCACAATGACTAAAAGCAACAAACCACCACGAACCGCTAATGGAATTCTATGTGAATACAAAAGTGAATTGTTTTGAACATTAAACTTATTCATTATCTTTTAATGTTAAAATATGCTGATAATATTTCCATTATGGTGCATAAATATATGCACTGTAGGCGACTTACATGCTATTAGAATCATCTTCATATTGCTCGAATAGTCTGCTTGAATAGAGAATGATGGTTTGGAGAATAACAGTGAATATCATTATGAAAAGTTTTAATATAAATCCGGCACGGAGAAATGCCGAGATGGCAGACAAACTAAGACCACAAAGAAATAAGTAGATTGGCGGTATCTCTAATTCCTCATGATTTATAGCGGGGGTGAATTGTGGAAAGTCTGTTGTTATGTTTGTGATGTTATTGAGAGTTGTTAAGTTCTCATCTTGTATAACATCAATAAACATAGGTTGATTGATTATTGGGTTAAACTCAATTACATTGAAGACAGCACAAGCACCAATTAGTGTTGTTGTGATTAGAAATATCGCAAGTCGGATTGAGCGAACGGATGATATAATTTGTCCAGGACCATTATTCCCCGGATGTGACGATCCTGACATTTCATAGTGACATAAATATAAAAATAATCCAATTGATATGCTAGTGGCACCCAAAGATCCGATGAGAAGAAAATTTCTGTGGATGAAAATCGAAATAAATGAAGATGGAGAAATTTAAATAAATAACAAAACTTACTTTTTGAACACAAGTAATTGAATGATTACAATAGACACAAACATCATTGTAGCACAAATCAAATCAAATCGAAATGTTGGGTCAGGTTGAGCTCGAAACATTGTTTCCTTTGCTGAATTACGATACCACATGGTGACCGGTTGTAATTCTCTTGGTGGACCCCAACATCGGCACCCATTGCAATAATTCTCTTCCGGCAACAAATTTGATTCGATCATGGCAATACTCTACATTCATGAACAACAACAAAAAAAGAGAAAAGAAATCGATAAAGTTAATGTTCACTCGTCGCCTCTTTTTGTCAATCGCTTACGGCAAGTCCGATGTTTTTAGCCATTTTCGAATCAGTTATATTTGCGAACGGCTTATCAGCCCCCCAGCACTCGACATATTTTGTCATCTTTGACGAAGGCCTTGTTCTTGATGGTATACCTGGCGTTGCTGGAAAGAGAACATTAATCAAGACAAAATAAAAGATAGGAAGAGAAAAAAATTTTAGTAGAATGGGAAAATAAAACAAAATCTCACCAATGCCAGGCGATTTGAGGTTATCAAAATTTGTAATTGACATTTTTCTCATATCGGAAAATATGGAACTTGTGGAGCGTCGTCGCTCACCGAAACTCATAATATTTGTTACTGATAACTTTCTTCTATCACTTTGCGACCTCTCTGGTAAAGATGTCTTGACTTGATTGCATGCTGAATTGTTGTTAGTCGAAGCTGTTACAGTTGTGGTAGGTGATGGGGTCGTAGGGGATTGCTCGAAGGGTAATGATAACGATGAATTACGAAACACAAGTCCCTCGTCATGTTCATGTTGTTCTTCGGCGATTGTCGCTGGATGTGAATGGTTTGAAGTCAGAAGATTTTCTTTTTCTTCATTTCCAAGTGATTGGGGCGAGGTGGGTGGTGATCCTACCGAAATAGTTATAGGTGGGGGTGGTGAAGGCGTTGCAGAATTAATATACTGCTGAACATTAAATATTGGTTCGTTTGGACTTTCTTCGGCTGGCTCCGAAATACAAATTGATGCTTGTTGTATCGACAAAGTCTGAAGATCCAGATTCGATTTCTGTCGATTGTATAAGGGAAATATTTTTAACCATTTCTATTTATAAAAACATATATTAATGATTCGGAGAAACAATCTTATTATAGTCATAATGTAAAAGACAAACTGGATATTGCATATTCTGGCCACGTCTTTCTCTTATGAAACTTGAGATAACAGCTTCGTATTTAAAAAAATTAATAAAAAAATATTTTTGGCAGAGTTTAATTAAATATGAAAAGCAACATTTGTTTAGACTTCCGATATTAGATATTTCATTTTACAAGCGAAAAAAGGACAACAAAAATGTCTAAATTAATGGCGGTTTCATGAAAATATTTCAATATTGCTTTTTTATGTATCGAAATGCCAACAAAATCCATAACAACAGCAAAAAAGTTATTAAAAAATAAATTATTTATGTAAATCATGTCAAATATATTTCGATTTTCATAAAACAAAACGTAGCAAGTGAAAATTGAAGTAATATTTCGTTTGCTTTACATATTACTCAAGGGACTAATTAAAAAAATTGTGGAGCAGTCGAAAAGAAAAGTTTCTCTTTTATATAGCGACTCGCGACTAGCGGGTAGGCAGTAAAAGTTTCTTCACAAATACGAAGAAAAAGTATTCAACTGCGGTTTTATTTTTCAATTACACCCCGTGGGTCTAAAAAGATTTTGCAGCATGATTACGTTTGTTTTTCCCTATTAACTTACCTTTGGTGGAACGATGAGATAAGATTCTATTTTGTGATCAGCGAGATATTGCTCTCTTGCTGCTCCGTTGCCAGGCTCTACTTCGAATTTGTCTCCTAAATATTCCAGCGTTGTTTTTGTTATATGAACTCGTCTGAACATAAGAGAAGAAAAATTTTGAAGAAAAATATTAGATATCGCGTGCATATGCTTTAGCATTATTTACAGACTTCCAACATTATCATCCATCTTCGAAGTAATATCTAGTTGTGTACAGAAAAGCATAAATATCATATCATCAATGATGATATATGTATTCTCAATCATAAAAAGTCCCAGTAAAACATCAATTTCCATAAATTAAAGATAAGTGAATATGTAATACAGGCAAGTTAAATTGAAAAGCATATCGATTTTAAGTCTTCCCACGCCTTCTTTTCATGGGGAAGCGGCTCGAGGGTCGAAGAGAATGGGACAAAAAAAAATAATCGAGAGTTTTACAACAAGTGGGTGCACAACGGCATGGTGCTTTTCTAGCTTTCCTTCTTGGTTCTCGAAACACATAATAATGATAGATGATTTCGTCGAGAGAAATGTTGTTATAAAAGTAAATATAATTATCATGAAAATTAGATTTGTTGTAGCTAAATTGAATTATACATATTCAAGCTTTACTAGATATAGCAATGAATGAAGTAAGCATTTTTGTCTACATACAGAAAGTGCATTTAATAAAATCGATTTTCATTTTTCTTCAAAGTTCGGATGAAGTCGACCAGAGTAGGACACGAAGAATGGAAAATTTATTTTCATCTCTGATGATTAAAAAGAAAAAAAACTCACCCAGCCAGTCCACCTGATTCCATTTTATTTGCCAACGTAACGTCGTCAGACCATACATCAAATTGCCATTTTCGCAAGCCAAGAACGCCACATAAAACATTGCCTGTGTGGATACCTATCCTCATGTCAATATTACTCCCTGTAGCCTCTCTCACAAATCTACAAGTGTATTTAAGAATTGTTGGATGTGAATGCTCGTAATAAATGCTGAACGGAAATGGAATTTAAATTGGATGCCGTCCCGAACCGACAGATGAACGTAAAGTGAGAGTTGAAGAGCTTTTTTAAAAATATTCAGGAATGAACTCAGAGTGAGATTTCATGATTGCTTTCTGCCATTTTGCAAACGTAAAAATGAATGTTCATTAATATGTGGTTTTATTTCATTTGGCAGACGAGAAAGGAATTAATTTTTGTTTAAAGCGACGTAATGCCTTCTTATGAAATTGAAAAGAAAAAAGAAATTCATTGCTTATTGTGCTTGAAATTATGGCTTCGTTTTGTTGAAAATAAGAAAGTGGAATGAATATATTTAAGTGTAAATGAAGAAATTAGTCAAGCGTCAAATGAGAATATTTGGAATTGAGTATAAAGCGAATATTGTTGAGATAAAATTCTGCTTATATGTAAATATTTAGAAGGAATTTAAATGAATGCTTTTTAACATTATACTCAAAGTTTTACCGACCTTATAGCGTCAATCATTTGCAATCCCATATTAACGCAATTTGCAGCATGTTGAGGACGAGATATTGGGAGACCAGATACACAATAATAACAATCGCCAAGAATTTTTATTCGTAGACATTGATTTTCCTATCAAAATTTTCAATCAATATTCAAACCGATTTTAAATAGAAATATTTTCTCACCATTGCCAATTGATCAAAACGACCAAACAACTCATTTAATGTTTTGACAAGATCGCTTGCAGAAAGCTGTTCTGATAACGGAGTAAAATTCACAATGTCAGCATACAAAATTGAAACATTGTTGTGTCTTTGAACATGCATTTCATGAAAACGTGTTTGCGATTGTCCCGTTGATTGACATTCGTGCATTTTCAGCATAATACTCCGTTTGACTTCTGCCGCAATGTAAGCTGGAATAACGCTGAGCAGTAATTGTTCTTGTTGTTCGCGTTCACATTCGAGCTTAACACGATGCTCGATACCAGTTCTTGTTCCATCAACAGCATCTATGTGTGCTGCGTCTGACATTATTCTGTAATATAAACCAGAGACACTTGCGCTGGCTAGGAAAACCACTTCAGCTAAAACTTTCGCTATGTAAACATCTTCGTTTTCATTTAAAACCAAGCCTATTCGATACCCAATGTGGAAAATTGATAGCATCATAGCAATTATTACTGATATAGGCCATGATATTGGTAACATTGTGTGCGTTGCCTTTACATTGATGAAAAAGGATATAAATAAAAAAAGCGTTTAAAACATTGCATTTGTAAATTGTTTACCATTATAAGAGCGTAGAGAGGTAATGGCGCAATTTCATCTCCTACAAACGTTGCTACACTTCCAAGTACAGCTGTGAAACATGTTGCAAATGTTAAAGCGGCCCACGGTGAACTCATAATTCCCGGAAATTGCAGTGATGTTAATATCGTTATTATAACGAAGCATGCAACAGCTAGAAGAGCGAGACTGACAGGCTTCTGCACCTTATTTAAGTATCAACATTGAGAAAAGTTTAGAGATAGATAACTTGTGGGAAAACTTGAATTCGCTGAGATACTTGGTAAATATTGTATTTAAATATTCAGGAAAAATTTTTGTTTTTCAACCGCCGGAAAAAATAATATCTAGAATGAGATTTTCTTTCTTCACAAAATTAAATATTTGCTTTTTCAAAAATATTTTGCTTTTGATACAGATGAATGATTAGCAAACAAAATTTTTTACCTGATTTCCAAAATAACAAAATAGAATTGATATGATGCATGATACTAGAGATATTCCAAGACCAGATATAAACAACGATTTCCTTAAACGTTTCCTGTATCTTGTGTAAAGGTCGTCGAGTTGAGAATTTTCTATAATGATCAATTTCAGAGAAAATTGATTGAAATAAATTCATCACTCTTTAACGAGAAACAATTTTGCATAATAATTAATACAACAATTAAGTCAATAAATTAACCTCTGAAAATATTCTCTTGCAGGAAGTGTAAAAACTCAACCTTTTCCCATTATTTTTAATTACCAAAGTTGCTTGCGATAAAACATTTTTCTTTCTTTCTAAATAAATAAGAATTTGAAGGATTTATGGACAATACTTTTAATAATTGCACTATTTTGTGTTTGCATATAATTATCAACTTTTAAATTACACTTCGAACATCGAAAATTGGAGAAGTTTGCATTAGAATATTTTCTGAGTTCATTAAATTTATTTTAATGGCTGTACAATTTTCCTTCAATTAAAAATAACTTAAATGAATAATCGTGAAATTTGAAGCTTTCATTAAGCCATAAAAACATATTTTCGCTTCGTAAAAGTTCAGTCCAGGTTTGAGAAACAGGAAACAAATTAATAATTTCGAAACATAAACATTTACTTTAAGTTGAATCTACGATGAGTTTTTCTTTGACGTGTTAGTTACTAAGTATCTGCTTATGCACACTAAAATAATATTAGAATATAATAGCATTATGCAATTAAAAATAACCGCCTAATTATGTTCCTACCTACGCGATTTGAGACTGAACAACACATTCGCTTATACTTCTGCTATTCATTTGATCACGTCACATTCGACGGTATCTAATCTTTTTTCAATGTTATTGAATCTGTTGATGCGATAAAAAATATGTACAGCTACCTGATAAAACACCTTCGCTTTCAGTGTCTTGATCATTATTGCTATCGTCGTTGACTTGCACTTCGATTTCTTTAGACATATGCATTTTTTAATGTTGAATTTTTACGAGTCTCAAGAAGAATTTTTCAAAACAATATTTTTCCTACACCTTTGATTTGAAATTGAGAAGAAAAGTATCGAAATTATTTTTTCCGATTGCATAAAGTCTAAAATTTAAAAATAATTTTTTTTAATATCATTCTTATTTTTAGCTATGAAAATGAAACACATTCCTAAATTTCACACTGTTATTTTTATATTTCATACTATTTTTTATCTTTTTATGTTACGGAAAAATATATGTGCTGACTTAATAATAACTGTGCCCGTCTAATATTCATTTCGACACTTGGAGAGCTCGACGAAAACTGATTTTAAGAGAATAAAAACGTTTTGTAAAAGTCTAGTACAGAAGAAGAAAAACAAGAAAATGTGAAAAATAATTATCTACAGTGAACTCTCGTTATAATTCCCTCTCGTTATAAGATTCACCTCGTTATAATTTTCATTTCGAAAATCATTTCGAACGAAATCTGGAACCAAATTCTCTCGTTATGATTACTTTTTTCTCGGTTCCTTCAGAGTGAATTATAACGAGAGTTCACTGTATGTCGAAAATTGAAGTGAAGCGTGGTTTCGTCACTCAATAATACTTAAACATTTTGATTCGAATATATAGGTATCTAACTTTTTCCTATTTATTTCTTACTGGCATCAAATAAAGCAAATACTGGAAAAGAATTAATTTTATAAGACTCAGATATAAATACTCAATTGCATAATGATTTGCTAATACGTACATTATTTTGTCGTATTTTCACATTAAAAAGAACCTTTGAAAAAATGAATAAATACAATTCAATGTTTACAAAAACATTCAGTCTATCAGCTGATATTTGTGTAGTATTACTCGTATCAACATACTTGTAAACACTCCAGTTTACATTTGTGTGTTCGTCCGTATAACTTATTATAACCACCAAGGGAGGAAATTTGTTAGAAGGTTATATAAACATGGAGAAAACAACTCACTATGTATATCTAAAAGAAAAACTGTATTTTATAGCAAGAAACCTTACTCAAAAAATCCATACTATCAGGCAGATAGTTTACATGCCATCTGCTGAAATTTTCTGTCATTGAGTTTTACTTTTTAATTTCTCAATTAAGAATGTGATAAGCTTTGGATGTGAACGATAAGAGTTAAACAAATATTTTATGTTTTACATGAACATTGTATGCTAATTTAATGTAACAAATGAATAAATTATTTAGATTAAGTGACTAATAGTTGAGCTATTGAAGTGGTTTTTACGAATCAACCATTAATGAAATCACTCACAAAAATTTGGAACATCCTTTCAGGTTTAAATTAAATGACAAAAACATTTCAGTTTGACAAATAAAATCTCTACAATTTTATTCTGATAAAATACTAAATAACTAGACAACATATCCTAAATTAAAGTAAAGTTTTAAATTTTATTTTCAAACAAAGTTTGTTTTTTCGCTTTAGTATTTCTGTTTGCTACTTCAACCCTTTAAAAAAGATAAGACACAGCATAAGTTTCGAAAAATACATAACCCGAGCATTAATCTTTTGTTATATTTGTGTATGTATGTTAGTATGTGAGAATAGTGACATTATTTATTTTGTAAGCTTGGAAGAATTTAGAGACAAAGATTTTATTGTCAGGATGGAATAGAAGCGCAGAAAAAATTAAACTTCTTTGAATTGATTCAGTAAATAAAACTTGTTTTGAATCCTCTTCTCTTGTGCGAGAAAAAAAAGGAAATTTAGACATTTCTAGTGCTGGGGGTGTAGAAAAGGATGTTTCATGACAACGTCAATTTTACGGTCAGACGAATTCAATTTTAATTTTCTTTATCCTCAACTCAACTGATATTACGATTTGGTTTTTATTCCAAGAATCCTAGGAAAAACTCTTGACTCACCCTTAAATTTTATGAGAGCGAAAAACTTCTTCATTTTATATGATTTCATAAATTATCAACAATGATACATTTTATTATCAACTCTGAACAAAACTACGAGTCGTGGATCTTATATTACTCATGTACAAATTATGACTGTTTCATTTGAGAAACCATTGAATTAAATTTAGCATTGTTTCAGTCTTCTCTCGTTCTCTTTTTATAAACTCACTCGTTTTCAATTTTTTTCATTATTTATTCAAGTGTTCATTAAAATCTAACTATTTACTCACTATAACTTACTTCTTTATAAACACATTGGTATGGTTACTTGGTAGAATATCTCCCATCAATTAATGTAAATGTCCAAACTGAGAAAAATTTTTTGATTCAAAGTTAATTGTGGAAATATTTAAATTCTCTTTTTTTGCAAGTATTCAATCGTTCAACGCTTTATTGATTTTAAACTGTTACAGTAAATTATTTAATAATTTCATTAAATTGTAAAAATTTCAATAAAAATAAAACATAAACTTAAATTACCTAATTCACAATTGAGTCTTTATTGAAAATGAAGAAAAAATCCAATTATGCGATTGAAGAGAATGAAAAAATGTAAAGTACGGGGCGAGTCTTCTGAATTGTGCTACAATCATTTGCATAATAGATTCATGTTTTATGCTGAATCAAATTTTGCTTTAATGAAATAAGCGTTCCCTGTTGCTATAATTTTTTTCAAATAATCATAATAATGAAAGACGCGCTATAAAGTTAAAAAACTTGAATTTGAAATTAAATTTATCACAAGAAAAACTAAAAGCGAGAATATTCGGAATTGTTACATATTTCTATTCCCTTCACTCATACAAAACGTAAATGAAGATTGAAAAATGAGAACATTCTGAAAAGTTAAATTGAGGTAGCATGGATTTAATATGAGTAAACCACATTTCATTTCAGCGCGCAAAAATGTCATGATTAATGTCACGAGTGAGGCATGATAAAGTTTCACTTTATATTTTTTTTACAGTTGCGGCAACTTTCGTTGATATTCTTTTCCTTTTATGCCTTCGCTTTCAAGCCCCTAAGAGTATTTCTGTATCGAAACAAATACTGTCTATCGATTCAAGTTTAGTAAAAAAGAAATCCTTTAAGAAAGCATAATTTAAAATGTAAGCGCGACAAAAGGAAATGAAAAAAGTATTCCTTCCACTTTCACACGTTCATTGTTCCATTCTAAGAGGGAAATCGTGCATTTCTTCCATAAAGCTGTCTTGATAATCTTTCCTCAAAAAATTATCAAACGAGTAGCGAGAAAAACTTTTTAAAACCCTCTGAAGAATTTTCCTTTCATCCATCCTAAGACCAAACATAAATCACTGAAAAAGTTCGGTTAGGTTGAGTGGAAAATTAATTTTCTACCTTTAATCAAAAAGGTCGGTAAAGAAATTGCTCTTTTGACATTCAATTTTCGATTCTGATACTTCAGCTGTTTTAATGTGTTGCTTCGAAAAACAAGGAAAAATGATAAACAACATAAATTGTTTGTCAGAAAAATTTCTTTCATTAAAAAGAATCAATTTTCACTTCTTGCCACTAAGCTGGTATTAGCGGGAAAACCATGGGAGAAAGAAAGAGAGAGAGAGAGAGGGAGAGAGAAGAAAACATTAAAATATTCATAAATATTTTAAGAAGAAGGAAAATTGAGGCTTGTGTAACCAGGACATTCTTTTATTTTCATGAATGAGTATAAAAACATAGCTGTATGTATAGAAATCTTCTGAATAGCTAAGGTTTCTTTGGCCTACCTTATTTTATCGAAATTCTATTAAGTGAAACGATTTGTTATATTTGAAAATCCTTTTTGAACTCCTTTTCCTTTTTCATAATATCTCATCAATATAACATAACACATTCTAAGAATCATTCATCTTCGAAAAAGAATTATTGTTGCATTCACAATAATGTGCAAAGAGTCAGAAAACTAAAACGAGCATTGGCCGGTGATCTTTGACTTACAAATTATGCTTTCAATTTTATTATTCATTGACAGTCACGAAACCCGTTGAAAATCAATATTTTATAAGAGCTCAAAAACCCATGAGTCGCGTGTTAAAAAAAAGGACAAATTCTAATTTACAAATGAATCTTTAATATCGAAGCATATTTTCATCCACATCTTTAATGTTGAAAAATTGTTATCCAAGTGAAAATATCTTAATTACAATATCATTTATCTTAACGTGAAAATTAATTCTTCTTCAATTCAAATTTCGAATGTGCAAAGTCACCACCCATTAAGCTTTCGCTTATAATATTTAGATATAAACCGTTGAATCACTTGAAAATATTTTTAGTTGAATTAATTAGATGAGGGAAATTTTTGAGAAAATAATTTCAAATTTCTTCCTTGTTCAGCAGGTAGAATTATGCATAGGTATCTTCAAATATTTAATGATACCTATCTAAACATTCCTTTTGAAGCTTAGTAGCTTCACTTGACGTCTTGAAACTTGAGAAAATAACATTAAAGTAGCTTTTCCGTCTTCTTAACTAAAGAATGAACATTTTTAAAAATTTATTTATGAAATTTTTAGTCTTACCTACTATGATGTCTGAATTTCCTTCCTCGTCGGTAGCAGCATCCATGCAATTTTCACTGTAAACATTGCTGAAGTCAAATACCAAGGTCTGTTGTTTCTTGTTTTTAATCCAAAAAGGTAGTGGGCTTGAATTCAAATCCATATTAATTTACTGTTTTGAATTCATTAAACTTTCAACTATAAGTCTATTTAATTATAATTTCAATAAACTTTTAGATATTTAATGATATTTATTTTTTAAATGATTTTGATTCTGCATATGTATAACTTTATTGATAAATATTTATTTGAAATATTTTTTAACACACCACAAAACTGATGTTTTCGCTTAAAGCTCTCACCACAGACTGTCGTTCTGTTCTTTATGAAGCTTGATGAAAGCCTTTTCTGCGCCGGCTCACACTCCATCCTCGCTCGCAGAGCGTAAAAATTAGTAGGAAGGCGAGAAAAAACAAGATTATTATAAGATTTCTTCAGTGCACACTCAGCACGTGCTGGTTTTAATAATAATTTTCCTACTTCAATCTTTTAGCAGGTTGGTAATTTTTATGTGATTTCATTATCTCAGAAGTTTGAATAATTTAGAGAAGAGCCAAGGGATATTCGAAGAAATCATTTATAAAAAAAAATACTGAGAAAACAGAGAAGCTTAGAAACAGATATCTACGTAAAACAGAATTTTTGTGCTTTTTTTGAACTTTTGAAAATACTGTTCATGATGGCTCTTAAGTATTTATGAAAACTTAATGAACATAAAGTATTTCTTTATATTTATAAACAATGATTTTGAGTTAGATTCTTCTCATTAAATGGTTCTTTACTTATTTTTTTCCACAATTTGATTTTTTAAATGTCACAATAAATTGTTTTCTTGGAATATTATAATTTTAATCAATTAAATCACATTGCGGAATATGAACTGACCGCACATTGGATATGTTGTCATTTTAAAATATTTTTCTTGATCAATATTATTACAAATATCAAAGGAATCTCTTTCCTTTGAGAATCATAAATAATTTTATGAAATTAGGTACTTCGCTTAAAGGTTATAAGAAAATAACATTTAATTTTTTAGTTGTTTTAAATTTTACCGATTATCAGAGATTTCTGAGCATAAATCTAGGCAGAAGTCCATTTTTACTGAATAAAGAGTAAAGAAAGACCAGAAAAATGTTCTTCTTTGAGTTATGGATGATATTTTTTTTCTGTTTGAGCCCTTACAATGTGTAAATACAAAATTGTTGATAAATTTATCTTCATGTATGTACAAGTCTCATATAGAAAGCATGATTTCATTCATGACTCATAAATATCATACGTGATGTGCAAAAAGCGGAACTGTCATCTGTCGGATGTGCTTTGCATTAACAGCCAGGAAAGTTAATGAAAGCATCCCATCTTACTTTGTGATAAATTCAGAAGCTTATTCATGGTTTTTAGCGCTTCTTTATTCCGTTTCATGGTACAATAAAAGCACTTTTCATACCTCGAATTCTGTTACTAATGATAGAAGCAACGGTACGAATCATTCAAACTGTTTATGGAGCTCCATCAAAAGCAGTAATTGGAAAAATTTTCTGAAATAAGTATAGAAGAATCATTAAGCAAATATTTATTACTTTTGAGGTTTGTTAAACTTTTTGGGTTAGATATTTCTTTTATTATTTAGTTTCATTATCTTCAACACTTGAAGGCTTTATTTGACTTTTCGTCATTTTTGTTCGCATTATTGTAGCTTTGAGATTTGAGCACGTCTACAACTTTATCTTTGTTCTTGATTGAAATTTGTCGAATTTTCGAAGAAAACAAACAATCTCACTAAGATATGTCACGAATCTTTAACGATATGAAATGATATCTGAAAACTTCAAAGATGAAAAATTGAAAATTAAATCATAATACTTAAGAGAGACATGAATGTTTAAAACTTTCTCAGTTGAAAAATGTCTTAGTCCTGAGGCTTCAACATCTAATTAAGCGGTAAATGAACAAGACAGGCGTTAAATTTTCATGTAAACTGTTCCTTCTTGGTGTTGGAATCCAGAATGTGAGTACTCATCATGTCTTACAGGAAAAGTGTTTTTCCTCTGCTTGCTTTATCGATTTCTACTCTCTTGACATCAGAATACTACGAATCATTCACTGTATCAAGAATAACAGACTTAACTTCAAAAGTCTAAAGCTCTAGAGATGCCAGGAAATCATGGAAAACATTGATACTTAGTGGGCTCTTAAAAAGCTTAATTTGTTTGCTTTAGGGATTTTCACTCTTTGAACTTCTTTATAGAATCTTCCGCAAATATTAAATTAGGTATAAAGATGTACCAATACGGTGTAATACTTGCTTCATTTCAAAGAAGTCTTTAAAAAAGAAAAACAAGAACAAAAGATGTACAGATAAGCAGTGAAAGATAAACATGGAATTATGTTCGAGGAGTTTCGGATTCATTGATTCGAGATGACTATTGAGTCTATAGTTAATATTTAATTCATTATGGAAATTCTGACCAACTTGTCCTTTTGAATTTGAAATTTTGAAAAGCTAATCATTCGTTTAGAGTGGTCATGTTGTGTATGGAATTATGGAACTGTACATTTCTCCATTCATTTCCTTTTAAATATCCCATTTCCCATATATGTGCTTCTAGTTAGATTAAAGCATGAAGAAACTAATTTTCTGAATTCATGAGATGAGTTGATCTTGTTGCACGAATGTACATTTTAACTTGTTTCTTAAACTCAAGTGAATTATACTTTGCTGAACCCATTACAATTAACAAGCAGAAATTGTTTTATTAAAAATTCACTTTATCATTTCTGCTTTTCTCTTGTGTTTTATGTGGGAAGTTTGCACGATCATCCTTTGAATTCAAGGTGTATGAAGAAAAATTTTTGAAACATTTCTATATTCTCGCTTATTCACGGTTGAAAAGCAGAAAATAATTTCACACTACAGAATCTATGGCTTAGCTCTTTGCTTTAAAACACATAAAGCTGCCTTCATTGTAACATCATAAAATTATATTTGCATATTTTAACGATTTTTAAGCAATTTTTGCCACCGTATTGTTATTACCGTCTTTTCTTTTCTTTCCTTCCTACGCAAATACAAACCAAAAAAAATTGATAATAGGCTACATAATTGGGTATGAAAATATATTTTTCATGAATTTTTATCAGAAGAGTGAGGTTAAATGTGGCAATATTTTTTCGTGTTGAATAATAACAGCATTTGTGAGCATCTTTAGTTGATTTGCAGTCCTCTTTATATGAAGAAGAGATTCCTACTGAAAAAAGAAAATTCAACTTACGATTTTCAAAGCTCCAAAGTTCTTTTTCTCTCAGAGAGAAAATTTATATTTCAGGAGATTTGTGATAAACAGAATTCAACAGACACGTGGTAATCTCATATACATTAATTATTGATGAGAATAACATTAAACTTTCAACTCTTCCCTAAACACTTATCTTTTAAGAAGAAAAACATAAATTTTGAATTTAGAACAATTGTTTTTTACAACATGCAACATGATTCGATAAAAAATGTAATAGTTGCAAGTTTAATCATCTGGGAAAGCTCTTAAATAGCTTTATAAGAAAATGTCGTTAGCTTTAGTAGTTTAATTTTACTCATAATATTTTAAATATTTTTAAATATTTAATCATGACATGAACTTTTTAGATTTTGTTAATCCAAATTGCTAATCTGCAAATTCTATAAAATGTTCATTTGTCAATTTGTTAAAATAACTTTTACTTTAATTACTTATATAGTTATTTTTTTCGAAAAGCTCTTAAATAAGAATTTTGCATACATCCATCTGTTACTGTTTTTAATTTTTGGCAGTCTTTTCAAATTTTAATACCTAAATTTTTCCAACATTTTAGAACAGATGTCGACAGAATCGCCTTTGTAGAAGTAGCGCCATCTATGTTTGAGATTATTTATTTCTCTTCAAACGATCGAAATTCTGGAAAAGGGTGTCAAGTGAACAATTTTATTAAATAAAAAATCTCTTAAATCTTTAATGATTTCATTAAAATGACTTTCCCGAATATTACAGTTTTACCACCTCTATCATCGTCTCAAGGCATTCTATCAAAAATATTTTCCCATCAAATGTCACTTCAACATTATCAAAAATTCTGAACTATTTATCGTTATCAAGAACTTCGATGCCTCCAATGCTTTCCAATAAAAGTTTAAGATTTGCAGGCTATTTGTCGTCGAATTTTATCGTTCATCCTAAAGAAACATATAAGTTTGATAAACGGCCATACATTTCTTAGCCAATGGCTCATGGTATATGTTGGTTCCTACCAACTCATCAACACCACCATTAGCATCAACACTAATGTTGAATGATTAAAATTCGATTACCCTTCACATGTATGTAATATGTATACATCTTCTGTTGATTATCAAGCCTGATTATTAATTAAAGAAAATAACAATATTATTTCTCACAAAAACATGAAAAAAATTATTTAATTAATAATATTACTTGTTGCCTTCAAAGTTGTACTTATTCTTCACGCATCGAGAATTTTTTCAAGAAATTCTTCGTAAATTATGAACGAAGCATACTAGGAAAGGCAGTACAGTCGGTTTGAGAAGATCAACACATTGTACAGTAGCATCATCCTGACACGAACATCTTACGCCAAGTTGAAAGGCTACGAAGGTATCAAGACAATGAACGTTTCTCTTGCTTTCAGAACTTATGAAGACCACGATTTGATGATTTACCACGAGTTCTCATCGAAAGGTTACGTGAAAGTCTATCTTGAGAATGGCCGAGTGAAAACTTAAATTAAAACCGATGCAAAAGAATTTCACAGCAGTGGAGATCATCAATTATGCACCGAGAGAATATCATTTTGATATCAAAGACTCAGCTGATGCTCAATTTAATAACATCCAGTACATGTACATTGGAAAGAACGAGAGTATGACAGATGGCTTCATTGGATGTGTTTCACGCGTCGAATTTGATGACATCTTCCCATTGAAGCTTTTATTCCAACAGAATCCACCACCAAATGTCTATCTCATTTCGCTTCGCAGAAAGCACAAAAATAGTTGCAATCTTTTACCCGAACCCCACTTCTCCCTTTCCCCTTTCTTCCTTTCCTGCAGATTAATGTCACAAAATCACTTTAGATCTCTTTTTTATAACTCGATTCAAGTAGTTAGGAAAAGCTTAGTTATTTCTTTTTCTTCTATATATCGAAAAGCTCTTAAATAAGAATTTTGCATACATCCATCTGTTACTGTTTTTAATTTTTGGCAGTCTTTTCAAATTTTAATACCTAAATTTTTCCAACATTTTAGAACAGATGTCGACAGAATCGCCTTTGTAGAAGTAGCGCCATCTATGTTTGAGATTATTTATTTCTCTTCAAACGATCGAAATTCTGGAAAAGGGTGTCAAGTGAACAATTTTATTAAACAAAAAATCTCTTAAATCCCTTTCGAAATATCAGTTTTTATAATTTTTCTGATTCTAATACAACTCTAGCTATATTAATTCCCTTAAAATACAAAATTAATTAATTTAAAATTCAATGAAACATTAAGATTAAAGCTTTAGGAAAAAGGCTGGTGCTTAAATTAAATTAAATTTGAAACTTTAATAAGTTATTTCTAATTACAAAAATAAAGATAAACTTTCTCTCATTAAAATGACTTTCCCGAATATTACAGTTTTACCACCTCTATCATCGTCTCAAGGCATTCTATCAAAAATATTTTCCCATCAAATGTCACTTCAACATTATCAAAAATTCTGAACTATTTATCGTTATCAAGAACTTCGATGCCTCCAATGCTTTCCAATAAAAGTTTAAGATTTGCAGGCTATTTGTCGTCGAATTTTATCGTTCATCCTAAAGAAACATATAAGTTTGATAAACGGCCATACATTTCTTAGCCAATGGCTCATGGTATATGTTGGTTCCTACCAACTCATCAACACCACCATTAGCATCAACACTAATGTTGAATGATTAAAATTCGATTACCCTTCACATGTATGTAATATGTATACATCTTCTGTTGATTATCAAGCCTGATTATTAATTAAAGAAAATAACAATATTATTTCTCACAAAAACATGAAAAAAATTATTTAATTAATNCGAGATCTACACTCTTTCCCTACACGACGCTCTTCCGATCTTTAGATCTCTTTTTTATAACTCGATTCAAGTAGTTAGGAAAAGCTTAGTTATTTCTTTTTCTTCTATATATCGCATATTTTTCTCTTAAACATATTACTTTTTTCATAAATGTACATAAGAAAACTTATTGTCAAAAAAGAGCTTAGCTCTTATATGTACTTCAATTAATAAATATGAAATTAAATTAAATTAAATTAAAATGTGAAATCTCTTGGTTCATGTAAGTTAATTATAATTTTTATTTCAATTTGAAAGCTTTTAAGGAAACTTCTTTTCCGATGCCTTTCAAGTGTTAACCAATAATTAAATATTAGATATCCAAATTTTGAAATCAAGGATTAGAATTAAAATATTAAGATCTTTAAAACTGAGAAAAGTGCAATTTTAAGACAATCAAACATTGACTTTCAATTCCATTTTCACTTTATTATTTGTTTTACAAGAAAATGATTTTACAGCTAAATGTTTGATGTTTATGCAATATATGTACAAGTTTATAATCTGATAAAGGATAATTCATTAGACTTCTTACTCTAAGCCCCTTTATTCGATTCAAGAATGCTGTGGCTTTTTTCAACAAAGACGATTGACCACAATCTTGATATAAATTAATTATCATGATATTAATTCCCTCAACTTCGTAACCGGACTCCATTTCTATTTTGGACAATTTATTGTCCATTCCATTAGCAATATTAAATTCAATTCTTATACATTGCTTATTTCAAGTTTTTTTCTCGTCCATCGACCAATACATAATTCACATTTCGCATCAGCATTCAGTAAGAATTGTAATTTTTCAAACTTCGTTCCCATCGATCATTTTATCCTTACATCAAGTTTTTAATTTTCAAAATGGATATTGAGAATGTTTGTCGCTCATTTTTCTTGAAATATGATACTTTAATTCAGAGAATATTTGAGTCGTCATGAAAAACTTTGCTCATCGTTTTTGTTGGGATGAAAACATATCCAACAGAGTGTACAACTTCATTTAATTTAGTTATTTTTGAGGCGTACATTCTAATATTTTTAAGGGTAGAAATGGTGTTCAATTACATATGAAAGTAAATAGCAATCTTTCAATCTTTGTCCTCTTTGAACATGTCTATTAAGTAGGCACTGTGTATGGTTTAATGGATAATTTTACAAATATCTCAGTAGAAAAGATGGCAGATATATATGTAGTTTAACTTTGTGATACTTTAGAATAAATAGACATTCAAAGAATTACACTTGAATCCCTTTTTTTGGCTGATAAATTTCAATTACAATGATCAGCTGTATCATTCAGAATATCTACCTCAAAAATAAACGAACAAACCAAAAGATTTCGTTGAATTGGCAAATAAGTTCAAAGAATTTTAAATTCCGACTCTAAGTTTTCTTTCGTTTGCTTTCATTCTACTAATCATCCTGACTTAAGGATTTTTGTTTTACCACCAATCATTCTTAAGTTTTCCTTTCTTTTTTCATCATAGAAAACTTCGTGGGAGGTCTCGAGAACATTAGTTTCTATAAACTTATAGTTTATTACACTTTTTTTTAGGTATTTGTTGAAAAATTTTTATGTTTACTTAAAATCTCCTTTTTATATCTTTTTTTCTTTTTTTGTAACAACAACTTAAGGATACGATTGTTGAGGTGTTTTGTTTGCTTTCCAATCTCTTAAAAACCTTATATTTTCAATTATTATGTATATTAATACGTTTCCTTTTCTATCATCACCTTTTTAGAATGCCTTTCTTAATTGTATTAGCACGGCGTCATCTCTAAACTTTTCTTTATGATTATTATATAGATAAAGGTACTAAATGCTTATTTATTTACAAAACCTGCATAAATATGAAAAGTTTTTATAAAAAGGAGAAGGTCACAAATTTAGAATATATCTAATGACTTTAGTTATGGTGTAATTCAAGTTTTTTGAACTGTCAATTGAGAATATGAAAACATATCGCATGCTCACAAGTAGATTACTGATTTGTTCTCAACACAAACTCCAATCAAATGTTTTTCGCCATATGTTATGATATTTCTGCATTTATTTTTGCCTTTTCCAACTCTTTTAATCCATAGTTGAACTTACAGTTCAATCTATATTTATTCAACATACAATCATTCAATATGATCTACGACAACAAATATTTCTTACATTACATCAACAACTATTGTGAGTCGATTATTATTCAATTGCTCTAAATACCTGAAAAAAAAAATGTTTAACATTTTACGTCCCAGGGCTAGTTTTTGGAAGAATCGTGTGTTGCCAGTCACGTGACTGCGACTGTAAGAAGCAATTTCATGAAAAATGAGAAAAGAACTTCATAACAACAAATTAATATTATAATAAAGATAGAAAAGTTCAGCAAAAAAAAAAACAGTTTGAGAGGGTGAACAGCACCAACGTTCTATTTTTATTGCATTATTTGCGGAACACCAACTACATTCCTACCCTCGCTTTGTGATGTTTTCCAATTGTTTTGTCATAAAAGAATTAGTCTTTAAACGCTCCTATTATTAAATATATTTTGTTTTTATGCAACAGAAAGAGTTCAAAAGAATGAAGTGGCTTTTTTTATTTTCATTTTGTAAGGGATAGAAAAAAACATCAAAAATATTTAAGTCATGCAATTTACATAAATTTTTAAATCATAAAATGTTCAATAAAATTTTCAATAAAATTTGAAGGCATAAAAATGAGTTCATGTTATGTGCTGCTCATCATTTCAATAACATTGACAAATCTTCCTCGTAAACAGAATCAGAAGAAATTTTCTCAACTTCGAAATATTCACATGTAATGCATAACATTTTCCGATCTGGATATAGGATGGAAATGTCATTGTTCATTATTGATGAATGTCACTCGATCTGAAACATCAACGAATTGTTCATTTTCCCGTTCTTCAGTGCGTGTTATTGATGACAATGCCAACCCATGTACCCTCAATTCCTAGCCACAAGACCGCGATCCCATTAAGTTCTCTAATATGATGTCGTTCGTCATATGAAAAGTTTAATAAACATCAATCACGCAAAGTGAATTTCTGTTGTTATTGATGTTAAATGAACTCAGGCAGATAAAAGGAAGCACATTTCCCAAGACTTCAATGCACCAGTAACATTATGCATGTTTGGAATAAATCGTGATTAAAGAATCGAGATACTTCAAGTGACGCGTGGCTTTCGTGAAAAAAGCATGCCACTAACGTGTATAATTAAAAACATATCAAGGATGAGTAAAAACATTCAACATTGTATAACGACTGTAAGTAGTGTGTTTATGGATTATTATTTTTATCTTTTAAATCGAGATACGACACACTCTCACGGCTATCGCAAAGAAAAGGATAAAACCACATTTCTGATGATTTTAATTTCATGTTTAATACATTATGCAACATAAAATTTGTTTAAAGTTAGTAAGTAAAAAAGCTACAAATTTTGTGTACGGAAAATTTTATTCATTCATTAAAAAATCCTTTGCAAGTATTTCATAACGACTCAGAAGGGGGTGGTTAAGTAGTCTTTACTTTTTTCTGAAAATAAATCTAAATTGTGAACATTTTTGTAGTGATCTCTGTTCCTTAAAAGTGTATGGTTGGAAGAGCGAGATATTACACACATTATTTCATTTAATTCAACCACAGGAAAATTTCCTTCCCTTCGATGTCTTTGGTCGAGGGTTGTTGAAGAACTTCATATATTTTGGTGTGTATATTATTAAACATTTTGGATTTAAGAAGAGAAATATAGAACCATCAGATACTTGGAATAAAGGCTTAAGGTTGGAATTACCATTACATGTTGTGTTTGAACGTTATTAGAAGATAAGAGCAACGTTTCTCATAAATTCTGTTTTTATTGCATTCTGCTAAGTGTACCGGAATAAATTAAAAATACTTTAGAAATATTGTCGGCAAGTTTCTCAACACAACAATTTTCTTCTGCTCCGATTATTTCTCTACTCCTTTTCACTTGCCTCCGCAAACACCAAGCCGGAAATATTTTTAACAAACGTCTGTTAGATTTTGCTTATGTTAATGAATGAATGCTTGATAATTATTTTTTTTTATCACTCTCTTCTTCCCTCTCACCACATTTGAATGATGCGTGAACGCAAAGTGTCTGTCATAAAAAGAATAAAATTTTTCTTCTTCCTTCAGGTGCATTTCATACACAAAACCATAAAAGAGATCTCATCCATTTCGAATAGAGCCGAACTATTGAAATCACAATTTTTTATGACACTTTTCTCATTCTTCTGCTATAAACATCCACAAGTGCATAATGCATGCTTCGCAGACATTGCTGCCTAGGTATATTCCTATATAGCACACATAAAAACTTTATTTTCGGTTTTGTTTTAACTTTTATTTTACCGCGCTTTGAAAACCTAATGATTTCAACTGTGTGGTCTCTACGCTTCTAGCATACACTCTTCGTTTTCCATCCACTTCTTCACACTGTTATGAAAAAGGTAGAAGAAATATCACTTGAAAAAGTAAGCGACATTTCTTTAACAACAAACGTTTGTTAATTCAATCTTATGATGACTGCTGTGGATCATACAGTTAGTTTGTTGATGAGCTTCAATAGCTTTTGTGTACTTCAACAAACTAATGAATTCTCGGACAGCTACTCAAGGGGGATTCTCAAAGGTCTTCTTAAAGTTTCTAAAGTCACCGAACCTCAAAATTCATTCATCATTCACTTTCTCCTTCTTTTTTATACCCTAAACTCTATAAAAACATTTTATAATATCGCGTCGTCTGACATTATACTTTTATTATTATTTTTCTAATTCTTGCTCGAGATCATATTTTTGTTTTGGCTTGTCGAAGACAAGAATGATGACAAGGGCTATTGAGCAGATGGAACAATTGACAATCGATGAATTGCATTATTTTTCAAGTAGATTTAGAATAAGGCGTAGAAATCTAAGTGGTAAGCATTTTTTTCCTTAATATTATTCTTTTTTCTTCAACTGTTGAAGTTAAAATATTCAGGCTGAATTTATTGACGAAAGAAAAAAAACTGGAGAAGAAGAAGAGAATATTTAACTCATCTTTAAATTGTAAAAAATTTAGTGTTTGTATATATATTTTAAAGTAAGTATAAGACGTTTGGATAATTGGAATTCCCTGGGATTCGCAAAAAAATTACCACTATAGACACTGTGATTATTGTTTATTATCCAACACTTTACATTTGTTTTGAATGGCTACTGTTCATTTACTATGAGTATGTGTGTCGAGTAAATATTGTGATTGGTATCACTCAAAAAATGAAAATACTACCCGAAGAGTACACCCGAGCTAAAGAGTCAACACTCCTCTGCTATTCTTGCTGATCAATTGTTTCACTTGCATTAACTGGCAGCTTCATGCCTCATTTTCAATCTTTGTAAATTGTGTAAATATTTTTTCTATTTAATATTGTCAGTGTTTACAACTTTAAATATAAAGTGAACTCCGACAAATGTTGAGTGTAGATAATTAATTTGCTAATGTAAATGAATATGTGAAATTTTAAATTAGAACTTAGTTAGAAAAATGTAGCAAGTGTAAAGTCTGAATGAATGCTCCATAAGTGTGTGAGAGAGAATCTCTTTCTTATTTTATTTCCTGACAAATTAGGAAAGCTCTAATTTTAACTTCCTGTCACAACAATTGGGCCACGATCATGTCATGGTTAATATCTGTTTCTTTTTATACTCTTAACTTAATATGTTACAGGTAATTTATTCTTTTCTTGAAATTGTTATTGTCACCGAGTAAGGTTTGAAGTCAACAATGTTACAACATTTTAGATCCGATGAGTTGAAAAGAAGAAGAAATGAAAACCAATAAACAAACAAATAAAGTTCTTTGTTGTCGTAATATCTATGTTAATATAGAATTTAATGAATTATTAAACGAACTGTTGAGAAAAGCTTTTGTTACTATTTTCAACGACTGTTTTTAAACGTTTGTAAGTCTGATGACGGTACAAATACAAGAAGCATCTTATTTCTTTGAACGGAAGAAGAATAAATTAAACAACTCCTATTGAAATTTTACTTTTGTTGCTTCAATAAAAATGTCAAGTTTAATTTTAAGCATGACGTCACGTAAAAAAAAGTTGCACAACATTATAAAACAGAAGTTCGTCTGTTATAACTTTGATATCTTGATAATAACTTCAATAAGATATAAATTTTGAAATGGTTTGAGATAATCTAACTAGTTTTTAACTAAAATCCATACGTATGTTTTTCTTTTCAATTACATACAGTGAACTTTCTTTATAAGATTTCAGAAGGGAGTCACCTATAAAGCTTCTTCATATGAAGAAATTTTTTGAAAATGTTAATGAAAAAGCTCGTTATCAACCTAGCGTGCATTTCAATAAATATCAAAGGTAATGCATCCTCAAGAACTTTTATACAATTTTCAACAAGATTTGCACGACTTTCACTGGTATTTTTAAATTTTATTATTATTTTTTTTTTATTTAGAGTTTTTTTTCCATGAATCTGCTGCATTTTAACTTGAGGCGTCTCTAGTTTATACAATTACTGAAAAAAGAAACGATTAGCGCGTTAAAGAACGCAAAACTGCATTTTTTTTCTCATCGACTAATAAAGAGAGTACTTTTAATATAAACTCTCATGCTGATAAGGAACTTTACTTATAAAGAAATTCTTCCTACAAAGAACGAAAATTGCTTCAAAATGAGAGTGTGTGGGAATTTAAAAAACTTTTACTCATTAAGAGAAATCTTATAAAGAAAGTTCACTGTATTTATAAGATGCTGAATATACGAAAATCATAAAAATATTGTCTTTCGTCTTGTGCCAAGCAGCATTCAAGTATGGATAATTGAAAGATACAGTAGCGAGTCATTTAAATTTATTATTTTACGATTTCCAACAGGAAGTTGGCAGTGAAGATGTGGCTTGCCACTTATTTTCATAATTAATGGAATATTTCATTGAAGTGTGAATACTATTTATTGAATGTTTCTTTCATTGACGATTGTGCTTGAATTACTTTTCACAATGCTTGTAGTCACACTGTGAAGGAATAAAGAAAATGGAGCTTCAATCGTATCAATTCGTTATTGAAATCTTATAAGTGGGCAAATAAAAAATTATATTTTGCTCAGGTTGTGGAAATGTTCGATTCTTGTATTATTTAAATTCCTGAACTGATGTTTGTTCAACTGCTGAGAGGAAAGCAAGGCACTATACCGAATGTTCAAGTCATAAATTTTTTAACACATGAGTGTTAATCAATATCCAAACGTTCAAACGCGACAAAATGATTGTAAGTTCTGTTTAAAAGTTTTGTAACCTTAATCGCATAATAAGAATTTTTCACATTTCACTCCTGACATGATGTTGCTGTTTCAACAATGCGACGCCTTCCTTATTAAAGCCCATGAGCCTTACGAGCTTTAAAATATTTTTTCAATACACAATCACCTCATCAACGTTGTATATTCTTTTTTGTTGATTTTTGAAATAAAAAATATCATAAGTAATAATTTTGTTTGTAAAAATACTTTTAATAATTTGAAGTTTACTCTACAAATATGTTTATTGTGAAATTGTGCGAGTCAAAATGCGAATCATTTGTTATATTGCTGTAAAGTTTGAGATAGCAAAATAAGCGTCTAAATCATGTTTGCAAATTAGATAATAGAACACTCCAAAATAAATTTAGACACTTCCAAATGCACCTAACAAAAACAAACTCTTCCAACAAATATTCTCATCTACGTGGATATTTGTAAACAAATTTCTTCCTAATATATTTGAATATAAACAATTTATTTTTACACAATCAGAATAATAGCAAAAAAGTAACAACAAACACAAACCTGGTACCTATGTATGTTTTAGTTCGGAATGTGAAAAGATGAGTAGATTTTATTTGAAAAAAAATGCGTTCCAAATAATTTCTGAATCATTTCATTTGAGTCTCAAGAACGAATATTTGCGTCACGTTTGATTTCCTTCCACAGTATTAGTGACATATATGTCTAAAATAAATAGCTTGAATTTGAAGGCAGTTTGATGAAGTAATAGAAATTTTTTAGAACCAAGTAACTATCTTTAGACACTTAATATCCCCGATTTATGACTGTGAATAATAGATAAATTGCAATAGTAGAACCTCGACTTATTAAAACAAACGTTGACACACATATTTTAAATGTTCGAAAGTTGCAACGTAAACATCGGAATGTTCACATTTTACGTTTGAATACTAAGGATTCTTTTAAAGAGTACAAAGATCATAATTTTACATAATAAATAAGCAATATTGAGTGCTTACTTTCAAGACCCTTCAAACAGTTTTTTCTCTTTGCAAGTTGCGTTATGGAAAAAGTATGACGAAGTTATGTACTTGTTTTTGCCAGACTTTAATGAGAAGGTATATAAGAAGACATTCTCTATTTATTCTCTTCAGTGAAATATAAATTGTTTGTAAACTGTTAACGTGCATATTTTTAATATTGCTTAAAAATCGATACAAAGTTAATAATTTATTATGGTAAGTAATGGAAGTGAAAAGAAAAAAAACTTTATTTCATTATTTTAGTTTATTTTATTTTATTTATCTACTTCAATTCTTTTTCCTTCAAATACAAACAAAATAAAAATTACATATAGGAAATGTGATATAAAACATGGCTATGCTTAATAAAAGAAGCCGCTTTTATGACAATAACAATGAATTTTAAAAAGGCATCTTTTGAGATTTAAATCAATTTATGGTTTTTGCTTTGAACTAGGATTAGGATATTTTCCTAGTCATACAACGTAGTTCAGTTACAGTTTGATTCAAAGAAATTGAAGAATTTCTTCAATCAAGCCAGATGAATCTTAGACTGAAAACACTTTGACTATATTTGATTCATTGAAATAAAAAGTTTGAAGTATTAAACAAACATGTTAATTGTTTAACGGCTCCTATGGGTGGTCATGATTTTATGATATCTTGAGAAACAAAACAGTAGTCACCTTTTTTATCTTCTTTTGCTCAATCTTTGGTTTTACGCTTCCATGAACAGCATTTATGACACTCAAGCTTTATGAAGTGTGACGAAAAATGAATATGAGCACATGTGGTAAAGAATAAAATGCTGCATTTTATCATATTTCACAGGAAGAGTTTATTAAGACCCGTCGCGGCGAGTGTCAAAAAACGATCAAATGCTGAACGGTGATCGGTCAACCTACATACATGAGTCAGCAAGAATTACTTAATTTGAAATTAATTAATTTCTTTTACAACAAGGTAAAAGAAACAATCGATTGAGTCGTCATTCTCACACGTGTTGTATTTAATAATGACCAAAACTGTTATTATTTTTAATATTTTTTTTCTTCGGACATAATTTTAGAGTAAACAAAGTATGACAAACCATTTTGATCTCGTCCTTATAATGCTTAATGCATAACGTTTGCAATAGGCTTTTATATAATAGCTTAGGGTATTCTGAATCAATAAAAACGGAATGTTCTTTAATATCGCATCAAAGCAGACAATGAAACTTATTCAAAAAGGTAAAATCCAGGGTAAAATCAACACAGCATAAAGTCCAGGTGATATCTTTGCATTACAATAAGACTTAAATTTTTTATGTTTCAACCATACAGCATAATTGTCGCAATGAGATAAAATGTTGATCTATTTCCAACGATATTATCTGAATGATTTGTAATCATTGAAACTGTTAAATTACTTGTTTGCTTAAAAAATCAAATATTGTTTATACTTAAATATAAATTGAATGCTGTTAAACCATTTTAATAATCTATATACATACATACTTATAAGTATACACGGCTGATTGTTTATTATTGACTAAAATCATTATTACGTTTGTTTGATTTTTTATTTATTATTCAAATTATTGTATTGTTTTTAGCTCAACACGTTTATAAATTGTATTAAAGCATTTTCCACATTTGGTGACTTTTAACGTCGTGCGACTTCTCAATTCTCATCGAAATATGTTTGCGCAAAGAATTATTTTCAATTAAACAAATCACTACGCTTCGTAATCAGCTGAAAATTAGTGAAGCTTCTGTTTCTGATACATGCCGTCGAGTAGTCTACGTTGAATTATCCATTAATTAGTTATCAGCAGTAGCATGCCGAAACTTGCTATCAAAAAGCACACAAATATTGATTATTGAGATTGTAAATCAAAAGTTTCCACTTCTTGATATTTAGTCTGTTTTCAAAAGAAATCAGTTTTTTTTGTGTGGTTTGTTTTATCGAGCTTGTTTAATTGATTTATAAATGTTTGTTTTTCCAGTTTGATAACTCATCTATTACTCATTATCTTTGCTGTAAAAAGTAATCAGTGTGTTTTAAAGCAATAGATTTTATTTAAGTTTTTGGACTCATCAGTCAGATAAGCGATTGTTTTCTTGTGAAGTAAATATGACAACAGCGTCAAAGAACTCAAACTAAATTCATGAGTCATTAATTATCTCTTCGTTTGTTCACCTTAAATTGTAAGACGAAATAATATTTCATATTGCGTTTCTTCATATTGTGAGTCCAATTAGCACATTATTTTCAATACCCGGCGCTGTTTTAATACAAAATATATTCAAAATACTCAAAATAAGAAAAAAAAAATTGTTTCACTTTTCCTTTTACTCACTTCTACACAATTTTCGAAATACGTGATGCTTAGGAAAAACTAAATTTATTCTTCATAAAATATCACTGCATCGATAACATCAGAAAATCGACTAAACATTAATTTTATAAGCGGTTCTTCAAACAATGTGGAGAAACACACGCCGGCTACTTAATAAAAAAATTCTATATCCAATATCTGCATATTTCTTTTTTTTTGGTAATCTGTTAGTTTGGAAACCTGTCAACCCCGATTATGATAAATTTCAGCTCAAAAATGTTTTTCTCTTCTGCATTTTACTATTTCACATTGTTCACATATGAAAATATAATTTTGATGGCGCGCACAGAATGAATACAACAACGCCTTGTTATAATGACAATGATAGATATTACCCGACTATCATGCTTGAACCAGAGTATAAAAAAATTGTATTGAAAATGTTCTGTTATAAGCTATCCTTCACAGTTCTGGTGTGCGTTACGATATTGGAACGAATGTGGACAACTTCCTATGATTTTCTTTTTTTTTCCTTTTCGCATTACACGAAGAAATAACTTTTGATTGCGAAAAAAATTCAAAGAGAAAAAAAATTACACAAACAAAAATTAGATCTTTCTGTGTCGATGTCACCACATATTCGATTAAATGTCAATTTTGGAATCCAGAAAGCTGAAGCTAAAAAAAGTATTTTCAATTTATTTCTTTATAGTGAAGTCAAAATCGTTTTCCTGAGGTCAATTGGTGTGTGTGAGTGTTGACTCAGCAAACTGTATTGATCTCAACACAGTGAAAAATCAAATTTCATCACCATCTTAATATTTTCCAATGTATTAATGGCTCAATGATGATGACACTGTTTTTCATTTCATTTTCCGAATAAAAGGTTTTCTACTATATAAGACACGCCTTTTTATGTTCTCCAAGGAGAAAGAGTGTACAGCGTATGTGAAGTTTGGCTTTTTATTGGTCGATATTGTTGTGTGAGTTCTGAACATTCTTTGAAAAATCTCGAATGATTGCGAAGGGACTTTGAGATGGTGTGTATGGAGAAGTATTTTCAATGCTAGTGAATAATGTATGAGAGAAACAGATAATTTTTATTTATATACAGTATAATGAAGGAAGGAAGGGTCTACATTATGAAGAAAAAAACGTGTTGTACAACAGTGTTCATCATAATACACACACATAAGAAGCTTTCATTTACACTTATAATTTTGGAAGATGTTTTTGTTATATTTTGAATAACAATATTTTTTGGAAAGCCAAATAGTATTCGTTCCTCTCTGCAAACAGTCGCGTCTGTTAAAGCGTGTAACAATTTTTTTTTCACATCTTCTCTGCTAGTGACGCTGCTTCTTTTTCTTGCTAAAAGAAAAAAAGTTTCGATGAAAAAAATATTGTTCTGAAGTTGAGAGTCTTATTTTCTCATGTGATGCTATCTACATTAAACGCGATAAAAACTTAGCCAAGGATAATGAGCATCAGTTGATCAAATATTATGAACGACACATAAATAATAAAACAGAAATGAATTTTAAGTTTCAAGAGAAAAAAACGGGGAAATTAAGTAAAACAGTTCTGATAAGTTCAAAAAATACGAATTCGAACAATATTTTAGTGGAATACATCCGAAGGAAAGTGGAAAATATTTGAAGTGACATTCTGTAAAAGGAAAAAGGAAAGAAATATTAAGAGTGCTTGTGATTACACAAAACAAACGAGTTAAAACCAGAGCACGCAAACCCACATACAACTCAATACTAGCATAAATACGAAAAGTATATAGAGTGAAAATGCTTATATAAACACACAACAGAAGAATTGAATCCTTTTTATGACACACGAGAAAAGCAACGGCAAACAGTGTCTATTTGTTTTTTCAATCAGTAAAAACGTCTCTGTTTGATTGCAACGAGTCAACATTTTATTGATACAAGCATAGAGAAAACAGTTTGTATTTTTTTTGAAAGAAAATAAATTATAGCTTTTCCTGAAGTTACAATTTGAAAGAAAAGAGAAAAACCTGTTGCCGTCAAAACATTAACCAAAACTTTAAGTTTTGCAATGACCAAAATTAAGAATTAAAATAAAAATTCTCGTTTGATAATTAAACTTAGAACTGAATTCATTGAAATCGAAGAAGTGCAAGTAATTATTGTCGAAGTAGGAAAAATTCTGTTTCAAAAATAAAGATTGTGATTGAAATAAACATTTTAATATAAAACAATTAACATTTCAAAAATTGAAATCAAATGTTTTTAATAAAAAAGAATTCTCAGATATTATAAAAAAATAATAATAAACAGAAAATCATATGGAAAAATATCGATTTGTTGATTGAAGAGGAAAATCGCAAACTCATCATAAGCTACGAAATAATTTAGAGCCTCGAAGTAACTGTTTCATTGATAATCAATTTCATTTTGATTATCAAAATAAAAGCAATTTTAACGTAGCCAAATTGGAGAAGTGAAAAATTGGAATTTATGAAAATTGAAGAAGAATTAAGAGCCATGCAAAAATTATATGCTGAGACTCCAATTAGTAGTTCGGGTATGGTGAACCCAAATGCTAATAACAACAATAATCCAAATACAAATAATGGAAATATGAGCCCAATGACTCCTACTTATACCATGAATACTATGGGTATGACAGGAATGTCGTCGGTATCTCCACAAGGAAACGGTAGTGGTTCCTTTGGTAATGGAGTTTTAACAGCCTCCAATATGGGCGCAATGAGTTCTGCAATGAATGCAATGAATGGAAATTGTTTAACATCAACGCCTATCGGTTATGGTTCTATGGGATCCCCATTAGGAAATATGGGATCTTGTATGGGCGCAGGGATGGGAACTTCAATGGCTTCAATGTCTCAATATACAACGATGGGAAGAGGGGATTTGCAAGAACCCGGATCACCAAATTCAGCTGTCTTACAACGAGCGCGAGCAGAAAAACCAACAACATACCGACGCAGTTACACTCATGCAAAGCCACCATACAGTTATATTAGTCTCATAACGATGGCAATACAGAACAATCCACACAAGATGCTGACGTTGGCTGAAATTTATCAATTCATTATGGATCTTTTTCCATTTTATCGACAAAACCAGCAACGGTGGCAAAACTCAATTCGTCATTCGTTGAGTTTTAATGACTGTTTTGTGAAGGTTCCACGAACGCCTGATAAGCCTGGTAAAGGGTCATTTTGGACATTACATCCTGATTCTGGTAATATGTTTGAGAATGGTTGTTATTTGAGAAGGCAGAAACGCTTTAAAGATGATAAAAAAGAAGCAGTTAGACAAATGCATAAAAGCCCTTCGCATAGCATTGAGAATCATAGTCCTCAAGGAAAAAAAGATCTACATGACGAACATCATCATCGAGATCATCATCATAAAGGCATACCAGATACTCATGGAATGCTTAATTCCGTTCATGGTAAAGATGCTGATACTTTAGCTATGCTTCATGCAACTGCAGATTTATGCTTAGCTCAACAATCTCATTCCCATTCACATCATTCACAGCATGGTACTCACCACCATCATCAACAATTGCAACAAGAGGATATTACTGCTATGGTCAATAGATGCCATCCGTCATTACTTGATAACTACCACACGATGCATCATTTGAAACAGGAACCGAGTGGTTACACGCCCTCGAATCATCCATTTTCAATTACTCGGCTTCTCCCCACCGAATCGAAAGCTGATATTAAAATGTATGAAATGAGTCAATATGCTGGGTATAACGGTCTCAGCCCATTGCCGAATTCACATGCTGCTGCTGCGTTAGGGCAGGATTCGTATTATCAAAGCTTAGGATATCATCCATCAACTGGCACTACAAGCTTGTGACATCAATATCCAATAGCCTAGTAACAACAACAGCAGCATTCAAATCAGCTTCAACAGAATTCCCTGCAACAACAAAATCACATGCAACATCACTTTAGAAACTCGCAACAATTATTTCACCAACAATATGTAAAATATAAAAATATAACTAACTGATATCTAAACAAAAGCAGCAGATTTCATTAGACTCAATTTATAATTTTTTCTTTGTTCTTATCTTGAATCGAGAAGAAAAACAAAAGAAAAGCGATTGATGAATACCTACAAAGTGTTGAGGGTAAGCAAATGCTGAAACCCAATTTCTTATTATAAATTAATGTGTAAAATAAGGAAACGAATATCACGTTTACAACTCAACATCATTTATTAACATATATATCTAAATATATTTTTATTTTTGCTTCGAAAATTATTTTATAATAGTTTGACGTTTATAAAGCACTCTTTCCATTGAAATTTTATTGCCGTCGGAATTTATGACATTTAACAGCCATTTTATTTCATGAACAGTAAAGATTGACATTACATTTCATTTTATTTTAGAATAAAAACGATTTTAAGTGAAGGAAATAAATAATTATTAAGCTATTATATTTGAAGAAAAAAGCCAACAGTAAGAAAAATTGTGCAATTCTGAATTTAAAAACCGTTATTGTCATCTTTTATCTTCTTGGAACTTTGTAATAAAGTGTAAATAATGTAAATCAAGTAACGGAACCGAACAGAGAAAAAAACAGGTCATGAGAGACTATGAGCCTTGGCACATTAAAATTCAATATCTTTATACATATATCTAGTTATTAGATGCTGATTCTTGCATTCCGGTGAGAACACGACATCCGTTTTCATTTTTTCATGTACTGATCATTTTAGGAATCTTTCAATTTAATTTTATCAACGTAGCTAGATATAAATCATACACAATCCTAAGAAGAATGTAGAAAAAGAAAACAATGATGTAATGATGAATTCCGTATTAAAGTGATTATTATTATAAAGTATCTATTACAGAGTATACATAGAAGTACTTGTAAAATAAACTTTTGTCACGAAAAAAATGAAAATAAATCATCTCCACTTAAAAATTGAATTGCTTCATTATCTGACTCATTACTAAATATTTTTATTCACGAATGCTTTTTTTCCCCAGAACTAAGTTCAAAATCATTCCAGAAAATGTTTCTCCATCTCTTTTCCGTTTATTATTGGATATCTGCTATTCCAAGTTTATGACTCCTCCAAATATCGATTTTACCTAACGTCGAAGTAATTTTCTCAACATGTGTTTGTATGCTACATAATATCCCCCTTGGAAATCATATATCTACATTTTCTTCCATCGCAATTCAAAATGGCGCAAGAAATATGACCAGAAAATTTAGTTATAAAATTCACAGTGGAAATGTTTCTTTCAGATCTATTTTATTCATTATGTCTGTTGATTACTGGAATCTTTCAACTAAAAAAGTTTTTCTAATATTTACACAAGGTAGGTAGTTGTTAAATGTTAATATTTTTATCATTCAATAATTTATTAAAAATGTCTTGAAAGCATAAAATTTGGGAAATCTTTGAAAGTTTCTTTAATATTAGATAAAAATGAAATAAATTTTGTATATTCTTTAAAGTAAAGCAAATTGACTTTCATTTTAATAACATCTGGTTAAAGTACATCAAAACGATACAATAAGTTATGGATGTTTTTAAATAAACAAAAAAATAAAATTTTCTTTTGCAGATTCAACAGTTTTATAAATTAAAGCCACATAAAAACAAATTCGAAGACTGTATCATCAAAAATAATAAGACTTTATTGAACTTAGGGTTTCAAAAGTTGCTCATCGATTCGATCGAATAATGAGAAGCAGACGAAAGTCTAATAATGTTGATTAAATATTGGAACGATGAATATTATCGATGAGAACATTTGATGCCATGACGTTGACCGAGCCGTCGTTAAGTTTTGTTTTTCTACAACAAACTCATTTTTTAAAGTAATCATAACATTGAAATTTTCAAAGTACTCGCTTTCCGCAGACTTTATCAGTCGCTCTTCAAATTGTTGAGTCAATACTGATAATCAATGTCTGATAACTTACTCAACAACGGTTCTCAAGCCACAACATAAAATCCTTGATAAAATCAATGATGAAGAAAAAATGCATTTCCTATCAGAATTTTCACTACCTTTTCTTATCGGTTTGAATGATATGTCGGTTTACTTATCAGCAACTTACACTGGATAATATTGATTTTTCCTTCAATTCTTATCAGCAGTTGTAAAACCATTTAGCACTTGAAGATAAATATCGATTTGTGGATATTTATGGGATTTCCATCAAGATTCCTCATTTCAAGCTCTGTGATTTTATGTAGGTAACACAATTTAATTAATCTTCAAATCAAGCACTTCGCGATTATAAGAAAAGCTTAATATGGAGGTGGATTAATTCAATGATTACTACCTATTTGTTCAGTTTGTATGTTGATGACAAAATTATCAAGTTTCAATTTATTGGTTATTTTCTTTGAAGTTGATCATTCTTCATCACCTTCTTATTTTTAGAATAAGAAAAAAACATTTTGTCAAATTTTGAATTGGGAGTTTTTTTCTTCTTTTTCTTCTTAAATTGATAATTTCAATACGAATAAATAGAGTTCCTTTACAAAAACTTTGATGCTAAGAAAACCTTGATTTTCATCTTGTAAGATGTATTAACATCATTTAAAATGACATTGTTTGATGTTCCGCAACGCCATGATGGTGTTTACATCCTGGGGGTCTATAGTTAGTAGCCAACTACTCATGTCTCGTTTTACTTCATTAAAAGTCTCATTAAGAAGCTATTTCCATTGAAATCCCAAACTATTTGTTCTTCAAATTATCAAAACGTTGGTAAAAGGTGAGAAAATAAAATTCCGTCGTTCCAAGCTAAACAGAGAATTATCATAATAATATTCTGTCAAAAAAAATAATAATAGATAATAATAAAAAGAAGAGATGTAATAAAGTTTTTCACATGGTCTTCTCAACTTTCTACGCCTCACGAACATGTGAAAAATATATATGAAAAAACAGTCTGTGAGATACGCCCATGAAATTATTATCATTTTAACTGATATTTGCTCAATCCTCGTTTTAACTTAAAAATTTATACTGTAAATATGGTTTAATGTATATCTTTTAAGGTCTTGTTACTTGTGTGTTTTATTCTTTTAACGTGTAGTTTTATGACATTTAAAATATTATGGAAAAAGATAATGACGAGACGGAGAAACGAATATGGAGTTTTTTTTAATAATTTCAAGTTTATTTCAAGCAATAATGAGGCTGAAACACAATACAATTTAGTTAAAATAATGTGGGAATCGAAGGAAATAAAAAATATCGACGAGTTATTGCTTAATATATTTAAATGTCTATTAATGAACGTTATCATCAGCTATCTAAATGAATGTCTATCTAATTGAAACAACCATCAAAGTATCATCACTTTAGCGAATTTTCAGATATGCTGTCATCAAATAATTCTAATATTTTCTTCTCTCATTGTATTTAAATTATAGGAAGCTTAAGTATTAGGATTAAAGAGTAACAAAAGAATTCATGTATCAAAATTATTCAACTACTGACAATTACAAATACCCTCATATTATTGTAAATTAATTTCACAGTTGAATAATGTCTTTATAGGGTCAATTCATATAACTACAAGTGACAAATTTTCTCATCATATCTACAATAGATTTGCCATTTTACTTTAAAAAAAAATTGTGTTTTCGAAGAACAGATGAATCTCTTAAATTTAAGAAAAAAAACTATAATTTGTCAGATTATTTAAGTGAATTTAAAATATCCGGCCAATGAAAATAAAGCCAAAAGAAATAACAAATATGATGTAAATCGCTATAATTGACAAAAATATGTCAACAATTGCTTTCATTATCACATTGTTTCCTTAAATCTCCTACGAAACCTTCAGTTTTATTGAGGGTGCATTTGCAGTGAGGGTTAAAATCGTCAGTGAATTGCCTTGATTCGTATATTATTCATATGCTCACAATGATATTGTGATTGCTCACAGGCATTTATTTGCTAATTTAACATTTCTTTAAGAGAAGAACCCTAACCCAGAAACGAGGGTGAGATTTGTTTGTTCATGCGTAAAAACTATAAAACTCGACCGCGCAACATATGCGTAGATTTCATTCATTGTTTTCTTCTATACTTTGTTTATGCGTTCTTATCTGGAATCACAAACCTTCAACAGTCACACTTTAAATAGGTAGTATTCTCTTTTCTCTGACTAAGAGATTACCTCCCTCATCAAAACAACTCATAGAATTTAACAGCAATAAGATTCTGAAACTTTCATTCTTTTATTTGTGCAGAATTCAAATCATTTGCTATGTGTGATACTTTTTTATAGATATAATTCAATAGCAGTAAAAGGGAAAGACAAAAGTGATCAAATATACAAAAGATTGAAGTTTGCTTTGACCTTGTTTTTATGCTAAATAAATTGAAAAATGGTAAAACTTAACTCCTAAATTTTATGTTCCGTTTTGACATGTTTGAATCTTAAAGAATGTGCAATAAGGCAATTTTACAAGTATGCACTGATGTTTGAAGGATTAATAAGATATCTAATTTAGATATTATATATCTCATTTTAAGTGTCAATTATCCATGTTGCACATAAATTTGTTTAGATGTTTTAATGCTAAAAGTACACGAACTAAAAGTCAATAACATCACATAATGTTTTTAAATTCTTATACGAGAATAAAAAATATGTACAATATAAACAAGCTCTATTTATTTGCAATCATAATATTTGCCAGAATTGAATAAAATTAAAATCATCGCAAAGCAAACAAGAAAAGTTTTTTTCGTGTCTAGAGAGATTTTTTTTCTCACGATTCCAGATTTTCTCATTTTCTCTCCTTAAATGTTGTGCAATATTCCAAGTGTTAATGTGAATTAAGAAAGTTAACTAATTACAATAAATCATTGACAATTCCAAATTATATTTCAGAACGTATATTCATTTGTTGATGGAGAATATTTTAGAATTTCATAACCCAAAATGATTCAGTATTAAAGAGTTGAAAAAATTAAAAAAATAAATACAGTGAACTCTCGTTATAGCATTCTCTCGTTATAACATTTCTCTCGTTACAACATTCATTTCGAACGAAATCTCGAACAAAATTTTCTCGTTACAACATTTCTCTCGTTATAACATCAATGCTGTCAGTCCCTTCGAAAATGTTATAATAAGAGTTCACTGTAAATGCGATTCAACCAAAAAAGTTGAAACTTAAATTTATCTAATTGAATGCTTGTTTACATAAATGCGAGATTTTCGGAGATTTTTGGTCCTAGAAAACCTCAGAAATTCTAAGGTTTTTTATTTAGTTGTATATATATGTAAATAATTTTCAATAAATTTTACCTTGATATTTCCTTCAAAGAGATTTGCTTTTTATCATATTTTTTACGTCGTTATAGTGACTGTAGTTTAACATAGTCAAATATGAGTACACTTTCAAAAAAAAAGATACATATGTGGCAGAATATTCCAGAATTTTGTTGGTTTTGCGCAAATATCATCTTCGAAACGAATTAAAAACAGATACACGTCGTTTGTGCTACAGAAGGAAGAAAAAAAAGTTCTGCTTCCCTTAAAAAAAAAGAAATTGATAAGCCAAATTTACATTAACTACTAAACATACTCAAACACTGGTGCTAAGTATTATAGATTCAAATATTAAATGAGGAAATATTTATCCAATTTTTTTGAATGAAGCTACATTTAGTTGACATAGAAAGAGGAAGAGAGAGAGAAGGTAATAACTCAATATGAAGAAATGATCACAATTTCAATTATATTATTTATTTTCATTAAACTAAATGATTAAATAATTTATTTGCAATAAAATGTCACAAGAGTTCTTATCGTTAAAATTCACTTACACTCGCTAGTAAATAAAGAAACAAAAATCAATCATTAGCAAAAAAGATTGTTATGGGAAAACTTTCGAAAGTCTTATTGTTTGCTTGTGAAATATTTACACATTCTATAAAGGACACATTGGATCAAAAATTTCCAGTCAATATTTGCTCGAAATTGATAAAAGAAAACAATTTTTTTGACGGATTGGAAAATTGTTTTTAGAGCTTTTTGGTGGATTTTCCTGTGGAATAATCCGAGAGAAAAGAGTGATAATTCAATCAAGTTCAAATATTGACATTCAATGTTCATCTCTAAACTCTTAACTGTTTCATATGAAAAACCTTCACTATGGTAAGGAACGCACAATGCTCTCAGAGTGAGAAAAAAAAACTTTATTTGAATGTGTGAAAGTTGAAACAAAATCTTGCAATGAAATGTGTCCTACACGTACATGATTAAAGTCCATCGAAAAGAAACAAACGATTGAAACGTGTGATTTTTGGCATTGTGCATGAAAAGGGATTATCCGAAATCTTTTATATTTTGGTTTACAGACACACGTTCGGATACTCTAGTTCTATGGGTGATTCAGAATGTTCATTTTGTGTGAGCTTGATAAGGTGAATACGTCAACATCATATTAGAATCTCAACAAAGAAAGAAAAGAAAACTCTATTAGTAAAAATCATATTCATCTATCATTATCAATCAACTTTGATTATAAGAGAACTGATGATGAATATCCTAGTTCAAAAATTAAAATATCAAGAATCAAGCATTTGTTGTTATTCTAAATTTTATTCATTTCTACAAATAATAATAGCAATGTGCGAGAAAGAAGAAATCACAACAAATTTAATCCTAAATGCTCAGTAGAGGATTAAGTGAAGTTTCGAATAAATTTTATTCCCTTCTTTTATGTATTTAATGCAGAAATTTTTATTTTATTTGTTAGCTCAGATGTAGAGGCAGAAGAATGCGTGACGGCTCTTTGAAACTTCATTCATTTTACGCCCTACAGTTTAGTTATTCAATCCACATGAAATTTCCTCTAAGGGTTAATATTTATTGGTATTATCTAAATATGTTGCGGGGTTGTAATTTTCGTGATGTATCTCTGAAAGAGTTTCCTATTACTTGCAAAGCTAAGCAAGATTTTCGCCTACGTTCTGTTTTGATTAAATCATTATTTGTTCAATTAAACTTCATATTTTTACATTATATGCTACAAGTTAGCTTTAATCTTCATCATAAAGGGTCGTCACTGTTGCTTCGCAATAAGTATTCGGGTAATTGGTTGCAATCTATTCTTATGATTCAAACGCATTGAAATAATGAATGATAATGCAATAAACATTCAAGCCATGTGATGAGTGAAAAGATTCACGCCTGAGGGGTTGAACAATAAAGAGATAGGAGATGAAAAAGTGAGTGGCAGGCTTTAGCAGGCAGTGGCAGAAAACTGAAATGTATCGTGAAGATTTAGGATTGGAACATAATAACAAATCCAATTTACTGGAAAAGATTTAAACCATTTTGGAAAGGTTAATATGAAAATAAAAGACATTGTGAATTTATTGAAAAGGTACTTACTTATTGCAAAATTCTCAAACAGATTTTGACGTCAGCGGTAGAGAAAAATAAAAGGAAATATTCTTTGTTATTCAAGGTAATAAAAGACCGAGAGATAAATTAAACCGGAAGCTCTTAAGCCATTTACTCGAGGAAGAAATGAGACTTCATAAAAATTTGGAAGTTTTTTAAAAGTAAAACTTTTTTTCTGGCTATGTGAATGAGCTGAAGCTCCAATGAATTGTTTGCTTTATGATAAAAGAAATAATTTTGTTTACATAATGAATAACGTTGATGAATGCATTTCAATTGAAACTTCTATCATGCAATGTGAGTTTTTTTTAATATGTAGATATAAAAAATTTTATTCACCTTTTAATTAAATATTTCATAACTACGTTGTTAAATACCAAAATGTATGTAAATGAATTCAAGATGTAACAAATAAAATTCAGATGAGAGAAGATCAAGGACATTAACAAAATTTAAAAGAAATTTTCATATGGAATGAATAAAGTTATTAAATATCTTGAATTTATATTAATTCTGATTCTTACGCATCATAAAAATATGTATCACAAAATATTTTCTCATGCAAAAATTGCTTCAAAAAATTCTTTCTGATCCCGATGAATATTGATGAAATATTTGAGTTAATTAAAAACGCATTACTGACAATGAAATTGAATATTTTGGCAATAATTTTAACACAGTTCATCAGTGATTAACTATCATATTTATATCAAGCCGGAAAAAAGGAAACCACTACCTACCGCAATAGACTATAAGGAATGCCATGTGCTGTTTAAGCAGAGAAATTATAACACAACAATCAAATATTTGATGTTTATATTTATTTCGAATACACATCAGTCTCATTTTCCCACTCAAATCTGTTTCGTAAAAAAATGGATAAGTAAAATATTTAAGCAGACAAACACTACCGTAAGTTATAATAACTTTGTTCTTTGCCAAATATTGGCCTCAAAAATTGCTATGAGATTATATTGATATATCTTTATTATGTGTTTGATCTGACTTATAAATATTAAATATTTGACTCTTTTTTTATTATTATTATTATCATTTGAATATCGAGTTTCAGGAATCTCTTCTTTCTTTCATTTCTTGATTTTGTAACATTAATGCATAAAGAAAAGGTTTAATTTATTTTAGTTTCTTGGTAAGAAATGCCGGTATGAGTGCTGTAAGATAATAACATCAAAAAGCCATTCCAGGTATTTCAAAATGGTCGTTTTCACATACAAATTCTACAAAAATCTTTTAACTTAATATTATTTGAACAAGAAAGAGCGATAAAGACAATGCAAATAAAGCAAGAAAATATCATAAAATGAAAAAGTATAAAACAAAAGATTTACCGCTCCTCTTCAAGCGCTTTTTCTGTTTTTTTTCTTACATTTGTCGCTTTGTCGTGACTTTTTTTTATTTCTGATGAGAGACCTCAGCTAATTATAATTTTATAAGTTTTAAAAACATGTTAGTTTCCCATAGCATTCATGAAAACTTTATATGAGTTTCAAAGAAAACTACATTAAGAAAAGTAAACATAAGCCATTTTAAATCGTTGCTGGCATTATAATTGTACGACAATATACGTAAGTACGACGACGTGACTCATGACGATTGAAGAGAAAAAAAGAAAAAGGAGCATTTGCTTTGCGGGGGTTTTTTAACAAAATCATGATTATCACAAGAATTGCAGAATATCTGAAAGAGTTTGAAGTATGGCAAAAAAATTTTACAAAAACTCGCGATACTTTTCTCTGTTGACTTTGCTCGAATTTTGCTTGTAGGGAGTTTTAATTAATTTTTAATTTTAATATCTTTTTTTTTCAAATATTTACAGTACTACTCTCTTCCGTTCAACGTACGCATACTTTTAAATCTCTTCACAAACAAAATCTAATTAAATATTTCGCAATAAGTCTTACCAGTAATGTTTATCTCAAAAGGCTGTTATTTTTATGTAAATATTTTATTTATTATAAAATAATGCTTCTGACTTTGACGAGGATGAGAAATTTGAAGTTTAAAACACTCAAAGGAATAAAGATGTCTAAAATAAGTATAAAATCTTAATTATAGAATGAAAGTTTCATCAAAATTCAATTCCAAATTTCAGTCAAGCGAAGGAAATTTTCACACTTTTTCAGCTCAATCAATTCTTTTTCTTTCCAGATTTAGGTGAACATTTTACAAGTGAAATCTGATAAAATAAGACTGAAGTTTATTTTTCATTAAAAACTTGATACATGGGTTGAGCGTATATTGAAAATTGAGGCACATTTATCTTCTTTAAACTTGAAATCAATTTTTCATCATTTCTGACAAAACATTACGTGAGATATTCTACTGAAATCTTTTGAAATTAAAAATTTCGCTTTGCTTTGTTAAAGCTGCAAAAAGTGGCCAATTCTTTTTTATTCTTATTAGAAACTTTTTTTACAGACATTACTTAAATTCAGAGAAAAGTCAGATCACATGAATATTTTAAAGTTGATTTTGCGTCATGCTTTTCAATTTGTTTTGTTTCAATAAAAACTAAAAAATAAAACCCACACGTAGTAGAATCCTTCAAAGCAAGCGATCGTCATGCTTCACAGCTCGAATCATTAATTGATAGAAAAAAGTTCCCTTCCAAACCAAGCTTAATTAATGATTATATAATTATATTATTAATAGGAATTGACAAGGGAATTTTATTCGATTGGGCATCACCGATTTTATCGCTTTATGCTTTTTTGTCTGAAATTATCTTCTAGATCTCATCAATGATTTAATTAAAAATTGTTTGAGTGTGAATCAGATTATTCCTTCTCGATTGGAAAACTTTTTTCCAAGAGCGACGACTCTTGTCTAATTGAGATTCCGATTAAAAATTCCTTTTTTCTTAATCACAAATTGATTCTTAAGGCAATTTTAATACGAGAGTAATTTTTACTAATTTTCTTAACAATGAATTTATTCTTGAAAGAAAATGGAATGAGAGTTTTTTTTGCACTTTATCAAATATTTGTAATGGAAAAGATTTTCTGTTATTATGATAAGCATCGTTGTGAAATATGCGAAAGAAGGAAAATTTGTTTTTCATTATTTTTGAGATTTAATTCAATGCATGTTGCGCTTAAAATAAACACCTGCATATGTTGAACTATGTCAGAATTCTTTTCAATCACAGAACTGTGCAGACGTTTTCAATTTATTTCCTTTAGCATCTTTAAACTACAAAAACATTTTACAAATTGTAAATCTCTCTCACGCGCTGCAAGTGGCTTTCGTGTCGGTCGTTCTAATAATCGTAAATGTGAGATGTGTTCATTTCTATTTGAACCGAATTAATCTCTTCGAGGGCGAAATATTTGTGTTTGATTCGATACAATAATAATGAACTTTCATCGCCTCGTGGATTTGCAAACATGATTTAATACACGTGACCAACACAAGACGCTTGATATTCTTCGAACATTTTAAATTAAATGTATACCTCGATTTCGATTATTCGAGGGATGTTTCATTCTTTTTTTTGTTGTTCGTTGTGTCGTTAATGAATAAACAAATTAATATTGTATTCGTTACAAAGACTTACTTTAAACGTCCTTACTTTTCTCTTAATATTGTTTTTAAATTAAATTTATATCTTCATTGATTGGTTTTGTTTTCTTTGTCTAGAGAAACAAATTCTGCTAAAATATAAAAATGGTGGGTGGATCTATCATCATACATGTATTAAACTTTCTTTTAAATTTTTCCAGAACAACATAAGACAGAAAATACATAAAAATCTCATCGTTTCCGTCAAGGATTCTAACATATCGAAGACTCGTCATACTACGTAATAAAGTTTAATTAAAAATTTTTCATTCTTCTTTTTTGCCTATAAGAATTGAGTTCTATCACATTAGTTTCTTTTTGTTTACTTAGAGGGTTGCTTCAAAAGAAGAAATCATTGTATATCAGCTGGTCCTCCTTCAGTCTTCAATGAATTCCAAACAAACCAAAGCCAATGCTGCAGGCAACGATTTACAATTTCATCGAGAAATCGCTTGTCTCAAACCATGCAATGCCGAGGGTTGAATGATTTTGGAATTTTTATCGTTGTTGCAATCACTTTCAGAGTTCATTCATGGTTGGAATTTCTATTTCGTTTTAATGACTTCTGATTTCAATGCGATTTACAAATTGTTGATAATCTCCGTGTCAAAATACTAAATTGTAAAATTAAGTTGTAATGATAAGCTAAGATTGTAACGCATTTGATACTTATCGTGCTATAAATCTAGTCAGTACAAAGTCATTTAATCAAATTGATTTCCTGGTGTTTTAATGCTCTTTTCATGGTTTTCGGTTTTAAATTGAAACCTAGTATTACATGCAATGACAATTACTTATCACAGCATGACCTAATAGGGCATTAACAGAAGGATATGACATTGTTTGTTCTCGCCTAAAATCATCGTTTCCTTTTTTCCTGACTTTTCTAATAATATTTATCTTTATCTCTCTTCACTTCAGTTTCATTTCTCTCTGCATCTTTCTTCTTTGACACGAAAAATAAATATTTTTGCAGTGATACAAAAGGTATTGTTAGAAAATCGACGTTTAGGATATTGTTCTTGGTTTCTTTTCTTTATTTTATTTATTTTGATGTTGAGAAATCAGTTGTGACCCATACGAACGAACGCCGATTTCCGTTTAAATCGGATTCGACTTGGTATTCGATACGAGAAATAATTTATTATTATTATTATTATTCATGCAATTTTTGTTTTTCTTTTCATCCTTTTAATATTTCTATCGTTCAGGTAGCATTCTCGAAAACATTGTCGAAACATAGTTGAAGTCATAAGCATCGTTTGTCACTCACCCTCGTTAATGCAACAAGGAACCTAACACAAAGATTTGTCATATCTATCTCTATGAAATATTTTCATTGAAAACAAAATGCGCAAGGGCGTAAAAGCCGTGACAAATAATTTTAAACAAAAATAAATACGCATTGTGTAGGGGACAATCAATTAAATCGAACGATTTGTTAAGCCATATTAAGGGCCAAGCCCCAATATTTAATGTTTCCTTTCTTCTTTTAAATATATGCGTGGGTGAATTATTTATTGCCATTTTATTCATACACTAAAATATTTAATTGATCATCAAAAGTTGTGCGGCACAATGCAAGAGTATATGATCAAAGAATTAAATTCATTATAAACTGAAGCCGACTCAGATATATTGGCAGAAATCCGAATTAAAGAGGAAATGAGTGTCTTCATCCATTCATCTAACTCAAGTGAAGAGCACTTTTGGATTTAGCACTATACAAATATTGAAAAGATTTTCCTTGGATAGGAAATGCAATTTTAAACCGAATTAATAGCTTCAAGCAGCATTTACATGAAGCCATCAGAATACAAAAACCTTAAAATGAGCCAAACTGAGTCACTTATTAGAATTCCATGACCCAAAGGCATGACGAAAAAAGTGATTTGTTAGACACGAAGAAATACAGAAATAAAAGTATTTTGTCATATCTTTTCATTTTAAATTTGTTACGGTATCTCAAAGAGATGAAAACAATTCCATTGTGTACTTCAAAGTTGTTTAGGTAGTTGCAACAATGATGAATCTTCTTTTTTCTTCTTTTATAAATCTTTCACAAAATAATGTTCTTTATTGTTATCACGGAAGGAAGTCAGCGTAAATAAAAGGCGCGTTCAAATGTCAAATGCATGTGCAACAAACGAGAGTTAGTTTGAAAATGAATTTCAGATACATTTTGAATGGACTTTATTTTCTAAAAGATGCAAGATGATTGTTTATTTATGTTTGCGCAACTGCACAAACAAGTGAATTATACTTATGTTATAAAACTATTGTGAAAAAGAAATGAAAGCTTTATGTTCATATTAAAAAAGATGTATGGAATGTCCTTCTGGAAAGTGAATGGAGTAGAAAACTCAATGTAGGAAAAGTAAACAAAATGCCCTCAGCCCATCATCAAACTCAATTTATTTAATCCATTTGACATTGTTTGCTCTTGCGCCATCACATCACAGACGTGGAGCCATTCGACAACATCAATAATGCAATCGCTGCACAATTTAAAAGCTCCCAACTTGAATTATTGATGAAAGATATTAAATCGTATCAATTTTTCATCTGCGTAAGCGAAAATTTTATATTCGAGTTGGAACACCTAAAGGCTTATTGCCATTGGTATGCTTCAATATGTTGTACATATTACAAAGCTCAATCGATATTCCTTGTCAAACGCCAACTTTTCTGCTGCATGATATAAAATTTTCGAATGTAAAATGTTGTATTCGTTACTCAATTTATGTATTTATGCAATTATCTACCCGTTTCACGTCAAATGTTAAATAATAAGCGATCAATGAAAGCAATTTACATGCATGCAAAATATCGACAATTTTTCATTAAATATTTTCTATATGTTGTAGATATTTATGCAGTTCATATATAAAATATTCATATCATATGTAATAATAATGATTGAAGCTATTGAAGCGTTGAAAAATAAGTGAAAGCGATTGAATTTCCAATTAAATAAATAATGACTCTTCAACAAAAGTTACATTAATGTTAAATAAAAAATCTTTGATATAATCAACCGGAATGCTATTTGCCTACCAAATACTTTGAGTATGAAGCAAATAACTTTGTAAGGACTTTGAGGAAATATTGAAACAAAAGAAAAATAGACGCGTCAATGAAACGACAAGTGCGTGATAAGGCTTGATAAATGTTTGACTATCTGCTCTACATCATTTTAGAAGTTAAATTGTTGTAAATGTCGAAACATATGTTATTATTTCGAAAATTAAACAAATAAGAAAGAATGAGAAGGAAGAACGCTCAATAAATCAAACGTTTCTTCTACAGCTCCATATAAGCATAAAATATCTACATATGTACATACATATATCTATGTGTACACCTGTTAAATTAATTTTCTTTATATATTGTTCAATAGTAATCAGAACGGAACATTAAGCGATTCTTTTATATGTTTAAAATCAAATTATCGGCATTAGAGAACCTCTCAGTCATGTTTCAATTTAATTTTATGCTTGAAATAAAAGAAAATATTCAAATGAAATGCAAGGAAATTTTCTTAATTTATTGTTGTCAAACATAAATCAATAATATTTTTTAAGAGAACTCAAATTTTGTAATTGAAAACTTCAATTTTCCTGTACAAAGATATTTAAAGGAAAATTTTCAATTTAATTAAATTCAAGGAAGGAGTTTCAGAGAAAGATCCAATTCATGCACAAGATTCTTGAGTACTTTTTCATTAATTTTCCTCTTAAATAAAAAGTAAATAGAACAGTTCTGGGGGAGTTTATGTTGATTATCATTGATGATTTAAATGTATGAGAAATAACAAATAAACAACAATTGTTGTTTTTGTTTCCTTTTAAACGAGCAAGGATGTTTTTCATATGTTTATTGTTGAAATTGAAGTTTTTCTGTTAGGCTGCATGAAGAACTTGTGAATATGATTGCGTTATTGTAACTGATGGTGATGAGTGTCATTGAATGTCGAACGAAACTACAAAGTGTTTCCAGTTCATTGTTATAGCAGTGACCGATTTAGTACGACAATTTCAAGTATTTTATTTACTGAAAGCGATACAAAAGGAATTCAAGAGAAGCTCTTATGTATTATACGCCGATATTTGAAGTGTTGTGTGGTTGAAAAGCAATCTTTTTCCTAATTGTAATTGTCTGATAATCTTTTGCCATAAGTTTTCATAACGTAGGCTGGATTATGACAGTGACATATGCAATGAAATCATTTGAGATGCGTTACAGAGACATTTTCATTATATAAAATACTCTTCCTAGCATTTCATGTATCAAAGAAATTTACCAGTTTCGTTTCACAAGTTTTCATTCATTTTTGAAAATTCCATGAAGTTACAATAGATCAATATAAAGCGAGGTTGTTTGTACTGTAAACTTGTTTAACTTTATCTGAACGAGCAGAGAAAAAAAAAATTAATCATCTAATTTAAAGCGGAAGCCTTGAGGCGCTTTCTCGATGAAAATAAAATAATAATGAAAAAAAGAAAACACATTAAACGATGAGATGTAGGAGAAACGGATGTTTTGAAACCATTTTTTAGCATTTTCAATAAAGGATTTTTCATTATATCAATTTCTTCTCGAGATATGTAAACCCACGCAATTTCCGAATCTTATCAATGGTAGAAAAAACCTTCAGACTCTAGGGTGTTGAGTTAATTTTCTTGATTCAAAAACTTTATTAATTAAAAAGAAACTTTGAAATGTGAGGGGTGGAGATTTGAATGAGAAATATCAAAAAATTTCATCGATTGTTTGGTGTTTTCTTTTTCGGATCTAGAATTGACTTTTATTCCACAATGAAAAAGGTTTGAAGTTTTTGAGTGTCTCTTCAAGTAAATTTAGCCTTATATCGTTCAGAATCTACCTTTTCCACTAAACATCTGTTAATATTTATTACATCTACTCAGATATGTGTTATTTCTATTTTTAATTTTTCATTCCTTCTGGCTCTCCTTAAAGAGATATCTAAGTATTTGTGTACATGCAATAAAAGTTTTCCAACATAATGGTATGTTTATTTTAAATAGAAGTTACGTTAGGAAAAATTCTCCTCCTTTTGTGGAAAATAAACACGGTTGAGAAAAAGACGAGAGGTTCGTAAGTGGGTGGAGAGAAGCGTGTCTCTCAAGTACGTTGTTCGAATTCTCATTTATTTGCTTGTCTTCATCAGCAAAATTCCATTTACCGAAAGTGTCATCAAAACTTTCAAAGATTCTTTTTCTATTCTAATATATTTTCATTCTTTCTTTTTTTTCGATTTCAACGAAGCAAACAACACTCATGACTCATATAGTGTCATTTTCTGAAGCGTTATCTCGCACCGACACATTGAACCTTTTTCTCTGCTGAGTTGATTTTTGTTGCACATCATTCATGAGAAAATCTGTCTTTGACCTTTGGATCGATGAAATCTCGAAAAAGTTACTCAAAAAAAAGAAAAAACAGAACAAAGACAGCAATCGGTCATTTCAAAAAATAAAATATTAAATTTTCCATGACGTTAGACAGGAATATAAATATTTGTTTCAGTTGATCATCGAATCATGAGAAATCACAAAACATAAAACTTATCAGTCACGAAAAATTTGTAGCATTCGAAGTGCGGGTCTCAGCCGTCCCTGAATATCTTGCTGAATATAAAGCAAACAAAAAATCTTCCACTTTTTTATCTCTCAAATAGAATGAAATTCTCTTTAATGGATGAGTGATGATTTTTCCTTTCTTTATTTGAGGAAGTTTTCCGTGTCGAAGAAAATTTGTTTGATCTTTAGCCATAAATCATTAATTTTTACGAAAGTCTGCTTTTTCTTTCTTCTTAATTTTTTTAGTTTGCTTCTTCGAAGAACGCTCAATACGAGGCACGTCGCATAGTCTCAAAGATGTCGTCGTCATGAAGGAAAAATATCTTCATCTTTGAGTTGTTGTGTAAGTGTGTTGAGCAGAAAGAAGAGAGGGAGAAAAGATGCTCAGCAAGAGAAACGCCTTCTCACCCAGTGAGTGTTGAAATACCTTCGATTGTCTTCTGCTTTTCGAGCTAATTTTAGATGAAGAAGCAGTCGACAATGAAAGAATCTTTCATAACTGGGAACGTAGCAAGGAGAAAAACATGGCTGAGATGAATTTTTAAAAAGGTATTAAGGTTTATTCTTTTTAAAATTTTCATCATCTCAAAAGAACTGTTTCTTCAATTTATCGATTTCTTTTTTTCTTTCCACGATGAAAAATAAAACAAATAAATAAACACATAAAGTGAAAATCAATTTCAGCCACCCCAGTATAGCTACGAGGATTTAAGCTAAATTAAACAGAACGAAGATTTCGTCTGCTGCAGCTTTAAAGAGTAGAAGTAAATTCCTACATACATTAAAAACTCGATTTTAAAGTTGAAATTTTCTTATAAAAATCTACATATTGCAAACAATTACTGATCATCATTTAATTCTCGGATTGAGTTAAAGCTATTTTTTCCACGAAAACATTTTCCAACAGGATTCAAAAAAAGATGGAAACTGATAACTTTCTAATTTATTTTAGAACTCTTTAAAACGAAAACTAAGACGTTTATTATTTTAAAACTTACCTGAAAACTAAATATTTTCCATTAATAGCTACCTAATTTGAATTTCACTTTTCAATAATGGTACATCATTTTTATTTTGATGGTTTTCGCAGAAATTTATGTAGATAATTTACTTCTAATATTTTCCGTGAATTTCATAAAGAAAAAAAGGGTTTATTAAAGTCACTATAGTTATTTAAATTCACTAAGAAACGAATTTAATTTATTAATATTGTTGTAGATGTACATATACACGAGTTAAGCTTTACTTTATCATGCAATATTTTCAATAAAGCTGACACAAATCAGTTTACATTTGAATATAACTGAAAATATTCAAAATTATATTTCTATTAGATGGCGCTGCCATGCTTTTGATCTTGTTACGGATATAGGCAGGTATTTGAAATATTCCAAGGAATTGCTGTTTTAGGATAATGTATTCATCTTTTAGTCATAATAATGATTCAAAATGAGAGACTAAGTAAATAAACCATACATTCTATCTGAATCTGTTTTAGTATTCAATTATTTTACTTGTAAAATATATGCTGGATAAAACTCTCCAAATATATGCAAAATTTGTCAAACCCTACAGCACAACTGAAGTCTCCTTTCCAACACTCAATCCAATACTTTAATCAACGCTTTTTAACGAGTAGTTCAGCTACAATCTTTTCTTAACTTGAACTTTGTAAACAGACGACATAAGATTAAGAATTAAAAAGTAGTAATTTTCGAATTTCTTTCAAATGGCTTGTAGATTAATAAAATCTAGTTTAGTTTTATGGAATTTATCACGAAAACATTCACTACATTATGGTGCTACTTATAGTGCATTCGTGTTTTGCCGACAATTTCACATCGGAGAAACTTATTTTAAGAGAAGGAAAACTAAAGAAGAACGAGTATGAAATTTTAGGCTTAATTTAAATCAAAATGTTTTATTCAATTCCTTGCAGAAAGCTCCTAAAATCATTGAGTACTCTCCGAAGAAACAACATGATCCTAATTCAGAATTTGTTGAGGTTTGGCGAAGCATGACAGTGGATGATTTATCTAAAAGTTGTGATCGTGATTTGGAACTTGTCCAAGAAGCTATGCTCTATGTTAAAGGTGCACCTGATATTAATCCAGAAACACGACTTGAAGACATCAATATAATCAAAGAAATTGTTAAGAAATTCGGGATGAGAATAAAAACTGTTGGAGCTCCAGGTAAAGAAAAGGAAATTGAGAAGGATCGTGATGTTTTTAAAAGACCTCCAGCAAAACCTGAAGACTTAAAGCCACGAGCACCAGTTGTGACAGTGATGGGTCATGTTGATCATGGAAAAACGACACTGCTTGATACACTTCGTGGTGCATCAGTTGCACAAAGTGAAGCTGGTGGAATCACTCAGCATATTGGTGCTTTCACAGTTGAGTTGAATAGCGAAGAGAATATCACATTTTTAGACACTCCTGGACATGCTGCTTTCAGTAAATTAAAAATTCCTCCATATTTGAGAATCTCATAATATTTTTGTATTCTTTAAGGTGCTATGAGAGCTCGAGGTGCCAACATTACCGACATAATCGTCCTCGTTGTAGCTGCTGAAGATGGCGTAATGGAACAAACAAAAGAAGTTGCAGCGTTAGCTCAAAGAGAAAATGTTCCCATTATTGTAGCAATTAATAAGATCGACAAACCAGAAGCAGACCCTGAAAAGACAAAACGAGAATTGGCTCAGCTTGGAATTAATTTAGAAGGCCATGGAGGCGACACTCAATTTGTTTGCATTTCTGCAAAGTATGGAACAAATTTAGAAGAATTGGTAGAAGCAATTAGCACACAAGCTACTTTAATGGGACTCACATCCGACTTCACCGGTCTTGTAGAAGGAGTTGTAGTTGAATCTAGCACAGATGCACGTCGTGGAAAGTTGTCAACGGCAATTGTGACAAGAGGAACTCTCAGACGTGGTGCTGTATTAGTAAGTGGATGTGCTTGGGCAAAAGTTCGAGCACTATTTGATCATGCAGGACATCCTGTTGATGCAGTAGTGCCAGGAATGCCAGTTGAAATTCTCGGATGGCGCGAACTTCCGGAAGCAGGAGATGAAATTATAGAAGTTGAATCAGAAAAAGTTGCACATTCAGTTATGCGATGGAGACAAGCACAGCATCAACGAATGAAGGCTGAAAGTGAAGTTGATGTAATTAAGCAAAAGCAAATGGAACATTATGAGAAATATAAATCAGAAAGAGACGCTCGAAGGAAACTTGGTAAATTTAAATCAAAAAGAATTGGACCGAGGACAAAGGAGAACATTGGAGACGATGATGGCATTCCTCGAATCAACGTCATTATTAAAGGTGATGTTCATGGAAGTGTCGAGGCTATTTTAGACGTTCTCGAGACGTATCATGATAATGATATTGTAAAATTGGATGTTGTGCATTACGGAGTTGGGGATGTCAATGAAGGCGATGTAGAACTTGCTAAGTTATCAAATGCAATCATTTATGCCTTTTCAGTTAACCATCAGAAAGTCACAATCCCTGCAAATGTGAAACTACAAGAAGTCAACATCATTTATCGTTTAGTTGATCACTTGAAGAAGGAAATTAATTCTAAAATTCCACCAGTTGACGTGGAAGAATTTGTAGGTAAGTTCAACTCTCGAATACTCAATTTGAATTTCCTGAAATGAGAAAGAATAATTTAATAATATTTTCCAGGCGAAGCAAATGTTTTGCAGATTTTTCAAATCACAGAAGGACGCAAGGAAGTGACGGTACTTGGCTGCCGTTGCACTAAAGGAGTTCTCAAAAAAAATCAGAAATATCGGTTGATGAGACATGATGAAGTAATTTATGAAGGCCAATTAGAATCCATGAGACACTTAAAGACAGAAGTAGATACAATTAAGAATAATCTAGAATGTGGCTTACGCTTTTGCAAGTTTGATGTTGAAGCAAAACCTGGCGACACTTTGACTTGTTATACAATCGTTCAAGAAGCTCAAGAAACTACTTGGGATCCTGGATTTTAGTGATGAATATTTCGTAGAAATTTTAGATATTTAATAAAATAAAATTTACCACGTTGATCATATCGATAAAAGAAACTTTATTTAACTTTCTTATAATGATCCATTACAATTTTCATTGTAATTAAAAAGACCCATCGATGAGACATTCTGTCAAATTCAAAATCTGTTCAACGAAAGAAGAAATCGTCACGTAGGTGTGAAATGAATTCTTCAAGTCTCTCGTTACTTTAACTCAATCAATTTTAATTTGAATTTCAAGTGTCTTGTTACCGAATTTTAATTTATTTGCAACATAAATTTTAATGAGGTGGAATTTAATGGAAATTTGACTAATTAAAATGAAACGAATTCTATTTTTTTCTTCTTTTTCTCTCTCTCTCTCTCCCCCCCCATTCTGATAGTCACCAGTGAAACGCAAAAAATATCTTTGTCACGATGTTGTATGCATGCTCGCAGGCACAAAATGTCGAAAGAAGTACAGTTATTGAACAGTTATTTAATTGGGTTTCTCTTTTTCACCAGCTTTATATTGCTGCCTTTCTTGTCTGTAGCTAGGAAGTATGGTTTCAAGCAGTACTTCACAAAACTGAGGGGTTTGATGAGCTTTGAGCCTAAGGGAATTAATTATGAAATTAATCCGTTCGACTGCACAAAAAAATAATTTAATCGCTGATATTGCCTAGAACACTTATTAGGTTCAAAACAAGCTTCCTCAATAACATAAAGATTACATTATTTACGTATTGATTTTCATAAAATAAAAATGTTGCAGAAATAAAAATAAAAAATTTAAGTTTTTCAATAGCTAATCAACATATTCAATGTAAAACCCAAAAATAAATACTGAAACCAATAATTTTGTTCAGAAATTCCTATATATATAAAAATTATTTCTGTTAATTCTATAAATTCTTATATTTATGTTCACAATTCACATCATAAATTGTGGGATAAATTTTTTTCAAAATTCCTATGTTGCTTCCGGTTAGCCTCGCGTGGTTCATTCATGTTATCAGTTAACCAAAATATTGTGTTTTGTTCATATCGCGATATATAAAATATTTAGAAGGGCGAATGATGTTAAAGCGACTTTTATTTAAAAACTTTTTATCTTGTATGAAAATTTAAAGAATTGAAGGTTACAATATTTATGATTGCATTCGTAAATGTGAAAAATAAAAAGAAAATTTGACACAAAAATCTAACAGCTCAACAAGAGTCAAAAATTTATTTCGTAAATACCTCGGTGATGAGTTGAAAATGATACCATCGCAACCTTATTGAGAAACGTTATAATGAACAAACTTCCATTTATTGCTTGGCATTTAACTTTGCAAACGACCGGGTGGTTCAGCGTGTTTAATGGTCATTCTCCAAGTCGTTAAATATCTCAGATCATTAAGGCCTCATATTCAAGAAAACGAAAATTTTATTAAGTGTTGTTATTTTTAACGTGCCCTGGAGTCTGCGTTGGAGGATACCAAGGAGTGTGAAGTACGTTCCTATAGCTGCTTGTTCTTAAGTGTTAATAAAATTTAGAATTTTTTCGCCATGATCAATATTCATTATTCCAGTATTTCACTTTAAGTAGAGCCATGAGGGAAATGCTTCGAAAATTGTTTCCGGCTAAATTGTTTTGGCAATCAATATAAGTTAGCGTTATGCAATTTAAAGCTAGGTAGATGTGAAAGTAAAACATGCGTAAATGATTAAAAGCATTTATAAATACCATAACATGGGGTTTATTTTATATTTACAAACATTGTGAAATTAACATCTATCAAAGAAAGGTAGGAATTTGTGGGTCTTGATTTATTTCTATTAGCGACAATTGTCATAATAAATGTAACAGTGTATCAATTCCTGATTGAATTGATTTGTAATCAAATTTAAAAACAACTCTCAAAATTGTGAATACATCCGTTTTTACAAATGTCGTTCGAAGATAGATAACATGTTCTTACTGAATTTTACAATTTTTAGAATTTCTTTTCCATAATTTGCTTTAAGGGAAACAAAAAAAATAGATTTCCTTTTTTGATATTACATCGTTTTTCCCGATACTGATTTCAATGTTCTAGAATTGTAAGCTATAAATTTAAGAATGAGAATATAGAATTCTTTCTTTGATATTTGTTGCAATATTTTTCAATTGTAGCAAACAACAAAAGAAGGAAGAAAATAGATTTTCCCTAGATGAGAATTTTCATCCCCAAATTAAAATTTTGTTTTGAATATTAATGGTCAGTAAACGAAACGAGCTGCTATCTCATCATTTGATGTTTCAAAAGTTTAAAAATGACACCCAAACGTTTCAATAAGATATTCCAGCTAGCAAACGTATCACCTACAAACATAAGAAAAAAATACTCTTTTTACAAATTACAAAAAAAAAACTTCTCATCACAATATTGAGAAGTTGAAAGAAAGATTTAAAACTTGCCACATGTTATCAGAGTTGGTAACAAGAAGAAAATTTATTTTCTGACAAATTCTCTTAATAAGAGAAAACTCTGATTTTGAAACGGAAGAAACAATTCAAGCACAAAATTACGATTTTCACTTTATAAGCTTATGACTTTGTTCAACTGGCTCTTTGCTAATAATGTACACAGATTAAATCATAATTGTAAAATGTAATCAATTAAAAAATTTTGATCACATTTATCTTTGTTTTTGATTTTACAACACAATTTATGTTGACTATTTATGCTGAAATAACAAATTGATCCATCGCATTAATACAATTATTTACATGAAATATAAATTCTTTCTACAGCATTCTCACAAATATCTGTGCTTATGAGAACAAAAGTCATAATAATGTACCATGTATATTTAACCAAGAATTAGTTATTCCAAGAAACCCAATCAGATCCTCAGACAGTGACTGTTTTAACATGTGTTTCATGCCCTATCGGTCCCATGTGTTGTTTTAGCTGCGGGGGTGGTATATAGCAGGAACCGAAAAAGAGAAGAAAAAAACAGTGTGAACGTTTCTGTATGACAGAGTTGCCAAATTTCTTTTTTCTTGAAATGGTAAACTGACGTCAGTTGTCTCTGTTTATAAGTCTAGAAAAATTCAATTATAACATTTGTTATTTAATGAGTAAACTGAGCAACTGGCGGTAAATCTCAACAAACGTCAGCATTTTAGCCAGCAACCCGGTGTTTCATATTCTCTTTCTTTAGCAATTAATCTTTTTTTATTAACATATATCGTAAGCACATTAGACGACAGTTCAGCAATTATACGAATGAACAAAATTCTTTACACGCTTATCATTCAGTAAAAAGAGCGACTAATACAACTTAATTTAAATTAAATATATGGAAAAAAAATATTTCCGTTTAATCATGATAGCTTAAAATTTATTCCGAGTCAAATTATTAACATGGATACTTTCCTTAGACATGAAAAAGAAAAATATATAACACATTGAAGTTAAGAATGAAAAATTACTACATATATTCAACTTCTGCTTCCCGAATGGATAAAGCATAAATTTCTATTTTTTCCTCTTTTCTAAAAAATGAATCCTAATCCTAGTTTTTCTAACATTTATTTCTTTTTGTTCAATCACCATCATTATCATTAGCTCTTCAAACATTTTATTTATTATTTTATGGATGAAATGTTGAAACATGTTTGAAAATGTGAATAAGCAAAAATTGAATGAATGCGTTGTTAGTTTAACAGTGATTACGATAATGGAGAAATACTTTGTCGACATTTAAGTTTTAATTTTTGAAGGGCAATGGAACATGAAAAGTTATCAGAAACACTATTTGTTCCACTAAAGAATCTTATAAATGTTTGCTATCTTTTAGTCAGGATATGAATGAATAAGAAAATCCTTGAAAAAAGGCGTTACGATGATAATTCAATTTTGTTGAAATTTGTTCCGCTTTTCAATTATAACGATTACCGCCAGGAAATGTTTTACAGTCTGCTTTTTCACATGAAGAGAGACTGAGAAAATGCTCTTGACGTTTGAGTTTCGGATGTCTCTTCTAATAGAAAGAACTAGCAGTAAAAACCTTCCAGTTTAGATTGAAACAAAATAAACCTCATCATGAAACACATTAAAGAAATTAGTTCAGTAGACCATCAAAATATTCCTCACTAAGAGATCGTAAAGTTTCTGATGCTAAACTTAAATGCTAAACTTAAACAAAGCGTTAAATTTTATTAGTTTGTGTAATATTTTGGGCCTGATTTTAGCTCAGTTCAAAACTCGTTTAACGATACTTTTAGAAATCTCTTGAATAAACACTTGTTGGTGCACATGAGAAAAATCTAATCATGAACGTTGTTTATCTATATGGCTAGATAATGTTGGTAATATTCAAAGCGAAAAATAAAAACATTCATATCAACATCATCAAACATGTTTCATTTTTTTTTGCTCATCAAAATTGTTTCATTTTTAGCTAATTTTTCTTTGGATTATGTGACGTTCCAATATCGTAATTTCCTGAAAAAAATTTCTGATTAAAAAATCAAAGTAAATTTTCATCAAAATGTATTTTTCGATTCAAAATCTTTTGCTGTTTAGTTCGTTACTTGAATCGTTTCACACATGTTGATTTTTAAAATTTCACATCAAACTATTTTTCCTTTAAACTACTCTTCTCTAGAGCTTCCAATGTTTATTTTGTCGATGTTTTTTATTCAATTTATATAGATAGATAGATAAAAAACGAAAACGTGCATTCGTTCATCACTCAGCCGCTTTCTCTCCATTGATGTTTTTTTTTATGCTCGTATTCAGATATCCGGATTTGGAAATATTTGAAAAGTTTATTAAAAAAATGGCAAAGGGCATTGAAATCTATTTTTTTAATACTTTAACATGTAGTTTGCTTTAATCATGAAACAATTCAGTTAGGTATGAATAATAGAAAATAGATTAAATTTCGTTGATTGGATGCCAATACTCTTTTTTCACTTGGTAACAACCTTATCATTTATTTAGGATAAATCATCAGAAGCAATATCGAGAACAATCGACCTTATAATGCCCATGACTATGGTCGATTTTCACGAGAACAAGAATTTTAATCTTAAATTTCGCTAAGACGATGCTTCACCATACATCGTATGAATTTATTATTTATCTACTGAGGCAAGTAAGCACTAATTGAAATTAATTGATTTCACTATGGGAATCAGACGCTTCATAACATCAACATAACATCTGAAAATTAATTAACGAGAAATAAACATTTTCAAGACTTCAATCGATATAATCTGACTATTTAGCATCGCTCAGGCGATCTCGAATTTTTATGAAATTCCACATTTTGCATAAACATTCTCAGGCTCATTTCATTTCATTCAGCTCTTTCGAAACAAAAAAGCATCTGTTAAACAAGAGAAAACATTAAAAAAAGTACTAATGAATTTACATACAAGACTTCCTAACAGAGCACCATTAAAAATTAGAGAAACGAGCATGTAATATTTGTAAACTTATAAGTGATATAATGGGACTAGGAGTTTGCTTATTTAAATATGTTTCAAGACGATTTTAAAATGCTACCGATATAGAAGTCATTTTACTGCGAATTTGTGAAAATCTTAAAACTTATAATTTTGTTGTTCCCCTTTTTAACTTTATTAAGGAGTTTTTTGTGCTAATGAGCTGTTAATGAGCTGTGAAAACAGCTTATTTTGATGATATGTAAGAAAATTTTCCATTCGTACATATTTTATAATCATCTCGAAGACAACGTCTAGAAAAATTATCTCATAAGAAAAGATCAACATTTCTCGAATTTTCATCATGAAAACTAAACATCAATTTTAAATTATTAAAAGTTAAAAGCTAAGTCTTTTGATGTTTCAGATTTATGAGACATAAAAGTGAAGATTTCTAATGTTAAAGCAGCAGAAACATACAAAAAAAGAACTCTTTGTAATGTGATAAGAGCTATGAAATGCTTATACACAATACTTCGCTCAAGTACTTACAGACAAAAAAAAAGAAAAAAAAAGTTAAATCAAACTCGAAATAAATGTACGAGAATTAAACACACACATATGCTAATCCAATGTTAATTGCACTTCATATGTTCTTTGAAATATATGATGCAGCGTAAATTGGATGCCTTCCTTTTCTTGAGCTTGCAAATTGAATGATGTATGATATTACATACTTACTACGTATAAGTGATAAGCTTATCATTTATAAAAAGAGATTCCTTCACTGTTGTGGCAATGAAATAGTATGAGGTATCATCTTCGCTAAACTGTAACTTGATGTAGTTTCTTTATTGGATCATGTACAAAAATGTCGAGCACAAATAACTTGTAATAATATTTCTTTAACATACTCATGTTGTTACATAATAATTTCCATTGATCATAAATAGTGTTAATTTTCCCAAACATATTTATCTTCTCAAGCAGAGGCATGGTTGATTATGAATGGAATCGCAGCATAGCAAACGAAGTCATAAAAATTCCCAAAGATTTTATTTTTCTTCTTCATCATTTTTGGGTTCTGTTTCAACTCAAATCGCTACTTCTCCCTTTGATGCATAGCATTTATACTTGTTTTTGAATTTTGCTGTGTTCTGATGTAAAGACAGAAGAGAAAAATTATGTATCTTGTGGTATTCTTCACTTTTCTATTCGTTTCGATGCATTCAATGCTGCTTTGTGTTGTTGCTCATTTTTGCTTCTATTCTTTAAAGAAAAGAAAAAAAAATGAGAAAAAGCAAGCACACAGGAACACATTGAAAGTTTCTTTTTCTTTTTTAAAGAATTACCCTGATCGTGAGCAAAGAAAGAAACGATGAAAAATATGTTAAATCAGTTCTAAAGCCGCCTTTCGACGGTTAACATTTCTATCTCCAGACAGTTCTTCACTCTTTTCCAAAAAAAAAAGAAAAGAAATTGAACGAACTCAGCGTTGAAGGGTTTCTCATTGAGTTGTATGTGAACTTAATTAATGTGAATTAATATTTTTGTTGCTAGGAAATAAAAACGGGAAGTAAGAGTTGGTATTTGTGTGATTAAAAAAAAGAAGAAAATAAATAAAATAAATAAATAAAATAAAATAAGAGATAAACAATATACGAAGCTGTGGATGATAATTTCGCGAGAACTATAAAAAAGCTGAGCGGCTGTGTTTTAGTCGCCTTATATAAAACATGCGTCCTCTTATGTTATACGAAGCATATTTATTAAATGCCATCGTTCCGGCGTCCGTTATCGACAGAGTGACTTGTATAGTCCGCACAACACAGTTTTCAACACATTTTTGTCAGTTTTTATATGCATATATGCTTAGTTAATGTAAACATTTATTGTACATTAAAATCAACACACAAGAAAACTTCAGGGCATCACGAGGGAGAGAGAAACTTTGAATGACTCTGAAATCTCAAATACTCGCATCTGTTGCTACAGAAAAAAAAAAGATTTTTATGAGTCTAGTTGGATGGTCATCTCGTGTTAAATTTAATAATGTCATTCGATTAGATTCGTTTGGAAGGATTAGACGTGAATTGAATTTTTTGGTCCCGGGGCCAAAGTCACGAAGTTAGCTTGGACCTTCCTAAAGACCTTTTAATTTAATTTAACTGTAAACTTCGAGTTTTCCTCATGTTTTTGTTTTATTTTTCGGGTGGACTTAGAAAGTGAAATAAAATTTTACGAGCTTTGCTGCTCGGAGGATGTTTTAATTGTGCTACTCTGCTTAAACCTAATGGATATTGATGTTTTAAGTGGCGTTTAAAAAGCATTATTTTTTGTATTTCATTTTTTCTTACAGAAAGTGAGCATTTTGAAGTGACAATTCAATTTAAATGAAGGAAATTTGAAAGAAAAATAACAAAAAAGAGATTTTTTTCGTTTATATATTTTTTTAAAGTAATAATGAAAGTTTGGGAAGGTTAATTATAAATTATCTATTTTTCAAGGAATAATTTAATATAACAAACCAAAATAAAGTTGTGAAGTTAATAAGCCAAAAATAAATTGTAAAGAAAAAAGGATAAGATAAAAATTAGATTGCTGATCAAAAGGATTTAGATCAAGATGGAAATAACAAGGCAAATAAAGTGAGTAGATATTTCTCGTTTTTGTTTTATAAGTTTCTTTTACGTTGTCGCGCAGACAAGAGGCCAAGATTTCTTTCTTATTTTGCCATTTTTAAGGCTTTATAATTTAGGTTCTCTCTTAGAATGAAAGGCATGGCATGGCAAAAATTTAGCAAGAACAGATAAGATGAAAGGAATTTCGTTCAAAGGGATTATTCGTTTTCCTCTCTTCAGTGTTAAGACGAAGCAAAATAGCAGAAAGAAAGAAAAAACATTTCATTCAACTAAGTTATTTTGCGTTCGGGATTAAAGTTGGGACAGAAAAAGAAAGATTCAAAGTGATAAGAGTCTTTCATCATGATTCATGAAGAAGTCTTCGAAAGAATTTCTGTTGAGTTATGAAATTACAATGAAATTTATTTCGCTTAAACTTTTTAAAAACGATCTTAAAAATATATTTGTGGGAAGATAATACTTTTCGAGATAATTGCTTTTAATTAATTGCAGAGATCTAAACATTTTTTCTTGGTAGACGTTGAATTAAAGCACTTTTCAAAGCATTTTTATTGTCGAAGAACGAATTCTTATGAAAAAATTCTCTTTTTTGTGGAAAAGTGATCTTTGACAAGACAATCTTCCAATACAGACGATTTTATTTGATATTTTAAAAGTGCGTATTAATTTTCAAGGATTATTTGAATACAAAACCACAGATATAAGAAATATTTCCTTAGATTTGATCAACTCATTTCAAACAGTTTTTGAAAAATTATTGAGTGAAAAATAACATTGCCCAGACTTGAGAAACAATTTGAAAAACCAAAAATTATCAAACCACATAAACACGTGAGAAACATATTTTCCCGATTTCTAACTTTAAATATCACTTAAAAGTAAAATCTGGTGTAAAATATACAAACGAGATTTCATTATATACTTCAATTATATGAGTATCTATATAATCTCTTCTTCATTTCTAATTCTTTTAAATATTATTCTAATTATTATATTCAAATTTAAACTTTGTTTTCATCCAGTCAACAATCATATCATAATAAAGCATGGATTTTAATTATTGTAATCCTTGACTTACATTCCATATTTCATTTAATCGTAGAATAAAAATTATCGTTATAAATAGAATTGATAAGAGCCTTAAACAATAGTAGAACAAAGCTTGTAAATTAGAATATTTTAAAAGTACTTGAGAAATAATAAAAAGTTTTGGATATAGCGCTAGCTAACTGTGATAATTATAAAATAAAGGCATTTAATCAATTTATAAACATTTTCCAAAATGAAAACATTTAGAATTTAAAAATTGACGAAAGTAAAACTCTTTTCTCATGTACAATGTGTACTAACATGTGTTTTAAAGAATTTTTCATCCTAATTTCCTGCTTTCAAATGATAAGATTTAATGAAGTTTCTAAAGTATTACATTTATTTCAAACTTGACTCGATTACTTTAAAACGAACATGTCCTGAACTCATTCTTTTAGATTTTCTATCTTTTCATGTTTAAATTTTTAAAACTATTCGTTTTCTTTTATTCAAGTAGATATCATGCGTTGAATCAAAAGAAAGGTAAAGATAAATCGAAAACATATTTTCTAACCAATTATTTCTCTTCAATGATAAAATACCCTTAAAGAGAAATCAGATGAAAGAAGGAGACTGAATGGATGAGAGAGAAGAAGCTTTCAATTTAATGATGAAAGTAAGGAAGGAACAAATGCTTAAATAAATGAATTGAAACAATATATGTACAGTGAACTTTCTTTATAAGAATTTTGAAGGGAGTCACCTATAAAGAGCTTCCTCCAATAAAGAACTTTTTTTAACATTACTTCTTAATATGAGTGTATGGCTTATAAAGAGCTTTTTATTTATAAGGAGAATTCTTATAAAGAAAGTCCACTGTGTTTCTCTAAGTTTTGTTACAAAATCTAATTTCTCGAACAGTCTTGAAATGTAATCATATCCTTTAAAGTGTAAAACTATTCATTGAATGCCAGTAATTAAAACGATTTCTGTGTTTTGAGATAAACTTTAAAAGTGTGGAAGTATCAAATATAAATTAATCTGAAATTCTTATGAAATTTATATGAGGGGAAGACATCGAAATATTTCTGGAAATTACATAAGCTTAGCTTGAAAACATCAATGATTATTTTTAGCTTTTTTTTTTGTTTGCTGGCCGTTTGTTGCGACTTCTCATGGTTTTAACATAGAATAAATATTATCGTTGTGTCTTAAACAAAGTGTTTGCCCAAAATAATAGCGAGCGTGAAGCAAAGGTACGATAAATGTACACGATACAAATGAAATCAATATAAATATGAAAGATCAATAAGGAAAGAAAAAGTTTATTTTAATTATTTTTAGCTTTGATGTTATGTAATAAAACTTTCGTTGCATTTTCTTTAAAGAAGTTGTTTGATTATCTCTTATTGACAAATGAAAGTTGCTTTAAGCTGCTTTACTCTAAAGACTACTGTTTTAAGATTAAAAAAAAAGATTCAAAGAAAATTCTTTAAGTAATTGAATCATAAAAAGTTATAAACAATAATCGAGGAGAATTCTTTCTGTTGCATAATTTTCTTACAATTCTAAACGACAATTATTTTAGTGAAATGTTTTAAAACAACATTGAAAAATAGAATCAAACATATACATAGGTACTTTAAAGTTATATTCTTGGTCATATCAAAATCAAACAAATTCAAAAGAGGCGTGCCATGGCAATTATGATTCCAAAAATATTTATTACCTCTGAAAAGGAAAAAATTGAGATATGTGTACAGTTTGTTGCAAGCAAGACTTCAGCTTTTTAATTATTACCTTTGCCATTTTATAATCTTCAGGTTTGAGGATTTATATTTTTTAAAAAATCACGAAATTTCATTATTAATAATATGATATCATAAAATTGGATGAAATAGATTAAAGCAATTTGACAACCGTGCATGCATAAAAATCAGATATATACGTAATCAAACTTAAGTATTGGTTTTACAAGTCTAATTACAGACGCTGATTTGCATTTCATTCATTTCTTTTCCGATATGTTTCACTCATCCTCAATCCTCTTTCAAGGGAAATCATAAAATATTCATTGAAAATCTATTTCTTTGGTTTATGTAAATATTATTATTTTTCTCAGCAGATGTAGAAAATCCCAATCTAGTTTAAAGATTTTGGATTGAATTCTTTTTGTATGAATATTTTTCAGCTGATTTTAAGAAGCGTTTCTACTGAAGTGAGATAAATCATCTGATTGACTCGACTTTCCTTTTTGACTACTTTTAGACGATGACAAAATTTATGTGCATAGATAACTGAGAGCTTTTTACTAGCTTTTATTGGCACAGAATAAGCTTAGTTGGATATTGGTTTTATGTTATCAGTGTAATATCTATGAGTCTAAAATATTTTTTTAATACTTGAGTTTTGAATGCAAAAGTCAAATATTTTCATAGAAAAAAAATATTCACCCGATGACCATTAATTTAAATTCGTTTTATTTTTTTTCAACCAACTGATAGAAAGTTATATAAGCATGTAAAAGCAATGCATGCTGCTGTCAAAAATGTAAAGCTATTCATTCGGTTCGAATTGTTAGCTCTAGCACTTAAGGCACTTTTTTTGATAAAATATTTGTAAGCACAATCAACCGTGTCAGTTTTTGGAGGTCGCAAATACTTTTTTCCTCATTTTTAAGATCACGTGTTAAGTTGTGATTGCTTGTTTATACTTTATTATACGTTGCTATTTGGTATAAAAGCGCCTATGGGAATAAAATCAGGATGGAACGATGCTTTGGTTTTAGGAAAAAACGAGAGAACCACAAAATGAAATGAAAATAAACTTTAAAAAGAATTAAAGCTAAAATCCTACCATTCCCCCATCGAAATAACCTCCGAATGGAGATTTGGGATTAAATCCTCTTTTTTCTACATTCCAATGGGACATTAAGGCATAGAAGAGAAAGTTCATTTTGCTTATCTGACATAATCTTGAATTTTAGGATAAATTGGATAGTTTCGGTTAATCGGCTCAAGAACTAAACAAATAACTTCTGTCACGAATTTAAATTGAGATTTATTAAAAAGAAATTTAGCTTCGAGCATCTTATGATCAGAATATTTAAGCATAAATCATGGAAGATTTCATCTTACTGATGATCTCAACCTTCAAGCGCAGTTACGATAAGAGAGTCTAAAACTCACTCTTAAGTGATGAAGAAATTTCTTCATCATCTTAGTAAAGTGCACTTCAGTTATGAAAGCCACAAAACGTAGAAACAAGACACTTCTTTGGCTGCGGCTCTAGCGTTCAAGTGGAAACCTAAACAATATTTTTGGAAAAAGAAATAATGAACAAAAATATTTACAATAACTTACACATGGTTAGAACATAATAAACAGCGGAAGAGATTTTTATGGAATTTAGAATTTATAATAATTACATAAAAAGCATAACTAACGGTATCGCAATCGTGTACAATCAGATTTTGGACATTTCTTTCAATACATTTCGGTTTTATTAATTCACACGGTTCATTTCAAATGAATCTTCTTTCACTGCAATAAATCTTTAATTTGATATCTTTAAATTCTATGTGGAAATTATATAAAAACCTTAACTTTAAGAAAAGAAAAAGTTCTGCAATAAAATATTTAATATCGCTTTCGGTAACA